ATGGCTCACATTAGGTATAGATCCACAGCAGATCATTTACTTATGATAAAATTTACGAATGCGTCGAAGGTAAGTTTCTATATCGTTTAGGGAAATTTCGAGGTAATGTTTAGTGTTTCTACTCTGATCGTGTATGGCTAGAATAGCCATATCGTGTAATTATATCGCAGTCCAACATTAATAATTCTTAAGCTAAATTTTGGAAAACTTTCTATGACTCGTAAACTTCTGAGTCTACTTATTTTCAAAAAGAAAGTTGCGAGTATGATCATTTTTCAATTACTGAATCTTGTTTAAGCCCGAAATAATGAGTATGACCCGACCCCAGTCCGGCCTGAACCCAAACCTCCGTCACAATTCACAACTTTGGCCCAATACAGCATATTTAAATAGACTTTTTGCTTTGACAACAATTCAATATTAGTATCAATTCTATTTTTTTCATAATAAATTTTTTAAAATTAAAAGTTCGCTGTCATTGTTTGACGCCACGAAGATATCAAAAAACTTTTTACCCTAATTGAAGTGTCAAAAATATCCCCATGAGGTTTATTGATCTATCAAACATTCCTGGATGTTTTATTGTAAAAAAATTTATTTATCTATTTTAATGTTTACTTTTTTGAACACTATTATATCAGCAAACGTCATCTGCTAGGACCCGAAAAAATCATAAATAAAATTTATGAACTGCCTTGCAATAGAAGTATATTTGTCAGGTATTTTAATATAATGTTTTGTCAAAGTTGATAATGGCACGCAGCGAGTTTTTTTTTTATTTGAGACCGACAAGTGTGGTATCATTTTGTTTGTAAAATTCAAATTTTTTAAGAATAACAGACGGAAAATTGAGGAGTATTCAAAACAATACATGGAGCGCATAGGATGATCCGTAAAACAACCTATCGAATATACCCAAATTATTTCTATAGAATCTTCTATATTTCTTAGAATCTCTCATAAGACTCCTATATTTTATTAAAATTCATTTTTGAATAAAAAACAGCATATAGTTATATAGTTCGTTTTATTATATATGTGTTGTTCATGCTTGGTGATATCTAACTTCATAGCAAAACAGCGCAGATATGGTGTTAAATATAAAACGATTAAATGAAACGCATAGGTCAACGAACCACGGTATATTACTGATATTATAACTCTAAAAATATGTAATAAAACTGGTCGCATTCACTAATATAATGGCGCATTGAAATGGTGATAATGGATATCGTATGTACGGAAAATGCGATCGCTTGGATAATGATTCAATTCGGTGCGGTTTTATGATAACATTACAATTTTATAAGCAGACAATTTCGAAAGTAATTTACAAATTTCGTAGGGAACCACATTCAATTCACAACTTGTACCTAATAGTGGAAAAATTTAGAACAAAGGAAATATTTCTATTTCAAGTGAACAAACTATCCGAAGTAATTTGAACACATGAGCCTTGTTGGTGCAATCAATGTCACATTGCGTGATTCTGACTTATATATGCGTTTTTTCTAACAAAATAATACTTTTAGTAAATAAAATAAAAAGAAACATAAATCCATCCTTAAATGAACCATATGCCTGAATGCACCATATCGTAACAGTGAAATTTGAAAATTTATTTTTATAAGTTTGTGACGCGAACGTAAAAATTGCGACGCATCTCGCGAGGTCTTTCTAAAATTGAGCAGCTGGGTTTTCCGCATTTTGTCCATGACCGTGGCCTCAGACACAATCTGCCGTTCCAATGGTTAAATTGTATTATCAATATGACTTCCTGTCCAATTCGTCTCGGACCGCGGGACACCATATATCACATCTTCGCACAGTTATATATATATATATATAATAGAAAATCCTTTTGCAAATCATACCAGGCCCACTTACAAATCATCCGAAAAGCTAGAAATCCGGCCAATAGGGTAATGTTGATTTCAATCGAATATGCGGAGCAATCATGATTAGTCATCCATCATCGCCCCATATATACGAGAGGAAACAAAATCGACCAAATTTGGCCAAACTTCGACAAACTCTCGCGGATTTTTTCAGATTTATAGAAAATATTTATTGTTCTGAGAAGTGCATTTACTACGACTTACTATTCTTTTGACAAAGATTCTAGGTTTATCATTAATCAATTGATTTCAACTAAATATTTAAAAGAAATGTATGTGACTACTAAATGATCTGGAAAGATAAGCTAGAGTATACTTCAATCACACGGCTTTCTATCAGCATATATAGCTCAGCGTCAGTCAAATCCAAAGAAAATGTCTTTGTAGTTTCTGCAAGCAGCATTATGGTCAACTTATTCTTGTCATCAGGGTGGTATTAAAATATTAAGTACCAAAACGATTTAGTTCAACAATTAAAAGTTGTTGAAATATTCATGTATACATAGGATAGGCCCCACCATGACCTTCACATTGCGGAGAGGAAGTCTTCAGAGCAAGACTAGTTAGCGGGTAATTGCATTGCGAAAACATTCTACCTGATAAATACATATTTGTGATAACCGTGATTAGATATAGAGGATGCTACCTCAGACGGAAAGATTAGTTTAGTCATCAGCTATATGAGGGATTAACTGAGTAAACTATAATTGTTGATTCAATAAAGCACGAATCGTTGTAAAATTCGAGCTCACATATTGCAGTAACTATCCAAATACAGATTCAATAAATTTATTCAAATGATTATTGTCCAACTGTGTGCCTTGTGTCCGAGTAATCTACAAACAAAAAATATCATCTATTGCATGGCCTGTTATTGTAGCGCGATTCTGGACAAGTTCTAGCGAGGTCATAATCCTCATTGAATGAGTCAATTTAATAACTTAAGTGCGGTTTGTAAGTATGAATTTGTGAACGTCATTCAGCTTACAATTAATGCATATGATGACAGATTTTTAGTAGCAAATCGGTATTTCAGGAAGTATGAGAGATATACCATGGCGCTCTTGGGTTATCTGTAACCGACATTTAAACAACGTTGATCGATATTTTATCATATCAGGCCCAATGTTAAGTATTCACTGTGATTAACACTGTTGGAACAAGGGTACCTGATGAATGACCGACGTACGTGAGTGTCCTTACGGGGTTCAATAAAAACTGTAGGAATTCGCACAATAACTACTTACTTCCGAAATATGCCACTGAGGAAGAAACACGATCTTCGTTGTGTTAGCAAATCGGATTAGGTATTTCACACAACAAATGCAATTTAACGTTTTTGTAAAGCATCTCGATTATGTTTAAGTATATATATATATAATAATAATTTTACACATCCTTGAAAAATTCGTTAAACTCGTAGCCAAATGGAGATCAACAGCCAAGACCAGCCGTAAATATTGAATACTTGTGGCTGCATATATATATATAAATTATTATAATCGGAAATGGTTTGTAACATGTAGTTTACGATTAGTATATACTAGTGATTTGGCGTCTTACTTACCGGGTAAGCGTACTAATGTAACGGATTAACAGAAAATGCCTTTGTGAGTGACTCTCACGCGCTCCTAGCGGTATATTTGCAAAATATTCATCTTGAAGGATTGTAGAATATTTCTAGTGTTGGCATCATCTCCCAAAACGGTACTCCCGTAGTATGTGATAATGTGAATCAAGATGGCGGAAACCGGAACGTTGTAGGTGTACCAGGTTAGGGTTCAGCCATAATTTTATTCTAATTTTACATATTTTAGTTCTAATACGATCTCGGGGACTAGTCAAGTGACTCCCGTAGGATTTGTACCTGAACTTATACCCTACCCTGGCCAAGTACACATACTATGTTCCGGTGTCCGCCATCTTGATTCACATACTACGGGAGTACCCTCAAAACTGCAGGATTTATGTTTTACGTATTACCACTGGGTGAGGTAAGTCAGTGAGACGACTTATCCGCATGGAAAACCACAGCCTCTCAACCGTCTCCTAGTTCAGGACGGATATATATATAGGGAAATAGTTAACCAATTTAATGTTTGGTGTACATAGTGAAGAGAGCGGTACCCAACCCTACGACTTCTTTATCTCTTCTGGGCGACTGTATGTGCCAAGTCAATCTGATCTACAAGTATTTCTTTATCCACGTCCTGGAGTACATGAACACTCGCAAACCAACTTACACCATCTCAATGGGTTATTAGAACCCAATATCGATCCTAGCTTTGGTCCCACCCAGCGGCTTGTCGTGTTATTTCAGCATTTCTGAACTTTGTTTGTCTGGCCAAACGGGGCCCATAAGTTATCTGTTGGGTTCGATTACAGATGTTGCCATGTAACATTTACAGTTCGATAGTAGTCTCTTAAAACCTTTTGCATTTAGTAGATGCTGTAGGTGGTTCAGCTGCCAAAGCCATACTAGCCAATGATAACAGTGCTCTAAAACTTAATTTCCGATCTTACAAATTTAATTAGACATTGAACCTTGGGTATCGCTGCCTGAAAACCCGCGACTCCCCCAGAAAAATGCGTGTTAATTTTTTTTCTCAATTTTGTATGTCGATGGACTATGAATAATTTAAAGCGATTACCATCGTAGTTGTGAGATCTATGATTGCAGAGTGATTTTGAGAGTATACGGAAAACTGTTGCTTTGAGGCTTATTCTTTTCCCGCATACAATGCCCTTGGAAAACAAATGTTTATTCATTTAAATTAAAGGCCGCAGAAAACTGGAACAATGGAGCCAAGTAGTAGCGACTTTGATGCGAACGAAGAACATACTCAAAGCGTAATCCCCTTCAGAAATATTACATAATCAGCTTTCATTTATTTGTTTTTATTAATTATTTTATCGCCCGTTCATCGAATTATGGAGTCGAAATAAATTTATATAAACTATGAAAAAATTATTATAAACATTTCTCGGCAATTCAAATGCGTGCGAACCAGTGTTTTCGTACTCAGATAAATTAGCTTAGCTGAGTCCTGATATAAGTAATAAGCTTAAAACTACACTATACCAAAAAATAAGGCTTTGAAATACTTGCAGAGAAGCTGCAACAGCAAATTTGTCATTGATACAGAATTTGAATATCTACGACTCACAACCACAATAAAAAATAAAGACTTTTGACCAACTGATTGAAAAGTTTAGCAATCTCCGTTCTAGTCATTGCCAGAGAAAACCAGTGTTACAAAAAACGAAATCTTCGATTGATAAAAACTCTATAGACGCTAATCACTCAGGCGACCATGCAATACATCTCTTGGTTTTCTACTTTTCACTCCGAATATGTTAACACGCTCTACAATAAACCTTTCATATCATGACATTCGGCGACTACTGAGCCGGTTACCTATTTTACAGAATGGCAAAGAATCCCAATGAACACATGTGCGAATTTGGCAAAGCTACCTGGTCAAAACACCTTTTTTTAATAAAAGAGCACCAACTTGTGTATTTCTTTTTCAACCATCTTCCCAACAATATGTTTGGAAATTTTTCCCATCAAGCTCTCCATGGCAACAAAAAATCAAGAAAGGTTTACAAAAGGAAGGAAGGAGGGAAGTAACAATACCAGGAATCATTCCACAGACCTCAGAATACATACAGAAAGAAGATGCTGTACCCATGCATTGTTTCATGGCAAACTGTCATTCAACTCATATTTGGCATATTGGGGAAATGACCTCGTTTGAAGTTCTGGAAACTTTCCCAAAGGTAGAATATGAAATTAATTAACTTATTTAAGATTCCAAGTATAATGCTTAGATTTGCTTTTGCAAAGCATAAAGCATAGCCTGAAAACGGTCCCATACAACACCAAATGTTGCAGACTACATTCAGCTTTCTATTCAGCAAACCACACCACTCTGTCCATTGAATTTAGGAATCTAATAACCCTCACACAGTCGATTCCGCCTTTGGATGTCTAGAGTGGAATCTCAACCAATATCACGTTTCACTTGTTGTAGAAGCAATAAGTTTAGATTCATATTTCGCTTTTTTCTCTTTACGTTTCGCATCTCGATGTTTCTTTTTATAATCCTGAAACAACAACAATACTATATTAGGATAATCAAACTCATAAAAGTGAAGAAGAAATCTTAGATGATAGGATTTAATATTTATACAGAGAAAAGAAAGAAATCATATAGCCAACCAGTCTCTCCCTCTTACTACCAGTTCAGGCCGGGTGGGAAATTGGTTAATGGTTTCATTAATATGTATTGCGGAGATGGGGGAACCTTTATCAAACAAGCTGCCACTATGCAATGGCGGGAAGTTTAGGAATCCCGTTGAACATAATTATCCCAAACAAAAATTGCACCTGCAAACCCATGCCAATAATCCGCACTGAAAAGACAAGCGATTTCAAATACGTAGGCAGAGATAGTGCTGGAAGTCAAGTCGAAAAGCAGTTACCTGGACTACACTCTGAGATGGCATAGATTCCAGCGATCTCACAATTGATCATCAAGTAGCGAGATTGGAAACTGCAAACTCGAACAAGTGAACAGCGGTACAGAGGAAACGTTGTTCCCTACAAATTCCACGTTGAGCCAAATACCTTCCATTATTACAAAATCGTTATTTCGTCATTTACCTTTATTAAAGTATCTTTGACTTCCAACCACTCGTTCCGAACTTGTTCAAATGATTTATTCCAACAAAATAATTTGATTCCTTCTGTAATACGAGTATCAGAAGGTGACGTCATAAAGAATGTACTCGGATGTTGAAAATTTGATTTTAAATTTTCAGTTGATATATTAGATTCTGAAGTGAACACATAAAAAACTTAGTTATTCAAGTTGAGGAAAGCTGGTACTGATGGGAAAGCTTACCATAATTAATTCAATTTAAATTACCATAATTTTTATAATTTATACAACTTAGACAAATAAATGAAACTATTGCACAGAGCCCAGCTAGCCTACAGAATGTCCACCGGGATTCCGCTCCATTAAGACGGTTGTAAACCACTGGTCTAACAAATCGGGCAGCCTATGCCAAAAGATGGTGTGACACTAAAGTAGTCAGGTGAAATATACAGTTCAATCATCAGTGATACCAACACCATATAAAATCCCCCTTCCTGTCAATTCAATTTATCTGGGATAACACCAACCCAACTCCATATTGACAGTGATTTTTTCAAATTGTGGATATTCACCTCAGAGTCGGGACTATCTTGCATTTTTCGGACGAACAAAAAATAGATTCCTTCATATATTTCAAAATGGAAAAATTGGAAAGTAATAAATAAATAAAAAAACCGAATACAAACTATTTGATCACAGAAATCCTGAAATCAATAGATCTGGTACATAAACCCAACCTTTTAATTCTTCGAAATTGTTTTCATTAATTTCATCCTCGTTTGTATCTTCTATTTCCTCCTCAGTATCACTGCTATCATACCGAAATTTACTCATTAATGTTGGCATATCTTTCTTCATTGACGAATTCATACGGAAACGAGAATCTGAAACAGTAAAGTATAAATCATAATTAATTGATAGAAAAGTCCAAGAACAACCTATGTAGTCAGGTGTATCAAATGTGCTCATTCTATATTTCAGTTGCAATGTTACAAGTGAATTTGTACTTCTTCTTACTCATATTTACAAATACAATCATCGTTACGCTTCATATTGCTATACAACATGCATTGTGTAATATTGACAAAACTATTTTTCACATTATACCTTCCACATCCATTTCTTCATATGGCTTATCATTATTTATATTTTCTTCATCATTGTCATTATTTCTTCCCAACATAGCAAGAAATGAAAATGGCTCAGACTCCTGTTTAGCAGTTGTATCCACTTCTTTCTGTAGAAAGAGAATATTGATAGATTGAACGAAAAACTAGACTTACAGCCAATACCAAAAGACGACAGGCTGCACCTTCTCTTTTGTGGTATTCAGAATACAAACAATTTTACTTTGCATTATTATAATAAAAAAAAAACATCTAATAGTATGACAATTGACAATTAATATAACTTCATAATGTACATATTCTAAAATATTGCAACAAGGCTCAGCTTTTGCAAACTACGTAATATAATAGCAAAGTGAAATATAATACAAATGAGAAATGACCAATCTATTGATATTTCTCTATTGCTCACATACATGATCTGACTTAGAGGCAAATGCATCTTTTAGAACAGTTGTAGACGTTTCATAGAACCTATTCGGATCAACTTCTGTAACAGGTACTGCTGGTTCTTCTCTTTTTTTCTTTTTCTTCTTTTTTGGTGGCGCGATCTCTTTCCTACAAGAGTGTACAAGAATTTAACAGTGTTGCTAGGGATGGCCATGGCAAAAGAAAAAGACAGAGCATATCTTAATTAAATGCGCCAATCTAATCTAATACAGTAAATCAATTATAAGAAGCAGCCTAAACAAATACTTGTAACTTTAGCAATGTTTGTGAAAACTTTTGAATGTAAATTTTGTTTTCTTAAAATTTGAGTCCCACCACTGATTAAGAATTCCAGATTCTGAAAGTAGAATACTTACTTTTCAGGCTTGACCTCCAAATGTTCACCCTTGAATGGATCATATCTTCTTGAAGATACGTCAATAAATTTTTCAGATTTCTTTTTAGATTTGTCATCGGTAACATTGCGACCAATGACTTGATTCAACAATTTCAGATTCTGTTGAACTTCTGAATAATTGAAAAAAATTCCTCTTAAAGGCGAGTAAAATATATTGACTGACCAAATTTCTTTTCATAGAAATAAGAATAAAGTAAAAATTCAGACCTGTGGAAATTCCAACAAGAAGTACCTGAAACGCCTTTAGTATAGAAATTTCAGTGATAATCAGAGGATTATAAAAAGACCCCGAGCAGATCAGTCAAAACTTCTTTGGAACTTTGGAATAGTTATGTTGAAAAATATATTCATTTTGGACAATCCTCCAGAGTAAAAAAGGGAATCACAACCTATATAGGAATTTTCAACTTTTATAGTTTTCTAGGGTATTAATTCAATTCTTTGAATGCTGTAAAATAACTGGAGAATGCCCAACTCAAATTCATTGCCAATAAACTGAAATTTCACATCAATTTAATGATCCACAACAAGTGATATTGCCTAAAGTGAGAGAAGAAAAAATTTGCTGGGAATATTGTCGCTGAGAATAGATATGGAAATTCATCTCATTTTTGGCAACACATATAAAGAAAGAACACTGACAACAGCAATAACAGAAGGCTTTCAAATGATAAGCTTTAACATGCTACAGGGCTTACCAGTATCCTTCTTGACAGAAAAAGCTATATCAATTCCTTCATCATTATCACTGTGTTCTTCAGCAAATCTTTTATCCAACTTAAACCTTTTATCATTACCATATCTAAAAATAAAAACTTTTCTTAAAGGAAATGTGTTGTATATAGAAATTTAATATGAATCACATGTATAACTGTATAAATAAATTTAACTCAAATCTATTCTATACTGGAGACAGGAGAGAGTGAAATTGAAAAAGTCAACCAGTCAACCCAGGTGATGCAATCTCACACTTCAAGTCGAAATATATATTTTGGTCATGCTGTATTTTTTTATACAATATCAATTAATTATCATGATTCATCAAGAACACCTCTACTTTATATTTTCTACTGATTTTCCATCATGTGTGTTTATCTTGAATGTTTGCCGTAATCCATCAATTCACAAAGCATTACATATTAGGTTAAATATCAGTGGTTCTCTAACTTTTTAAGCCGCCCATTTTCAAAATCTCGCGGTCCACCTCAAAAATACCTAACAATAAGCTGCAAATAACAGATAGTAGGGCGGAAGTATGTTTTATTCAAAAAACTCGTTGAAAATATGTGGATGGAACGTAAATAAACAAATGAAAACATCCAAAATAAGGTGGACAAGATCAAATTGGACAAATATTTTTATTTTTAATCAGCTTCACGAACGCTTAAAAAATTGGCTACGCCCCACTGTTTGAGATCCACTGTTATATATCATCTATCTTATTTTCTTGGAAATAGATAGAGAGCTTCAATCCAGAACAGCAAAAATTGAAAAAGCCATTTTCTTTTTTGAGTTTTAAACTCCAATAACTTTTTATTTAAACAGAGCTTTTGCAATTTACAGATCGAATCCCAAAAAATTGGAACCCATATAATGTGTTCCAAATGGCCTGGGTTCCATTTTTTGTGTCATCCCATATTATTGCTTCAAACTGTGATTAGATTCCAGTGCCTCTTTCTTTGAAATATTTTCAATCAAATATTTTGAAATATTAGTATTTGTCTATTTGTCCTGAAGCCCGTAATTAAGATTAATATTTACCCAGATTGTAGCTCAAGTAATTTTTCTCCATGTTTTCCTTGAAATTGAGGTTTAATTTCTATTTCATTTTCTGATGAATCGCCATCAACAAAACCCAGAACATCATCAAAATTTCGTTTTTTTGGTTTTAATTTTTTTCCTTCAATCGTCGCACTATCACTGTCATCGGAGTCTGAAAACCTTATATGTGTGGATGATTTATTCTCGCCATCCTGTGAAACAAAATAGAAAATATTTTGTTTTGTCTCTGTTTGGTAAAAAATGTTTGAATCGAGATTTGGCATAACACTGTAACAGGTAACATACCTGCATACTGAAACGGTGAAAAATGAGACAAAGTTTCGAAAGGAGGGTTTAAAAAACAAAAAGCTGAAAAGCTGCCATCCTCTCCCGTGATTGAATGTGATAAAATAAAATAGATAATGTTACAGAATATGTGTGTAAAGAAGAAGAGACATCGTACAGTCTTACCAATGTAATAAGAGAATTCTTTATTTGCGATTTTTCAACTGCATTTCTTTCCACTTTTTGTCGTATAGCATTTAGCCTGATTTCATTGGCTCGTCTTCCGCGAGCAGCCCTTTCTTGCTCGGACATACCGTAGCTGGTAGCAACTTCTCAGTTCAGCAGTTGCGACAGTGGTAAACTACCACAGAACTATGTTTAGATAGATAGATAGTTTATTTCGAAAACTCCATAACAAACCTAAATTTAAAATGGAGAATTCTGGAGGGCAAGCAAAACCTACAAAAAAGTTTAAAACATGAAGTATCTCATGTGCCTGCCCACCAGCACGCACACAAAAACACAAGCCCAATTAAATGAGGCTTGGGCCAAACTTAAAAAACAAAATACACGATAGCTGGATAGTAATAAACTTTCGTGCTGTTGTACTCTCTTTCAACAATTACGTTGATAATGACCAATACCTACAACCTCATGCAAAGATAATGTGGGGAGTGGAATGTAATAAATTTGCGACGATAGTCATACTCATGAAGCCATGAAAGCTTTAAGAAAAACCAAGCATGAAAAATTACACTGATTGCTAGATTGGGCATTGCGGAAAAGGTGATAAGTGGTTTCATATACAAACAAACGCAAAGCCATGACGGCAAATTCGGTGTGCGGACACTCATAAAAGCAATTATTAGGAAAAACACTAATCACACGTGAGCAGGTCTGTAGCCTAATTGATACATTGACGTGGCCAACATTGTTAAAACAGTACCGGTATACACACAGAGAGAACAAATCAAAAATATGCCACTAAATGAATGTTTAAGAATGTTACACTGTAAGTTACACTGCAAACTATTTACACATATATAGTTGAATACTCAGTATTCAAGCGGAATTTCTAGAAATAGCAGTATATCATACCGGTACTCTTTGTCACAAAATAAAATATCTGAATCAATCCCTGTTGTATTCATCTTTCGATTCTGTTATGATGTCCGTATGTTGCCTTTATGCTGCCATGTAATTTCATATTTCGGCCTTTACTTGTTGATATTCCTTAAGTGCTGGTTCATTGTTGTCAATCTAATCTTTCTGCGCCGTTCAAAAATGCGACCGCACCCGACGACTGCCAAACACAAACTTTAAATCCAATCTTTTATCCATAAACTTCTTTAATTCCGGTGGATGGGCCTTGATCATGTTGATATCACGAGATACAAATCTAATAGTAAATACCGAAACACACAGCGCGTAGCATTCTCAGTCCAACAGCATTGATTGATCTTTCATCTAACAGAGCAACAAAAACACGTCCGACCCAGACGGCAGTCAACAGATTGAATTGGCTTCTCGTAGTTTTCACTATTTCAAATCACAGTAGATGTCAGCCACACATTCGTAAGGAATTGCGAACGCCTAATGAACACATTCACAACTAAAACTAACTTCGTAAGTACAGAATTACGAGTGCAGCTGTATCTACAATTGAAATATTCAATACAATGTTCATGCGGATATTTTTCTCAACCTTTGACCCAGAAAAATTCACAACACCACGAGTTTTCGCCCTGCTTTGAGTCTGATCAATGAGCATATATACAATGAGTGGAAACTTGCGAAGATTTGCTCATTTTGGTATTGTTCCCTGCATTTTTACGTCGTCCAGCTAAATGGTTCGTTGCATATTAAGAAAACGCATTGCTCGCTGCCAAAATCCCTTGCTTCAGCCGAGTCGGGTGCGAAATTGGCCGTATTGAGGTCTGTAATTCTTCAATACATATTTGGTTTTGGGTTTCGAAGTATGGTACGCTGAAAGCATACAACTATGAGCATATGCTTATTGGGAATGCATATCTATTAGGCAGAAAACGTATCTACAGAACAGAATATGAACCAGTCGCCGAGAGGGGTGCGGTTATTTATGTATTTATTCATTGATATAACATGGGATTTACATATTTATCCATGGGAGAGGAAAGCCGAGAAGAATGCCTAAATATATGGCGAACCACGGCCTCTCACAATCATAGCTCTGTCCTCCATATGAATCACATGGCTCTGCGAGCTATTCGTTTACCTATTAAAAATACTGATTTTAACTATAAATTACTCTGGGATATCTTGCCTTTGAAAACAAAAGCCAGAAATTGGAAGAAATTTGGAATTTTCATGTATTGTAAATTACAAAAAATATTTATGAAGAATTTGTTTTAGATATATTAAAATTGATTAGAATACATTTTGTTATCAATATGATTCTTGCATATCATTTAATTTTAACGATCCTTTATATAGTCATATAGATACTGTTGATTTAGATGCAATTATACTTTTGTTATCAATAGTGAGAAATATTTCAGGACTGCTATTAACTATGTGAGCTATTTTTTCTGCAATGCAAAATACATCTTGCGTCTGCAATTTACTATGTGAATTAATTTTTCTGCAATGTAAAGTATTTCCATAACTGCTTTTACTATGTGGGCTGTTTTTTCGGTACTCTTGTAGTATGTGTACCAGGTTAGGTTACGATTCTCCTTATTTTTGTTCTATTAAAAGTTCGGGAATTGTCTGTGTTACACAAGTGAATATCCCCTACCGATAGAATTTAGTCCATTTACACAACTTGATATAAAATAGGCGAACAAAATTAGTTACCTTCATATTGGTACACATACTTCTGGAGCACCATTTTTTTTGTAATGTAAAATATTTAATATGTGAACTAATTTTTTTGGAATGCAAAATATTTTCTACAGCTTCTGTATTTTTCATATGTCACTTTTCATTTCATCGATAATACACATGGTCTGGCACATTGTTCATTCTTTGTGGAGATTTTGGTAAATTTACAGATGGAATAAGACCGACATTCAGCTTTTTTCTGTTTTACAACTGTAATACAAATTGAAGTATGTAAACCCAGTTGGTAGACACCGGAACCATGTGTACCAGGTTAGGGTCTACTACATACAAGCATTCCCAAACTTTTCAAGCCGCACCCCCTTTTTAGAATTTGTGAAGTCTTGCGCCCCACCTCAAAATAGTTAGCTAACAATAATAAGCTACGAATAACAGTAGTAACAGTAAGGCATAAGTACGTTTTATTGGAAAAACAGTTGAAAATACATGGATGGAACGAAATAAATGACAAGTTTTGATATGCAAATATTTACAAGTTTTGATATGTATAAAATTAGCCAAGTCCAGAAGTCAGTATTTTAAACTAATAGAGAGGGAGAGTTTATTTCGTTCGTCAAACCATGAACATATATAAATTATAATAAAAAAAACAGATGCTCAGGTGTTTGACTGGGAGACAACGTTACAACATTTGGGGTCGTTTAACAGGTTCGGTGTTAAATTCTTCAATAGCTCTCATATACCGTATCCACTATATACATTATTCACAAGAATTTTTGATTTGGAAAGTACTAAATAATCATGTTTTGTCCTAAGATCATCATTTATTCAGCTGATAAGTTGACATGTATTGCATATCAACTGCATAAAAATGGGTTAGCAAGGATACCTATTATTTGGAAAATTTGTCTACTAAAAATTAATGTGATAGGACATGGGTTTTTTATGAGCAAAGATGAGGAAAATTCTATTATTATAGCACTTTAATTATAAACATTTGATAATAGTAATGAAATCATGAGTATATTTCTTTATACACTATAATTTGAACACATCAAATTATAATACTTGATTATGACTGGCAAGTGATTTGGAGGATAGTGACACACATTAATACATGATCAGGATTTGACCCTTGTCCAGCAGATATATATATATATATGAAATAAAGTGCTCATGTACATATCTATATTCGGCTACAGAGCACGTATCATAGAATGAATTTTAAGGCGAAATATTGATAATATACTAAAATAGCAATGATAAACAATAGGTTATTTTTAAATAAGTATTACCGGTACTAAAAAATAAATGAAGTGCTCATATACATATAGATATTTGGATACAGAGCAAGTATCATAGAATAAAATTCAAGGCAAAAAATTGATTAAATACCAGAATAGCAAGTATAATAAACATTAAGATACTTTTAAACGAAGTATTACTAAAATATAAATAATGTGGTCATGTACATAAATATTTGGATACAGAGAAAGTGTCATAGAATTTAGGGCGAAATATGGATGCAAGTATGATAAACAATTTGATATTTTTATAAAAAGTGTTACCAACAAATAAAATAATAGATTATGGAGTTCCAGCAAGTGTGCTCATAACAAATAAAAAGATAGCAATTCATTTACCACAGTGAATTAAATTCATTACACATTACTACTTGCTATAACACGGCGGGCACATGATACTCATCGTGTTTTAAACTTTTTTAAAGGTTTTGCTCGCTCTCCAGAACTCTCCATTTTTTATTTGTTTGTATTGTCAGATTGTGGACTTTTCAAAATAAACTATCTATATCAATGAATACAATATCCCAGGTCACCACTTGGCTGGTTCATATTCTGTTCTGTAGTTAAGTTTTCTGCCTAATAAATGGTATGTATTCCCAATAAGCATTACAGTATGCTCATTCGTTCACTCAATGAGTGATTTTAATTACGGTTAATATAAATAAGTTCATATTCCATGTTGCATCCATGATTCAGTATTTATTTTGTTCAATTCCAGTAGTAATCCATACCATAATTAGGTTATTTTAATAAATGCATTGATATAAAACAATAAAAATGAAATTAGTAAATATAAAATACATATCATAAACATATAATTTTCTTTTTGAAATAACGCTTTACATAAATTTTTCAATTCCCTCTCAAATGGGTTGTTTATTCTATAATTCTCTATATTTTTCTACATATTATGGCCATTTTTATCTGCTTTTTGAGAAAGGCAAAATGGGGTGTTTTATTTTCGAATATAATAGAATTTCTCATGGTCAAAATTTTATATCTCACTATTGATTACAAAAGTATAATTGCATCCAAATCAACAGTATCTATATGACTATATAAAGGATCGTTGAAATTAAATAATATGCAAGAATCATATTGATAACAAAATGTATTCTAATCAATTTTAATATATCTAAAACAAAATCCTCATAAATATTTTTTGTAAATTTACAATACATGAAAATATGTGAAACAAACTCAGGTTCTTCATTACATAATACACACATTTCATTGTCTGCTATTCTTCCAATTTCTGGCTTTTGTTTTCAATGGCAAGATATCCCAGAGAAATAGTTAAAATCAGTATTTTTAATAAGTAAACGAATAGCTCGCAGAGCCATGTGATTCATATGGAGGACAGAGCTATGATTGAGAGAGGCCGTGGTTTGCCATATATTTAGGCATTCTTCTCGGCTTTCCTCTACCCTTGGATAAATATGTAAATCCCATGCGCGGCGGTGTGGCTCAACGGGCTAAGCGTTAGGAATACGCTCGCCACCGCACCTCTAATTACTCTGCATGGGTCCGCAGGTTCGAATCCCATGCAGGGATGGTTATGTGCAAGAGGATTGCTGGACTCCTCGCCGCCGTTGGGTGATTCACGTAACCGCTGGTCGGTTACGGCTTCCTCCACCAACAAGTCCATGCTTCCGAAAACAAACAATATAACTAATCCCATGCCCGACTTGGAATGGTAACCGGACGAGAGGCCGTGGTTCGCCATATGGATAAGTCGTCTTATCGGCTTTCCTTTCCCCCGGGATAAATATGTAAATCCTTATCCTTATCCTCATTATCCTAATAAATACATAAATAACCGCACCCCACTGGGCGACTGGTTCATATTCTGTACTGTAGCTAAGTTTTCTGTCTAATAGATATGCATTCCCAATAAGCATATGCTCATAGTTGTATGCTTTCAGCGTACCATACTTCGAAACCCAAAACCAAATATGTATTGAAGAATTAAAGACCTCAATACGGCCAATTTCGCACCCGACTCGGCTGAAGCAAGGGATTTTGGCAGCGAGCAATGCGTTTTCTTAATATGCAACGAACCATTTAGCCGGACGACGTAAAAAATGCAGGGAACAATACCAAAATGAGCAAATCTTCGCAAGTTTCCACTCATTGTATATATGCTCATTGGTCTGATATATAAAAGAACAGTATAAGTTTATTTCGATTCCATAATCAGCATAATACATGGTAAATGAATTGATAAAAACGAAACAAATAAAACCTATTATAGAATCAGGGGATGAAACAAATCCTCAAGTAAGGTCCAAAACTTACGGACGTACATGCAGAACAAGATCATGTTCAGGGAGTAAAAAATAATGAACTTCATTAAATCCGGCGAAATCAAAATCTACCCCGGGATAAATATGTAAATCATATCCCATATGTTCACGCCTGTGTCAATTATAGTGACTAAAATTATGTAATGTTAGTTTAACCATATAGGCCGCGAGCCGAGGCCATTTATCTTTCAGTTTCGTAGCGCACATAAGGTAACTACCTGAAAATGATTTTAAAATGTTCCTTAGAAATTTAGTAACAAATATTGCCTTGTTCTCACTTCCAAAAGTTGCACGTTTTACAGAAAAGACGCTTTTACTACAATAAATATGTGGGACCATCTGTCCTATTTCTCTGCTTTTCCGGTATCATGGGCCAATGAACGCAGACTTCTGCATGACGTAACAAACAAATTAGTCAGCTGTAGGTGGATCCCAGTGGTCGGATGAATATCAGATGTACTACTGCTCGTGCGTTGAGTAGCCTTTCCATAGTTTTTTTCAGTTATTATTAGTGCAGTTATTCTAAGGAGGTGTTGAAAAGTATAAGTAAGATATTAAACACTTGTATATCCTTACCATAAATAGCAATTTTAGTTGAGCACTAGCTCATAAGACGTTGTTAAATAGGTACGGTGCGGTAACTCCAAGGAAGGCTAGACCTACAATGATATGTCACAAACAACGATATTTTCTGGCTTGCATGAAATGTGTATGATTAATTTAATGACTCTTCTTGACTATTCAGCAGACTTATACTACTATATAGGCCACAGCATATTTGGAAATAGAAATTAATGGCTGTTTCTGTAATGCACGGTTGTGTGAAAGAGAAGAAAATAATCAATTTTACTAATGTCGGTTGGTCTAAATCTAAATTCATAGAGTCGACAAGAACCTGGGAAGCAATGATAAGTTATGCCGGAATGAAAAAAAAAGTAGCATTGGAAACGATTGAGAGGTGAGAAATCAAGTTGTAGACAGACAGTTGATGTTTTAAAATATAGTCTATAGTCCATACTCATACTGTCATAGGGCCTTTCAGACTGTGATATATCAAAATTTAGTGTAGTTATAGTCTAGTAATGGTGTGCAAACACTGCTGGACTGTACTACATGCAATCAGCATATATACGCTCATTGAGTACATCAGATAAAATGCATTATGTATTCAAGGTATTAGTTAGTATTTAGTGGTATTTTTACACTCATGCTGTTCCAAATATGATTTTCTTCCTCATTTTAGATACTACTACAAAAGAAAACGGCAATGTTCCACCAATCCGACCTAACGCAGGCTCTAATCCCTGCTGCTATCAGTGCTATAAAATGGTTTGAACAAGAAGTCTTGAAGCGTAAAGGTATATGAGAATCATAATAATGGAACCAGCTGTTCATATTGAAATACTTTAGCACTTTTCTGCAATTGGAACTGCCCATCAAACTCATGTTGAAGACTTCATTGAGGTTTTCAATTCATTTTTTTTTAACTAAGAAGATCTTTTGAGGTTAACGAGGCCTTAATAAAAAACGCTGGGGAATTTGTTTGTTCACTGTATGAAGAGGATATGAAGGATGTAAATGATACCAGGGCACGTCTATTTAAAACTGGCAAACATAAAGATTATACTCTTTCACCCAACAATGATTCACTGAAGAAGCATGTGGCCCTCAACTCAGTTCTTGAGTTGGCAAACTGCAAGTGTAAGAAAAATAGTGTCAAAATAATTTATGCAATTGTGCCAAAATCAACTTAAATTGCACAGATTTTTGTTTTTGTATTGACTACAAAAACACAGTACACTTATAGAGGAAAAGTCGATTTTCGAGATAGTGGATTTCGAAAACAATTCAGAAAAAAGTGAATTAGATATTGCAGTTGATTTAATAAGTATCATTTATTTGTTTTTGTTTTCGGACATTTGTTAGTGTCGTAGTCCTGTTTTTGGAAATAATATTGCCTTTGTTCAAATACATAACCACATAAACTAAAAAAAGACTAATTGTAATATTTCTGTTCACTATGTTATGTACATATTGTACATTCATTTAATTTTCTTGACTTTTCCGGTAAATTTCTAAGTGAGAAATAACTGATTTAATTGTGTTTTCGTGCTCACGATGTTAATTTGTGACTTCATTGCTTAAAAATAAATACGTTTGATAGCTTCTATAAAATGGATGTAGCTTTTTATGCTTTTCTTGTTGTAAACTGCTTGTGGTTATTACCTAAAATTTATTTGCTAATGTGAATCAGCGTTGTTGGTGTCGCTGCTTTCGAGGTCACTCGCGACTCCTGTCACACAATTAAAGTATTTTTTGTTGTTGGTTACATGTATGCAATATTTTTCGTAATCTACCTAATAAATGATGATTGACTGAGGAAGTCCGATTTTGGTCAGGCAAAACATTACAGGAATACATTTGTGTCAGTGTGCTGTAGGGCTCTCGAATTGCATAGTTCTGATGTATGTGTTGTTATGGTTATTGAATTTCCGGGAACCTCTTATATTCAATTTCGCATCAGGATTGTGGAACATGCTGTAATGCGTTCAGTATGTTCATTTTCACATAAAATTGAAGAATTTATTTAGTTACCAGATGTGCGCTACGAAACTCATTTTCTGGGCGTTTTCAAGGCTTCGTCTCACGGCCCATATCCGTGGTAAGGATCTACAAGTGTTTAATAACTTACTTATACATTTCTCAACAACGTCTTAGCATAACTTAACTAATAATAACTAAACAGGGCTATGAAAAGGCTGCCCAACTCAACGCAAGGTCGAGCAGTAATAACTAATATTCATCCGCTCGCTAACAGCTGATTCGATTCAATTGTTACGTCATGCAGAAGTCATTGTTCAATGCCGAAAATGTAGAGAATATAGGACAGATCGCAGCACATATTTCTTGTAGTAAAAGCGTCTTTTCCGTAAAACGTGCAACTTTTGGAAGTGGGAACACGGCAATATTTGTTACTAAATTTTTAAGGAACATTTTAAAATCATTTTCAGGTAGTTACCTGATGTGCGCTACAAAACTCACTTTCTAGGCGTTTTTCAGGGCCTCGGCTCGCGGCCTAATAGTAGTATATATTTACGGTTTAACCGTAGTAGTATACATTTACGGTCTAACCAGAGCAACGACTGAACCAGAGCCATTATAATATATTATATATAATGGCTCTGGTTTAACATCGTCGCCACAAACAGTATTCGAAAAATGGTTTGTAATACTGTCTTGGCAATACGCTCCCCCAACCAAGAAAAATAATGCAAGCATACAAAACAGTCAACACGATTCAAAATCAGGCAATACTTTTGAAGCAATTTATAATGCGAGAGCACTTAACAATCAATATGATAAGAACAGGGAAACAAATTACTGCTATACATTTTTTTGCTCTAATTAATATAATCGGCTCTAATTAAAAAGCCGCAAAACGTGCCGCAGATTGCTACAGAAAAAAGACGCCTCCGTTCCAGCTTTCCGTTGTTATTCAACACACGTTTAATTCAACAATCGGTGAAATTATGAAAGATAGTGGAATTTGATAGCATTTAGTAAGTTAGTAATCTAGTAAGTTTTCTTCTGTTTCCATACTTTGAATGGGGGATATAACAAAACAGGAGCACATGATTAAAGACGCTGTAGCAATAGACACAATATTAATATTATAATATATATATATATGAAACAAATCACCAAACTAAAAAAATCAGTCTATGGGAGTTGGCGTACCGGATTGACTAGTCAAATGTCAGCAATATATTAGGTTAACTAAATGAGTGTATAGGCTACTGTGGACCGTTCAAAAATTTAAATTATTTTTTAAATGGGGCGAGGTTGCTCCTTCAGTTCTCCAGTGAGTGACCAAACTCAGCTTCTTTGAAAGCCCGCTGTGAAATCTCTGATAAAAACGAGTAAAATTTTATCTGTACATTTTAATGTTTGATTGAAACGAAAAATCGGATATTACAAAATGTGGTAAACAATTCTAACTTAAAGTTAGATGAAACCTGATGATGAGCAGAAGAGATTGTTAGCCCCAAAATTAAAACCCAAAAGCCAAACGTGACGACGCGAGATTTGAGTTAGGTGTCGTTATATTTCCATAGCTCCTCACCATATAAAGATTGAAAAACATAGTGCCAAATTCCAAATTTGTGAAATTTTACTGGTATGGGAACGTGTTTATTATACCAAACAGAGTCACATTCACGAAGTATATATCTGTATATACCAGCAGAGAAAATTGTCAAGGACTATAATATATATGTTCTAGAAAAAACGATAGTATGCAATGTCGCTTTTTTATCAATGAATGAGTCTCTTTGTTTATATGGTACGTCGCATGATGTGAGAACACCGACTTACTAATCTTAATTTAATTTAAAACTTAATCTCAATCTTTGGTTTATCATCCCGATGATGCCCCCTGCTTCTAGTTTTTGGCGTCGCTTATGTGAATAATAAAAAGACAGTCGATGCATGAAGTTGACTATGTCACACTGTTGTTTCGTTTCAGAGACGGTCCTTAACGTCGGAAAGCGATGGCGCGATTGCATTATTATATTTGAAACTGATTTTACCGAAATTCTCCACATTTTTCATTGAGTTCTTGAACACAACTAGTAGCAGCTCGCGCTATTATCTTTGAGGGCGCTAGAACAATCGTGGGAATGCCATGATTGTTGATAAGTTGCTCCTTATCAAAGAAGTGCAATATATATCTTATTACGTTTGCTTCACACATCAAACCACCACGTTTGCTTATCTATTGCCCTTTTAAGATTAGCCTCGTACCTCATGAGATAATGGATTTCATCCTCCGTATATATATATATTCGATATCCAGCTTTTGTACTACTTGACATACTGTTCTTATAGAAGACACAACGATTAAGAGAATAGAAAGACCTGGCGATCTTTCAAGTATCTTATGTTTATTTTTTTGCAATTTTATTATCTTTCTGAAGTAGATTTTTAAAAAATACTTCGGGAAGACGAAATGTATTTTGTATGTTTTTTTATTATTTCGCAGTCATATAACATACTTAACTTAAGATGACCTCAGAATACTGGCAATACTTTGAAAATAAAGATGTTCCGGAGGCGACGGATGTTCAAAACATCGCCTCACAAAGTTTTGAAAATAGCAAAAGTAAAATTGATAGTTTTGACCAGAACAGTCCAATAAATTTGATTCACATGAAAAATTATCATGGAATAAAAAATGATGAGTCCAACAAATGCGCAGAAATAGTCGCAGTGAATGAAAGTCAAGAAACGCGTTTGCCGTGCAATTCAAAGTCATTGACCTGTCACATCTGTGATTTAAAATTATGTCACAAAGCAAGTCTCAAACGCCATATGAGAAGGCATTTAGGTATCAAGAATCACAAGTGTGACAGATGTAACAGAACATTTGGTGAAAATTATACCTTGATAAAACATCAAAAAACTCATCTTCGAAATAGAGATAAACACGGAAGAATCTCTATTAAAACCCTCTTTCAGAGTAAAACAATGATTGGAAACAATGAAAGTGATGATGAAATTGTTACAACTGATAACCCCGATGGGTTAAAAGATGAATACAATCAATTCTTTGAATATGGAGAAGATTCAGAGACAGCGGATGTTCAATATTTCGCCTCACAAAGTTTGGAAAAGCCTAACTTGAGACGACATCAACAACTTGTTCATTTACAGAATAGTGAACAACACGGAAAAATCTACTCAAAATCTACGTGTGACAAAAACTCAATAAAAGGAAATTTGTGTCAACAGAGCAGCTGTATCACCAAGCATCCAAAAATACAGGAAATAAATAAACGTGTTTGTGCCGTTTGTGAAAAAGTTTTCCCTCGTCCATACCTTATGAGGAATCATCTGTATACCGTGCATGCAACGGAAAAACGATTTAAGTGTGAAATTTGTACGGATAAATCTTTTGCTACAGGAATGCAGCTAATACGAAACTGCGAAACAAAAAGACATTTGAGAAATAAAGAAGAACTCGAAAACCCACACTTGTATATCATTTGATTGTTAGCGTTTCATTTCACGATGCTTACGAATACAGTATAACTTAATATTAAAAATATTGTTTCGTCTTTGGCATCAATGGTGTCATGTGGCTAACAACAAATATCCGTAATGTTACATTTTAAATGTTTTTTTCCCACACGCTTGATGCATACATATCAGTAATATATGTTGATGATAATTTGAAGAAATTAAACCCAAATTCTGATTGCTTAAAATTTATTGCGATTCGTGTGGCCCTCCGCTCATTATGTGACTGTAAGTAAGCTACTTCAAAATAGTAATAGCGACGTGTTAGCAAGCTTTTATTTTCCTGTACTGCCATTGTTAGATGTTTCCATTTGAAGTGAGCTTTCCCGGAAAAAACTCGCATGCACACGCAACACAAACAAAGAGAAATATGTTCGTTCTAAGAAAAAAGTTCAGGACTTTGTGCCCGTGCGTTATTTTATTTATGTCTTCTCTTTATTCTCGTTTACAGTTTTATGTTGCATGAGTCAATTTGTTTCATTTACATCAAACCAACAAATTCTCGAGGCGTCATATTCAACCCTACTTTGCGTCGATTCCGTAAAACAACAATGTTTACTGTTAACAGCTTTATCACAAGTATAAATACATTCGCGTACCAGATGGAAGATTGAGTAACTTCTGGGTTATGTCATCTAAATTCATTTTATTCGTATTGCAAATATCCACTGCCTATCCAATACCAAAAAAAATATTCTTGCAAAGTCGTTTTTTCCTTTTTCAGATGGTCGTTTCGAGAACGTGATAAAATCCGTTACACCCCATGTCGCCAATTAGAGGCCCGTGCTCACTTTTCTTTTCAGTGACAACCTTTAGAATCTTTCATATGAGGTTGGTCAATTTTGTAGGTAAGACAGACAGATAACAAAATAAATCGGTTTCTACGAAGCACGTTTTCCTCGTATTAGATAGGTACCTATCATGTACGTTCGTACCGTAAATTCGACTACCTGGACTGCAGTTTCACGTAGAGTCGTAGACTTTAGTACTTGAGAGGTTGTTAGACATCTGGACTCGGTGTCACGGATATCTTTCCTTGTGAATTACTTGTATGAAGTGTTTATGGGTAAGGTAAATTGTACTTGGCGACCTTTCATTATCAGGTTTTTGATCGACTCTATCACCTTAAAAACTCCTCGATTGCGCAAATATTTTCCATTCGAAATCGATTCGAAGTTACTTATTATGAAAGAGACGTTAAAAGAGAAATACTATGGGACTAAATCTGATGTTGATTTGTATCCTCTTCGAAGACTAGAAATAGAAATTTGATAGACCATCAGATGTTTGTCACTCTTCGCCCAGTTTCTACTTTGCCTGATCCATTCCAAGCCCCGATTAAAGTCATCAAAGACTTTCCCGAAAATGGAAGGGCGTGTCAACAAAATGGTCGAGGACCACTGCTGATTCCAAGGATTCTGATTGCTCTGATGAGTGATGACACTGACAAACCATTAACTAGACGGAACCGCTATCATACTTAAATTACTGCTATATCTATATATTGTACCTTTCAACCATATTAGTCAATTTTCAAACGTGCAAAAGTACTTGCTGGATAAAATGAATTGCACTCACACCATAATGACAACAAAGAAAGAAAAATTCAAGCACATCGCATCAGCACCATTTCAAAATATTGAAACTAGAAAAAACGTCCAATTAAGACGAATTATATAGTATATCAATTTATAGTAAATATCAACAAATCCGAACCTACAAACAATAGGAATAACGGCTCGCCTTGGCATTTCTACCTTAAAACTCCATTTTCATTGGATTCTTTTTGAATGGTGTTATCCATTTTGAACGAATATCCAACATAAGAATACGTCACGGAATATTTCGCATAATTAACAAATTTATATTAATTTTAAATTTGATTTAATCTTAATTGCCTTTGGAGTAAGGCCTGTACATCAAGCCCAATAATATTCAAAAAAAATTAGGCATATTCCTATTTTCTGAATCATTTATGAATATTCAAATATTGCCTGGCAATAATCAAAAGCGGATATCAAAATTTCAATTGCCAAAAACATCAATTAGAAAATATCAACATAAATTAATAATATATAACTTACAGAAAACACAAACACAGTTTATTACGTATTAATCTCTAACACAAAATTATTTCAGCTATAAGTTACAAAAAAGATAATTTCTATGCTAATGAAAGTGCAACGCATATACATTCATAGACAAAAAAACACCAGAAAAATTCGTAACCACTGTAAACATTTAGAAATTTACATTTGAAGAATATTACGTCATATCTTTGTGACTTCAATCAAGTAGAATAGGAGAATCGGTTCATTTTGAGTTGACATGGAAAATGTACTGCGATTAAACAAAATAAAATGAAGCATCAGAATTTGACGCGGTAGTGCAATTGGTATCTCGAAAAAAAAACGTCAGAGACTGTATTGATTCGTCTAACCCAAAATAGATAAGGTGGCTAAAATAAAAAAAAAACATAGCAACTATAGGTAAACAATTCTAGATACATCTACGCACCTAATACAACTTTTATACTACAGACTTCCAATATATTACTAAACGGAGGCTGAAGGTATAAGGCATGAATATAGAAGCGACATTTCCCTATTATCAACCAGGTAAAAATGACCGCGATCTTAATAAAGTGCACATCTTGTTGGTCAATTCATATTTTGACTACCAAAGTTTGTTTTCTCAAATTATTGGACCATTACCAAAGCATATATAAGTGCTCATTCTGACATGTTTACTTCACTCATATGAACGTTTGTAAATAAGGTTTAAGGTTTATGTCTAAACTTTTTATTTTTTTGTGCGTTGTTTGAGTTTTTGGATGTAGCAAACGAGAAAATTGCCCTGACTGAAATTCAGAAATCCGTGGAACCTATTCCGCGCTGAATTTATAATATATTTCCGAGTAAAAATGTTCGTTCGATCTCTTGCCCAGACCACGGATCGTTAATTGTAATTGAGTAAAGTACCGTTCAGGTGAATTGATTGGCAGATTTCCAAAGTCAATGTATATGTTATTACGAGCTTATGTTATCTTTTGAACCTCAAGTAAAAATAATTAAACAGCACACAACCGATCCGAATGAACAATTTATTCAATTGAAAGTATCCATAATCTTCATATTTTTATTTTTATCAATAAAATGCGTGAATCGAAGTTTTATGCTAGGTCCAGATTTTGCCGATGTAGTTCGATAGAGAAAAACTGGAAGAAAAATGAAAGGCGTGCGTTACTTGGTTACCCATATCTTTCGCTTTGATCCTGCTGGTGTTAACTGTTCCGTTTGTAAAACCAATATTAATTTGTCAAATCGCGTTGGAGAAGTACCGAGATTTGAATTTTTGAAACAAATATGCAGTGGAATTTTCGCGTTGATGTGTCACATTATTTTCATGCGGTGTGTGTTATTCTCCTTCGATTTGTGGTATAAATTTTAAATACCATATTTAAAAATTTACAAAACGAATGTGGAAGAAAATTATCCACATTATTTTAAGTATGTCGACGGTTTCTTTGTACCGCAAAGTGTAAGAGTCGCGACGTCGGGCACCGACGAGTCATTAATATTAAAAAACTTTCGGCAGAAAAAATAATTTCTATCAGACAGAAAACTAATTTCCATTTCCGACAAGGCCTCTTTAACTACAGCCCGGGACGATGCTTGTTTTTACGAAATTGACACGTTTAGAATAATGACGTCATGTATTTGTTTTGATATTGCGCCGAGCATAATTGACTGTTAATTGGTCGCGTGTGGGCCTTAGATAATAGGTGATTTTATCGCTTGATATGTCTGTGCACCGTACTTGGTCTGTGGGAAAAGCCTTTCTTTAAAACTGGATCCGTCTATCGCAAAAACAAATTAATATTAACGTCGATAATCCGTTTATCTTTCGGGACGTAAAATATATTACGCAGGTGCCATCGTAACGACGAAAACAGATGCCGCATCCTAAGATGTAAGTAAGCAATACACTAAATATACTTTTTATCGAATATAACCAGAAAATACATCGTGAAAAGCAAAATCCTACGAATTATAGGCCAATGTCGATCAACAAAAAGGACCAAATTAACTGAATTGAGGGTACTATTTTATTATTTCCCATCACTTATTAATAATAATAACTAATAGTTGATATATAAATTACTCGGTTTACCTTGGTCCTATTTATCTATTTATCTTAAGCCAGGTTAAGAAAACCTGGAAGGTTGGATAATAATCCAACATAATTAAACCTACCCCGATACGTTATTTCGTGGTCTTGTTGAGCTAATTTGAAGTCTGCAAGTACTCCAACATGTAGCCATAGATAGCATAATCTGCTATTTTGATGGAACAAGAGCTGTTCAAAATTTCATGAATAAATTGGCCTAAATATTTTGACTGCGGTTTACCAAGAGAATAGCTCTTATAGATGGGACTGTGTCTAGTAGATGGATATTTTATTCTGTGGACAGCACACACAAATGTGCAACAATTACCGGTAGCAGTTTTTATTGTGACGTGGATCAGTCTTATGTTGACGTTGAGGGCAGGGTTGCGCGTCGGTGTCGAAATTTGGTCGCATCGGAAGTCATAATTTTTTTACAGAAATTTGAAAAAATTAGGTCGACTGTTTCTTTACGTTGACTATGTTCATTAAATAAGGTTTGCAAACGCCAAATTTTTTGTATTATCAAAATTCGATTTCAACGGGAGTTCGGAGCTGGATCCGAAATAACGATTAAGCTGAAGTCGGAAGCAGCAAGTCAAATTTTTTTTCATTTTTTTCAACTTATAGTCAGGAATCGATTTTATATTTTTCACGACCCCACAGACCTGATTTGAGGGATAATTGAAGACTGTGTACAGTGTTGACGCAGTTCTTAAGCGAATAAAAAAAAAAAAATATTATAAGATTTAGTTGAGGGGACTAACAAAATTATGAAGAATTGTGGAAAAAATACTGCAACAAAAATAGGTATGAAAAGGAATAAATAAAAACGTGGTACAAAAAATTGAAAAAGATCAATAAGATCCATTTCAATTTTGTAATATTCGTAAATTTAGTCCAAACTAGCTAGCTAAAAAGACCAAATATTATAATGTGAAATTTCTTACTCTTAGCATCACAGCCAAAACCAAACTTAGCCAACAATCACTACAACGAAGTAAGGTAGACTGGATCATATACAAGATTACAGTACCATAACTCCATTATACGATTACGCGATACTATCTGTCCGGTACAGTTCCGTTGGACATTGAAAACATCTGGGATAAGCAACGACGATAACACACCAAAGCGAGTGTTTCATGCGTCGCCTGGGAAAAAGTTTCAATAAGAAATTGTTAAGAACAATGTGGGTAGTTATTCGGATGTTCAATAGGAATTTCCGGGACGTTTTTACACGCAGATCAAACCATGCCATCGTACATTGTGAGTGCTTGCACAATCGATTGGTCGTTCTTCGCTCCTTCCAAAAATTCTTCTTTGGAGAGTTGACCGTCTTTATTCTGAAGAAGTAAGAGTTATAGTTGAAGAATGTATGCTGTAAGCATGCACTCAATAGCAACTACTGCTATGCCGAAAATGACTGGGGGTATGGTGGTAGCGTAGGCGCGAGGCGCGAGGCTCGGGTGAGATCCGGATAATATGGCCGTGAAAGCAATGATATCTAAGAATTATACGTAAATAATGATCTAGGCCTAGGGAATACAATGTGATTGACTATAAAATGCTACACCAGTAGAAACACTTCTGTACAGATACAGGGTACCACAAAAAAAAAATAAAACAGTCATTTGACACATACTCTAATAGAGGGAGCATAACTTTTGTGCAAAGCGACCTAAATTGCTGAAACATTTGTGTACACAACCGTACACAAACAGAAGTTCAGGTGTATAGCAGGAGAAACCACAACAATAAAAAAAATACGAGTTGGCAAACGTATGACTGAGCAAAAATTCCATACAGCATATTTTATGTTGAAACAGGGCTTTCGGACCGTGTTAATCAAAGTTTACAACTTGGGGGAGATATGGTCCCCCGCGACATAAGGGTGGTACAGAAATGCAGAATATTTACACATCTGCCAGCAACACGGAAAATTTATTTTAGAGTTGTTACGTGTATATCAATTGTAGTCGATACAACTGCCACCAGCGCTATTTTTAACGTAATTTGAAAATATACGAGGTACAATATGTTAAATTCCAAATAGCGTAATTGTACTACGTTCAAGCCAATATGATCATGAGAAAAGAAATTTATTTCTACTATACTGTACAGCCAAACTTTGCTATAGATATAAATAGTAGCAACTACTAATGAGGCGGAAGTTTCGCTGTGTGGGAGGTTACTTATTGCACGAACACGTTGAGTGAATAGCTATGGATGATTCTTATCATTTGCGCCATTTAATCAATCAATTCGAAACATCCTTTCAAATATGGAATATAAGGACGATAAACATTTGAACAATGGCCTACGGATTCTTTACACGACATATAAATTAACATATAAATTTTCTGATGGGGATCATCGCCCATACGACCTCTCATAAATGCACGTCGCGTAATCACATATTTGGCAATTTTGGGCCACTAATCACATTTACCAGTTTTCTCTTACTTGTTTAAAAGTTTTTAAATACTCTTGATTAGAAAACTGTTCAAATACTTTCAATTACGAGAAGAGTGATAATTTTTTAGTCTAATTTTCTTTCGATAGCAAAATAACAATTTACAGTAAAAGTACTTTGGCGTAACCTTCGTGTTATCTTAACGGCATATCGCTCGTTAGAGGGGCCGCAAAGTCTTGTTTCTGCCAGTCGTTCATTTATAATTCATAGAGATGGCTTATGCAATTTTTGGGAGCCAACACAAATACCGACTGTCTCAATTATGTATGCGCTCCCGACTGTTTGACAAAATGGGTTTTTTGCATTAATTGACCTTTTGGGTGAAACAAAGAGATTAGATAATCAAAAAATAGTAGCAAATTCACTATTTATCCACGTAATTCGGAATGCAATGGTTGAATGAATTATATTCTATATTATAGCAGGATTCGGTAAAATTTCATCCACCTCAAATCCAATACATGCGTCTCCGACGTATTTTTGGACTAGCGAATGAATTTGGTGTAATTCTTACGGATTATTCAACAGTAGCAGTTAAATAACCGAAATTTTTCAGACACTTTGGTTGCAACTACTGTTGAATATTCAATGCATCCTATACTCTGCAGTAATCGTATGGAGAACCATATTTTACAAAAGCTTTTGGGCTGCTAATTTCCCAATTCCAAATAGCAATAGTTCTCCAAGGGGAACTTGGGTATCTAAAAAAACTTCAAATATGTCTCGGTATACAATTTGCACACAATGTACAGCAAATAGAACGAAGACAACTTTTCATAAAACAATCAAACAGAAACTGCATCCCCAAAACCAAAATCAGTAGTAGTGCTTATTAATGAATACTGTAACACATAATTTATTTTTTATTCAATCAGCAGATTACAGTTACTCCACATTTATGTCAATAGTCGTATGTTTTTACCAGAGGTGGTGCGTATGAGTAAAAAACATATTTGATATATCGTTAAATGAATGGCAGATCTATGACTCTATAAATTGACACTACAATTATATAAATATAACATATAAGTTCACGCGATTTTATTGTGCACGTCACCGTCGTTCTTAGCTGTAGACATTCGCAAGTTTACATAAAATAAATAATACAAGGAAAACGGGGAAACACAAAACAATCTTGCTAAAATATTCCCACATCGACCTTGAGCTCTTCCACTCCGAGGACGCCGTGTATTTGCATCTCTTTTTTGACATAAACCGTGAACTCGGGCAAGATTACTTGCAAATGAGCAATAAAGCGCTAACAAGCTTAAATTATTTGTTACCATGGGGATTTATATGCAGCGTTAACGATTATGCGATTTTCCGCTTCGCTCCAAAAATAAAGCAAAAACGAAGTCCTCTGAAGTATACTCTTGTTAGAGACATTGAAACATCCGCTAATCCGTAATAAAAAGAACGCATAAATTTAACTTGAATTCACATAGCATAGATGGAGTATATAGGCAATAGGCAGGCATTGTTTTAGACAATATAAAAATTTTGAAGTTTTTTTGAAATTGAAATTTTGTTGAAATTTCATAACAGGAAGACAAACTTTGTTAGAATGAAAATACCGAAATTTTAATAAAAATATCCAAATTCATATATTCGCCTTTTTACATCATTCTACATATCCAATTATTCCTTTATTCGGCAATTTATATATTTTGCTGAATATTTAAAAACTTAAAACCAGTTTTTCAATATTGTTTGGGTACATTGTGAAACCGTACGCCATAAACAAATTAATATCATCTTTTCGCCCTTTTCAAGTCGCCAAATATCAAGTATTTATATCACAAATATAGTACGGTAAAGGAGCGAATGTGAAATTCTGCCCTTCGCCGTTTCAACAGTACGAAAATGGTGGATTTCATGAATTGGTTCGAATTTTATTTTGAACAATAATTGAGCTATTAGAAATATGGACTGTTCAGGTTAAACAACCCCTATTTCATTTTCAAATTACGGTATTTGCCTTTTTGTTTTGAGACCATCGAATTGCAATCTCAATAGTCTATTATTGAAGGAATATCACCCGCACGACCGCGCCTCGTATAACACTAAACTACAAACTCTACGTATTCTAGATTCACCATCTTTTAGATTTATAAATTCAGATGCCGATAATCTGTTAAACAAATTTGAATGAAATCTACAAAATTCTCTCGTGGGTTTGTTTCCAATCATTTTATCGATTGACCCCACACCGCAAAATGTGTCAAAATAGGAAATATCAATATTTTTAATTAGGTTGAAACACCTTTAACATGACATATTCAATAATGGCGCGGTTTCAGAATTGTTACTCACCTATCATGCCAAGATTTTCAACAGCAGGAGTACTTTTAAAACGCCACATATGGACAATAGACGATTATTTTCATATAATTCCGTGACTTCATTTTCACGAGAGTTTCATTAATTCAGTTTGGCGTCATGGTGGCGAATGGCGATGACGAGAATAATAGGTGTTATAACAGTAAAGTCCAGTGAAAGCATCGTCCAATTATACTAGACAATTTGGTTCTGGACAATATGAGGTTCGTATATCCGAGTGTATTTATCTAACTTGTGGTGCCGTCTTTGTTGGAGGCTAGAGCAGAGCTACCAAACCGTCACAATCACCGGAATAATTTTGTCCATCGCGAATCCATTCGTTTTTTATTTTTTTTTGTAGAGTTCTTTAATTACAAAATATTCCGATGCAATTTATAGTTAAGACGATACGCCTGCCGCCATATAAGATGCAAATTTGACATATATGATTAACTTCTTTAAAATTCTGCCGTAACATAGATACAAATATAAAAAAGCAATCAAAAAAAATTTTGTACGTGCATTTATTTCTTTTTTTGTTTGTATAAGTGGTTGGAGATGGTTATAGATACATGATCAAAATCGCCATTTGAATGTGTCCTCCTCCATGTGCATATAATTTTGTTTCGCGGCGGAAAAAGGCCCAATACAAGCTTTCGCTGATATCTAACTTGAATGAGGTGGTGGAAATGGGATTTGAACACGAGATGCGTAAGTTGCCATTTGAACACAGTTTACCGACCAGGCCACCTCGTCCGAGAAAATATCATATATATTGAATAAATTTGTATTATATTTAATTAAATTGTATCTGATATAAATTTTATGCATGGTAAACGATAAGATAGACCGAAAGAAGTATTACTCGATATCATATTTGGCCCATCTAAATTTTTACGTTAACGATGAAGATCCTTTCTATTTTGCTAATCCGTTCATAAATATTTGAGGGCGGAAGGTGGAGACGGGTCGGTCGTAAAACATTCACGCCCAGTATTTAGTTATGCGTAACTTCCATCTGCTTAGTAGAACGAAACAATTAGATTATCCATCTTGAATTTAGTGCTCTCGTTAGGCCATATCGATTACGGCCGTGTAAAGAGGAGTGGTACATTAAATATTCAACAGAAAATGGATCACTGCAAGCAATGATCCTTCTAGTAGACGATGCGTAGTCTAACTTTAATTAAAGCGTAGACTCTCGGAGTGTAATTGGGAAGTGTCAATATGTGCCAATCAAGAAAACGAATAGCGTTGGCTGAGAAATAGATTGGATAGAGTTACCAATCAGTTCTATTTATAAGATACAGATTGCCGTCCATATTTTCTTTCTTATTCATATTATTGGGTGCCAAAGATCCGAAGCAGCACCTACATAAATCCATTATTTCCATAAGCCATTTAACCCCGAATATACATCATTAAATAATAACGAACACCACAATTACCGGCCTACGTGCTTGATTATCCTAATTAGTTAAATATGAAGCAATCAACTATAATTACCTTGTCCATGAGACTGAAGATTTTGTCAACTCTTTTCTCCGGCGTGTTCTCTTCCTCTGGTAATTTGACTGCGCTACCCTGTGAAAAAAACGTTAAAAGGAAATATTGAGGCCCCAATGGTCTGATTTGCACATTTTTGTCACGCTATTGTCAACTGATTATAGTATCCTTGGCATGTGGAGAAAACTTTGACAAGTACATGTATTAGTATTCCGCTTCAACTCGTTTGAACTGTATCAAAGTAAATTGACATAACGTGCTCATTTACATGACGTATGCCGGAAATTCTAATGCGCCTGAGTGAGTTCAAATGCGCGATGAGACTCACGATAAAACCATGCGTAATCACTATTGTGAAGACGTAGAGAGCTTGATACTATCTTGTTATTGCTACATCATTAATTTTCTTTGATCTCGATCTTTTGTTTTTTCTTACGATAGGATAGGGCAATAGGGTGGCAAATATCTGTTTTATTAGGACAAACAATTGCTGCAGGCTCATTTTCGTTTACTGCAGATATCAGCTGGTACTGGGGTCTCCATCGCTAACAAAAACTGATTTTTATTACAATAATAAAGTTTACATTTAAAGTATATTTTATGTGTAAATAAAGAAGAAACTAAAAATCTAGAAATCTGCTCGCGGGACTGATAAAACCTATCAACGGACCGGATGCGGCCCGCGGGTCGCACAACATGCCCTGGTCTGTAATATAACCTGAGATGAACCGAAAAAAAATGCAGAAAATTTTGTAATGGAACACTAACAGCATAGTATCAAGATTAAGAGGACACGTCAAGTGTTTAATGTTTAGGATTTTCCAAGTTTTACAGTTTCCATGCCCCCATTATAGGCTTCAATAAAACTTGTGATCTTCAATAAAATTGTTTCTGCGGATAGGTAAATTGCAACAACGGGTTATCGGAACAAATCTACACGGTTAATATTAACCACTATAGCTCTAATTGCAAACACAAGCGTTGATAATATCTCACACAAAATGTTTAGAAAGCCCAGCAATCTGATACACGTCAGTGTGGTTTGATATAATTGAAGACGCGATAAATATCGATACCAGGTACGTTTCGCGCTTGGTTGAAAATCTCCAATAATGAAAGCAGATTAGAAAACGAAAGATATTGAAAAATAAACAACACCGTATCTGATGAATTGTAAAGTAAGACAAATTGAATTTAGCCATTGTTGATCATCACAATTTTTTGAATGTAACGTTAGAATACATTGACTTATCATCAATAAGCACAATATGGAATTTTGTCTTTTTGAAAAAAAAAATGTCGGAAAGAACACATAAAATCGAAATTTTCGAATTGCCTCTCAGGCACACAGTTCCAACTAGACGAAATGTTAACAAGATCACGCAATAGTAACGCTTACACATAAACTTATTTTACTTTTATATGGGTGCGTATTTTTGATGACAAATTAATGCACAAGAACTCCGTGTTTATATAATTATTACTTATTTTCATTAAAAGCTTGACTACCGATAAGTCACTGAACTTGCCTCGAAATGCATTTTAAAGGACCAAGGGAAAACCATAATGTGACGTATCGTGGAAAAAAAATTGGCCATCGATTTATTCTTAAAGAAGATTGAAAACTCTCTGTAGGCCATTTCGCACATAATTTATTTAATAGCTAGCTGGGAATCTGTGTCCGCCGAAATGAAGATTGAAAACAAACGAAAAAAATGTGAATTAGATCAGACGGTAGTACTTAGTAGTTGGAACTGGTATAGCATTGATTTTCAATTCATCATGTCCATGTTTTAACAAAAATAGCGAGGGGTTCAGGCTAAAGAAATTAATGGATTAGACGATTAGTTGACAATGAGAAAACACTATTCTCACTGCTTTATTCACCATTCTACAAAGCCATAGTACCAGTTATGGGAATGAGCATTGCTATATAATGTAGAACTGCTGAGATTCATTGAAGACCATATGTACAGCAAAAAAAGAAATATGAGCTGTATTATGTTTATAGGTATAACTATGCAATGGAATGTACATTATGTCCACGACTTTTCGAACTCTACCGGAGTGTACTTTCTCATTCTATAAGTGTATTTCATATTAAAAAATACCGCAATCTTTTTCTCAAATTCCATAGTCAATATATATGCAAAGCAATAATTTGAACAAACAATTCAAATGAATGATGACGCTACTAATAACTTAGCTGTCTCCTTCATACCGTTTACAATTTTATGAAATACAAACATAATTCATTATGTAAACGTATATAAGCATACAGACATAGTCCCGTAAATGGTGAAATTCAACTGCCTATTTGTCACACAATTTTTGGTAATATAATTCCTTATTATAAAATGTGTGATATGTTTGTTCCCTATAGTAAAGTCAGGTAACTTACCACCATCATAAAAATAGCACTGACAATATCCAGCATTTCTTTTCTTGTTATGAAACCATCATTATCTAAGTCATACAGTTGAAATGCCCCTGAGAAAAAAAGACAAGATATATTGATTCATATTGAAAAATGAACTTACTCCAAGAATGATCTATCATTAAAAGTGTATTGAAACACTCTCACATTATAATCATCCATACCAGTTCCAGAATAGTTTTTATCAAAGAACTGATTGGATTACAGGATTACATACATATAGCAAGAACCACATCGTCAAGGGAGCCTATTAGGATAGCATTAAAAGATGAAATAGTATATCATGATACACTTTCATCCCAATAGACTTAACATGAAAGATCAATATAGAAATACTATCAGAACTATCTTGGGCAATTCTGTGGAGAATAATAAAGAAATGAAGAATAAGTAATACGTTATATTATAATTATATTATTATAATATTACAAGAAAATACAAATTTTAATATTTTCTTAAAGCCAAAGCAGAATTATTTCAATATTGCCCACATTTTATAATAAAAAAAAGTTTGAAAACTAAACCAAGCAAATAACAAAATATAAGTGAACATTATATTGTTACTTAAATACATACTAGTTTAAAACAGATATGCAGCAACACAATATTAAATAGTATTTTTTAAATAGCATCAAGCATCTTTTTAGTCTTTAGGTTTTAGAATGTTAACTTGCGCTTTTGCCATTTTGCACCCAGCAAATTTCATTATCAATATTCTTATAAAGGCTTGATTTAAAACTAAATACAATTAAAAAAATGTAATAAATTCAAAACAGGGAAATTAAAAATGTCAGAAATTTAAGAAAAGCTTTTTTTAGCCATTACAATAATGCACAGATGTTTTATGGCTTATGAAAAAAATGCACCCTGAAATCATTAAATATAACATAACACTAAAATGGGTACCCATTTTATCCTCAAATAAGACTGGAGAAAACAACATAAATCTTGATAAAACCTTTTCCATTATGCATAAATCATATTGAATTGACTTAAGCTCACATAATTCTCTTCAAGCTACGCAAACAAGTCAATTTTTTATACGAATAATTTCAACGAAATAATAATTCCATATAAGAGCTATGAGTAACATTTGAATTTTAAATTATTGTTTCCACGAATAAAAGAATCCAAAAGTGCTGAAATATCTTCAGAAGTCAAACAATATAATCAAATAAAAAAAAACTCACGACATCTATTGAGTGAAAACAACTCACAGTTTAATTTTTCGTCTAAAGTTCCTCGTGATGTGATGCTTAATGCCAGCATAAATTCTTCAAATTCAATAGTTCCGTCTTTATTTTCATCAAATGTCGTAAAAACAAATTTAGCAAATTTTTCTGAGTTTCCTTGAGGAAAGAATTGTTTGTAAATTCCTTTGAAAGCTTCACACGACAACCTTCCTGATGGACAATCTCTCAAAAAACCTTTGTACCATTTGTTGAGTTCCTCCTCTGAAACTAAAAAGATAAATATTATTTCAACATGACTTTTTCATATTTACAAAGGAGAAAAATTGCTATAATAGCCCATCATACCCTCAAACATCTGTACTTGAATGGTGCATGAAACAGGAGTGGTTAGTTACGAGAAACACCCTTCAACAATCGTCTCACACATAGAAAACATTAAATGCAATTACAGTTGAAAATTTGGGTGCCACTATAACCCAAGGCCTATGGCAGAGTGAAAAATGCATAATAGCTATAGTGAAGTAGACGTAACACTACAGCAACACCAAATTTTAATTTTAAATATACCAAACTACCCAGTTATACAATAAACAAAATTTAACATATTGCAATTCGATGCATATTTTTGTAAAGAATTTATCAAACAGGTTTAGCCTACACTTTTACAAATGATGTACGATATAAAAATACATTTATAATTTGAATTTTGAGTCATCCCAATAATCCATTTGAAGATTATGCGTCCAAGAGACCAAAGTGAAAATGCAGGTTTCACTTCACTGAAATATTTAAAGCCCAGAATAAATCCATAATTACATATTTAATTCAAGTGACTGTATGAGAAATATAATGACAGCAGGAAATTATTCTCATTGAAAGAAGTATTCAAATTAAATTGAATTGTATATCGGTACATGCTTTAAAGATTTGATTCCATTTGTGAATATTCTCTCCATAGTGGCCATTTCACTCTCAAAGTATTAATAATCAGCTTCAGTGGATATATTGGCCCCGTCGATTTGAAGCCTATAGTACTGTTGGATACATGCTACACATCTTATCCAATGTGTAATTTATTGGTAATACATGGAGAAAAATAATTTATAATCAGTCAAAATGTAACGATATAAATATTTATTATTTAAACTTGTGTTATGCGAAATATGAAGTGGATATTATACATTTTTCATAAAACTTGATGTAAAAGTAATATAAATTAGTAATATATTATATTACTACACCACTTTAAGTAATATTCACTCTTAAAAAACACATTATATTACTATCATTTTGAAATTTATTGGACTCATCCAAAAAACACCAACCTAATTACGGTAAGTAAGTGCTGGTAAGAAACTCAGAAAATTTATCTAACAAGCTCTTATTATTATTGGGTTCATCTTAATCAATGCGCTTGTGTATGCTGAAGGTGGTATAAAAAATATAAACTTTTTGAATTATTCTGCAGTTGTGCCCCAAGATTTTCTCTATCTCCATACCACTTACATTTAGTTTCTTTCATCAATTTTTCCAATATTTCGGGTTTCAATTTGCTTTTCTTGTTCCCCATGATTATTGCTAATGAAAATCTTCTTTAAAAAGCAGTATCAACAGCGATGTCAATGGACAACTCAAGTGATTTAAGTAGATGTTGAAAAAGCCACCAGTTCCTCAAATTAAATTGCTAATTAAAAATCAATTTCAATTATCAGCATACCAAACTGCTATATGCATTATTCACTACAGAATATGTAGCCTATACCCTGTAGACAAAAAGAAATGGAAGACAAAATTAATAATATTACTCTATTTAAGGTAGCCCACAAGTATTGAACAGCTCACCATCCTCAGATAATATTGACGAACACAATCAATATTCAAACAAAGCAACTATACCCCTAATTAAATTTTAGTTAATCAACAATTTGAATTGCAGCAATGTGTTCCTGTTAATTTGTATCAGTTTTGAAGCCAATTTAACAATGATCAATATGCTTATATTGAGTTTTTTGTTATTTTCAATAAAACAATTCTCATCTGCGCCACCAAAGTTTGTATTCTTATTATTAGTGAATATCCTACTTTAATCATTAGTTGGTAATTATAACATTCAGTTTATAGGGTTTAGTTGTCTAAATAATTTGAATTCTTACACAATTTAAACAAATTATATATTCAGTGAGTAAAAATATATAAAACCGCAAACAACTCTAGGAATGTCGAAGATTATATACATCAGTTGATAAATTGCTGATAAATTGTTGATAAATCCACCACAGTATTATGTTTATGAAAGAAATACCAGTAACACGAGATAGTGGTTGAAAGACAATTTGACAATATGTCAGATTGAGACTTCTGGGCCGATGCCAGTCCATCTTGCTGTCTTGGAATGGGGGTTATAGTTTAAACCCCATCAGTGTGCAAATATGCATAAACTTAGAAGCTGGATGACTCAGAAAATTAGTACAGTGCACCAACCATCAACTGGCAGACTGGTCCAGCAATACAACAATAAACAAGCAAATCATCAAAAAATAACAAGGTTAAGAAAACTGAATAACCTTACACACACAAACAAAAACTAAATGCTACCAGCGTAGTATTAGCCTACTGTAATACCGGTATTCCCCCATTAGACTAACAGAATGAACTACACGAACACGGGTACCCCAGTACCGGTAGCCTACCGGTACGGTATATATTCTTAAATAGGGGTGCTGCAGACCTGCTGGGCGACTACCGACAAACCGATGCGGTACTTCAATGACAGGCGTAAGTTACCGGTGACTTAAGTCCACAGTTCAACTGGTATACTACCGGTACCGTACCATATTCCGGCACTGTTCGTATTGCACTGACTATTTATTACGATATGGGTACCAGTCTGAAGTTCAAAAGTGGCCAATGTGCGCTCCGTCACCTCGAACCGCTAAAGCTGTGGCAGCGCAACTGAAACGTTACGACACGCAACCTTCACCAGGAGGATCGGCGATGATTGTTGACATTCACCAGGCAACAATTTGCTCTTCATCCCCATCAAGTGTTTCAGACTAGCAGGAGAGGAGTCGGTTTTTAAATTCCAAGCAAAAAGGAAATCGGAGTTTTTTCATCTTAACAAAGTTGGAAAAATCAGCAAGATATATTATAGTCATTTCATTATATAATGCAAAAAGGTGGAAGATTGATAATTGTTTTCCGAAGAAATCAGCTTGGCGTTGTGGTGCATCGTGCTAAGGTTTGGAATACGCAATATCCTCATTGGAATACGCTTGCCATGCCACTTCTGAATACCTTGCATGGATTCGCAGATTTGCATTCCGTGAGGGATAATTATATATCCTTCATTGAAATATGCTTGCCGTCGCAACTATGATCACCCTGCATGGGTTCGCAGATTCGAATTCCGTGAAGATAATTATGTGCGAGAGGATTGCTGGACTCATCGCCGTCCTGGGGCAACGGCCAGCAACCAACTTGCCTAATGTTAAACAAGTTCATGGACGTCATCTTGTGCCATATTTGGAAAACGCGAAACAATGGAGTCTTATGGGAAATTTTCGTCTTGTTGTTGTACGTATTAGTATATATTTACGGATGTACCGAATCGAATAAGTCCGCTGTTATAAAGGCTAGAATGAAACCGAATAGTGGATTTTGAACTTTAAGATATATGCTATCTAAATATATAACGCAATTAGGAATAAAAAAACTATCTAATGCGTTAAATTTGACCACAAACACAGCGTAGAACCATTTTTGGTCATTTTTTCAAATATTTTATAGTGATACGCCAATTTGAGGCTGTAAAATGTCTCCGCAACAATCCTACACAGTCATTTGTTCTTATAGCGCAGCTTGGAGCTGAGCAGTTGGGCAATATGGAGCTTGACAGACGAAAAATGTTAACCAGAAAATAGAAACGGCCATTGAAGCAAAGTTGGGTCGGCCGGTAATTTCGACGATTAAATATAACTTTTCATTTGTGACGTCATAAGGTACGGCATTGTCAAATAGTTAATTATGACGATTGAATGGCCAATTTACTTGGGAAGCAACTCGGAACCGGTATACTTGTCTTCAAAGACAATTTAATGTACTATAAATGTAATTTGGCCAACATGAAACGATATAAGCATGTACGGCTAAGATTCTACTTCAAAAATTTTCTATCTAAAATATTAGTAAAAATAATAGGTATGTTCCAATAATTTTGTTGGAACTTCTCATAAGGCGCCGTGGTAAATTGCCGAGAACAATAGACACAAGATGTCAGTCAGTCAGTAGTCAGTAGTTTATTTTATGACATACCAAAAGTACACAGTAGACAAAAATAAATACGAATCACATATAAGACAATACTTTCAGTGTGAAGGGAGGCGCGATAAACCAGAAGAGGTTATCGAGCAGCGTCACCCTGGGGGAGTGAGTCTAAAAATTAAATCAAGATGGCGTCCATTGTCTGAGCGTTGCCTCGATTAAATTATATATACGCATTGCCCTGGGGTGGTTCATGTAACAGTTGGTCGGTTACGGCTTTCTCCACCATCGGGTTCATCCATCTGATATAAATAACTGGCTAACTGATACCATACCCGACACAACTGATAACCGAAGGAGGGGCCAGAGCGTAGCTTAGGGGAGGGGGCAATGGGGTACATTGGCGCCATGATACAGGGGCGCCAAAAAGGGGCTTGCAAAAATTTCACAACAGGGGGAAAAAAACGGTCACAAGCAAGATTGCACCGGCGGAAGACATCTAGTATTCGTAGATAGCCAACTGCGCACTTGGTCCAATGAGCACATATATATGCTCATTGCTTTGGTAGGCCACGTCGACTGCCGACGTCATCAGGCACATCGCTCGCGCATGGTCAGATTTCCATCGTAATTACATGGCCAAAAAACTTGCCGGGAAACAAAGCAAACGTTGGGTAACAAAATGCACGGGGTTAATTATGTGGTTCTGTTTCGTTAAGTTCTTGCCTGCGCACTCCGATGTATGTTAATACTAGTTCTGTGCTGGAGACAAAAGGCAACGGCGAAGTGCTGGTAATACATGTTTTTGAGTAATACGTGGATTTGTATTTCGTGGTTATCAAAGTACCGTACTTTGCGGCAGACTTGAATAAAATATATTATATTGTGCTAAAAGAGACCAATGCCGTTTTCGACAAATGATAAAGGTAAGCTATGTGATGATTTGAGCCAAGCTGCTGTAGAAAATGTCAAAACAAAATGCACAGTCTGGGGGTTCAGGGCAGTAGACGATTTAGGAAACGTAATTAGAGAATGCCTGGAAAACTGAAAAGAGATGCAGGACTTCAACCAGAAGAAGAAAATTGTGCGCGTTATGAAGAATATATTTGATCGGCTTCAACGGGAGATGTCAACATATTTTTCACGACTAAAAGACTTAAATACATAAGTGATCTTGCACGTCTAAGTGTTGAAAGAGAAACATTGGAAAAAACGGATTTTGATGACGTGTTTAACCAGTTTGCGACAGTGGAATCAAGAAAAATAAATTTATTATAGAGTAGACTATGTAAATCATCTTTGACTAATTGGGACATTATGAACATATTCTATATTTTGTATAGCTTTTCTTCTTCTATAAAATGTTCCATAAAAATTTGAATTGTTTTTACATATACAATTAAATGTAATAGAAAATACGATTAAACGTGAAAGTCGGGGCGCCAATTTTAAAGTTTGTCCCGGGCGCAAAATATTCTGGCTACGCCTCTGCGAGGGGCCGTGGTTCAATCGTGTTATCGACTTTCTTCTCCCCTAGAATAAATATGTAATTCCCATCCTATCCCCTAATATCACAAGATGATAATTTCAGAAACCGAAAATGCCCGCGCAGTATTTTCGTTCTGTCGCGCACTGCATAAGTATTAAAATGTTGTGTTTTTTCTATTTTTCCGCGCAGACCTTTTTTTTTTGAGCTCACATGGCCTTCTATTCCGCGCAACTATGCAAGCTCTTAGAGGGAACGTTGCCTATCACTAGAGTAGATTGAGTAGTAAGTTGAATTTGAAAACTCTTCAATGAAACTAAAGAATTTCATAAGAGGTCTTGGCACCATACATGTTCACCCCCAGGTGATAACGCTATAAGTCATAGCAGTGGCGTAGCATCCACCCCGCGGTCGCGCCCACAGCGCAACAAGGCCCAAGCGGTCAGAACTTGGAAATTTAAGCCGCAAACCAAAAGCTACAGTGCAAACCAAGCAACGCACATCTTATAACGTTGATGTTAGTCCTGCTCAAATCGTTTTGTTACGTAACAATGCCAGGGAGTCGTCGATATTCGGCGTCTTGTGGTTTGATCGCACCGGCAAAATTACGAAGGCTGTCAGAATCAAAGCGTATATATAATATGAGCGAGTCAACGCTCAGACAATGGACGCCATCTTGTGCCTATTGTTCTCGGCAATTTAACACAGCGCCTTATGAGAAGTTCAACACAATTATTGAAACATACCTATTATTTTTACTAATATTTTAGGTAGAAAAATTCTGAAGGTCGCGTTTTGAAGTAAAATTTTAGCCGAGCATGCTTATATCCTTTCATGTTGGCCAAATTACATCTATATTACATTAAATTGTCTTTGAAGACAAAATATACCGGTTCGGAGTTGCTCCCAAAGTAAATTGGCCATTCTAATCGTCATATTTACCCATTTGACAATGGCGTTCCTTATGACGTCACAGATGAAAAGTTGTATTTATTCGTCGAAATTACCGACCGATCCAACTTTGCTCCAATCATTGATACTTTAACAATACTTGATACTTATGTAGTCATCAATGCTCCAATGGCCGTTTCTATTTTCTGGTTAACATTTTTCGTCTGTCAAGCTCCATAATGCCTTACTGCTTGGCTCCAAATGACATTGTAGGATTGTTGCAGAAACATTTTACTGCCTCAAATTAGCGTACAGTATCACTATAAAATCTTTGAAAAATGACCAAAAATGGTTCTACGCTGTGTTTGGGGTCATATTTACCGCATTAGATAATTTTTTATTCTTAATTGCGTTATATATTTAGATAGCATATATCTTAAAGTTCAAAAGCCACCCTTCAGTTTCATTCTAGCCCTTATAACAGCGGACTTTTTCGATTCCGTACAACAACACGACGAAAATTTTCCATAAGACTCCATTGCTTCGCGTTTCGCAAATATGGCGTCCATGAACTTGTTTAACATTAGGCAAGTTGGTCAGAATGATGTCGAAAACAAAACCTCTCAGAGGCGCACAGAAACGCAGAAAAAGGGCAGAAGAGGAAAAACGTATGAAAAAAATTAAAGTAACCAAGATAAACAGCAAATTTTAGGTTACCATTGCCTTTTTATAGTGACATGTTACGCTTTTGACGAAATTAAAAAAAGCGTTGTTTTAGCTTATATCCGAGAGTTTTTAGGGTCATTTCCAAGAAATATTTTTGCGGGGGGCCCACGAGAGTCTTGCTACGCCACTGAGTCATAGGAAATGCCTCCCTGTTCAAATATGTGGAGCATATATTACGAGATATACCAATGTCTATGAAACCGCTTGTGGGGATCTTGGGTTCACTATCAATGTGGGGGTTCTGTAAAGCATGTCCTGAGCAAAATAAATATACGGTAGTAAAATAGCATGACCTTCTGTAAGCACTGGAATTATGACCAAGCTTCAACCCATCGTGAAAGTAATCAGATGATTAATTATATATAAATGAAAGTGATAACTTATGTATTGAAACGATTAAAACGTTTTTTCTATTCACCACATGGAATAAAAACGGCATATCATATTACGGAGAACCAGAAAACTACACAAAATAGCTGAATATTCATTTATTAAGATGCAGCAACTTGATATGGTGATTGAATCAATAATCACCATGGAATTCTCAGAGAAAACTTTTTGCCTCAGCAGAATCATCTGAAATGCACTCTGTAGAATAAATCTCTGAAGCAGGCTTGTAATAAAACGATGCCACAAATTGTGCATGTGGTTAGTAAGTTGATCAAATAAAAAACGAGAATATCGGTCGGAGACTTATAGATCGAAACTGCGGTTTCGATTCATGACTCTATAGTGACACCGCGTGCCCCATCACTAATTAATCAATAACTCCTTAATTATATGACATAACGACATCCAAAATCAATAGGCTTCTGGTTCGAGATATGATGAATGCACATGCAAAATTTGGAGCAGATTCAACCTCGCCTTTGTGAGATATCAGGTTCATCTAACAGACAAACGAACAAACTGACAGACAGACAAATACCTATCAACATACTTAGATCTTATGATCGATAAGTAATAAAGAGCATCATTATTACCTTTTTTATTATTGAACTTAAAGTTCCCACATGGAACGTTTTGTTATTATTAAACAATAACATTTCGAACAAGATTTGTTTCAAGAGACCTCTCATGTAATTTCTCCAGTTCTTTATTATTTTCATCACCTGTAAGACGTAACTTTGGTGTGACGATTTCATCAATTGCTTGACGAATTGAGTCTTTCAATTCATATAATGATGTCCCTTGTTTAGCAGATATGCTTAATATACTCGAAAAATTCATTTGTCGGTTTGGAATCATATCTTCTGGGAGTGAATCTACATAATTTTCCCATGATGAGAGTTTTTCAAGAGCTATTTCAAGTTTGTCATTGGCACCCTCCATGTCCATTTTATTAAAAATTAAAATGGCTGGTCGGCTGATTAATTTTTTATTATATAGTTCTAATTCTTTTGTTAAAAGTTGGACGTTTTCGAAAGCATCACGTAAATTATGATTTGTGTATAAACTAAAACCAAAAACATCCACTACAAAAAGTAACAATTTTGTCCGTTCAATGTGCTTAAGAAATTTATGACCCATTCCTAAGTTAATATGTGCCCCTTCGATCAAACCTGGTAAGTCAGCACAAGATATTCTACGAAAATCAGGATATTCCATAATACCAATATGTGGCCGGAGAGTTGTGAAAGGATAGTCTGCAATTGTAGGCGTTGCTTTTGAAATAGCATTCATTAGTGTAGATTTGCCAGCATTTGGGAATCCAACAAAACCGACATCCGCAATGAGACGCAAATCGAGAACCAACTTCCGACTTTCTCCTTTTCGTGACTGAAAACGATTAAATCTGTCACCGCCTTTACCACCTCTTGCTACCAATAACCGATCTCCAGCTTTATTCACTATACCAATTTTTTTTCCAGTGTCTGCATCAAAAATAGTTATCCCCTGTGGAACTTGAATGAAAATACTCCTGCCATTCCAACCGCTGAGTGAGCGACGTGAACTCGGCTCGCCAGCATCGGCAGAAAATCGTTTTTCAGGAAATTTATTTTTCAAATCTTTCAATGAAAATTCAGAGTCTGGTGTTCCGACTATGAAAACATCTCCACCCCTTCCTCCTATTCCGCCAAGGTGCATCAAACCAGCACCTCCTGTTCCACCTCTCACATATATCCGTAAACTATCAATAAATGTTGGACTGTACCTTCTCACAGAAGTAAACAATATTGTTGTGAATCTAACCATTTTAAAGTTAAACTGGATAGGAATAAAAATAGAGTAAACCATACATTTTCTGTGGGAAAATCACTCATATCAGACCACCTGAAAATGTTGTACCTGTTGTAGTGAACTGTAATATATTCAAACAAATTATTTAGCAAATAATGGATAGAAGTCTTACTTTTCTGTTTTTCTCTTTGAGTAATTCAGGAATACTGTGCAAAGTCAAATATGTATATTTTCCTTCATACATGAAAAGAATTTTAGTTTTCAGTTTTACTTCTTGAGTAATATAGGAATATTTTGAATTTACTGCAAAGTGAATTATATTTTCCTTCATACATTTAAAATGATTTTATTATTTGAAAGTATTTTGGAGACTGATTGAAAAATATATAAAGATAAAGTGTTGGAAACAGACCTTTCAAAATTATGCATTACCGTACCGGTATCCCAGCATCCAGATATTTGCATATCGTTGAACATTGCCTAGTTTTCAGGATGTGTTTTACTGTTTTATTTATTTTTTCATGTTCATGTTTTATTTGTTTATGTTTTCACTGTTCTATTGAACTATACTTTTACTGTTACAGATTCCGTACTTGTACCGGTACCGGTATAGTACGGCACCGGTACCGGTACCTACCTGTACTGTGTTACGTCATACTAAGAATCAGAGATGTTCAAAACCTAGAATCAATTGATTATGAATCAGAGTAATTCTAAGCAGATTTATCTAAAAATTATACTTAAACAACACTGAATTCATACTTGAGAACTGATTCAGTATTATTGGATTTGGCTATCACTGCAGATATAATTTACTACTGATACCGGTACCAAGATATTGTGAAAAGTACCGTACCATACTGAATTAGAAATGGTAGGTAAATTGGTACCGGTACGCGGTACCGGTAGTCAACGATATAGGTGCACAGCCATACGCACAAATTGCAAGCTGAATACTGTATTACAATCGTTAAATTAACTCTTTTCAGTTATCCCAACATGCAAAGGCAATAAATCAACAGTCCACACAGTCTCCTGGTTTCAATGGTCTAACTTTAATTTATAAGCTGCAAATTTGCTGCACGAAAAAACATGGATGTTTCTCCGACCCTTGACCCCTGAAAAATTCTTCTCATAGAGCAGGGGTCGGCATCTACGGCCCGCGGGCCGGATCTAGCCCGAGGAGTAATGTAATCCGGCCCGCGACGTTTCACTGAATTATAGTAACAAAACATTTGTTTTGACGATTATATTCTTCACGTAACAGAATTTATTGGGAAACATGTGTAGACTAAATTATATATAATATAAGCTAACATGTATATTATTCACAATTACGCATTCAATGAGCCTATAATTTGACTATAATTAGACACAAATGGCAACAAAACGCAAGAAAGTTGATGCTAAGTGCAAGGGGTTCAATGGTACCGAAAATATTCGAATGGAATTTTTTGAGATGCAATGCAATATCGCTGCTTGATTTTTATTATAAAAAGTATCATCCGATCGGGTTTCAACTTTCTAAAAATAAAAGCGGGGGCCGCCAATGACTTGCCCCAATTTTGGCCCGCGAGCGACAAAAGGTTGCCGACCCCTGTCATAGAGGACTTGCAGGGGTCACGTGACTTTGTTTACTGGACGGCAAAAAAACAAAAACGTCCATCTGGCTCCTGTTAGTTGCAAGTCGGATTATACGTTTCCGTTTTGTTTGGCTGTTAAAAATGGTTATTGGACACGAAGTGGACATAACGATCGTTTCGATATTATGTTGTTCTTATTCTTATTGTTCTTGTTGTTTGACACGTTTTCAAAAAGTCGCTTTTCTCCTTGATTACTGGACCAATTGCTTTGAAATTTTTAGTGGTTGAAGATGAAATTTTTCTCCAGAAGGCTATTACTTTTATTTATTTCAAATATTTCTGTTAGCTCTGTGAGATTTGTTTTTGTTTGCTATGACGTCACCGAACGTTCTGCGGTCGCATAAGCACTCGATTCTTCTGATCACGTGCCATCGAACGTCGGTGGTTCGTAACGAAGTCCTTGCTGTTTGCTACGATTTTTGGACACGAAGTGGACATAACGATCATTTCAATATTATGTTGTTGTTCTTGTTCTTTGACACGTTTTTAAAAAGTCGCTTTTCTCTTCGAATACTGGACCAATTGCTTTGAAATTTTCAGTGGTTAAAGATAAAATTTTCCTCCGGAAGCTATTACTTTTTTTTTTCGCTATGACGTCATCAAAATTATTGCCATTGGGTGCTACGTGTCCATATATTTGAGCATAGCTCTCTTGTTCCTTACGCGGTCTTACCGGTACTACTGTACTGCAGTCTGCAATAAGGTTTGTTTTCTAGCAAATCTTGCCTACCGTATTTGATAATTTTGATAAGAGCAAAATCGGTTACACTGAACTAACTCGTAACTGTCTCGTAAAAGCGGGGCTTGCACTCACTGTTATAACCACGACAGTCGGACAGTCTCTGCGCTGTACCGTTACCGTACCGTCTTAGCGGACGTTGAAATTGAAAGTTTTTTATGGGGACAGTATTGAAAGTTTTTTTATGGGTGCGATACCGGTACCGGTAGACTGTCAGACTCAAAAACAAACCCTACCTAATACAATACATACTACCTACCTAGTAGGGTAGGTACCCTACCTAGTACCGGTACCGTAATAGAGTGGAGTTATCAGTGAAAATAACAAGAGTCTATTTTGTCGTAACTTTGTCAATTTTACCATAGCTTACCGAATTTATTTACTTGTAGTGTGTCTGCAGGGAAATTCAATTATTGTCTATTTTTCTTTATTAATGCAGTAATGAGAATGTCTGTACAATTGCGATACTTGTTCTCATATTTTGCTGTTTTGTTACGTTTTTTCTGGAAACACCACAAATGCAGAATTATGCAAAGAAAGAAGCATTACAAACTTTACAAAATATTTCAACATGCTGACATGTGCAGCAGGTAAGTGTAAGTGCTGAGCATATCAAATGTTTAATAGTGAAATAAAGTCAATTCATTTACGGGTGCCATAACCTGATACCTGCGGTAAAATTAACGTCTAACCTAACGTATATCTTTTTATTCTCGCAGCTGTCATGTTTATTCTTTTTTTAATACAGTTTTGCTGGAAACAACAGAAATATGCTACGAAAGAAGCATTTCAACTTCTCCGAAAATTTTTAACATGTGACGCATGTAAGTCTTGATGCCAGAGCACAACAACTTCATTTACATGATTTCTGTTATTTTATTGCAGTCAAATTAACTTATTCCATTTTATTTGTATTCCTACAAGCTGCAATGTTTATATTCATTTTGTTGCTTTTTTGTTACAGTTCTGCTGTAAACACAGAAACAACAAATATGCCAAGAAAGAAGCATTACAACTTTTTCAACAATGTTCAACATGTTCTGGAATATGGTGGTCGCGGTCTTACTAATGCAAAAATATTTGCTGGGTTAACGGCGTGTTGCAATTATTGTTGCGGCTTCCACTTCATGTACAACATGACTTTTGTTTGTGCTCAATACCACAGGCATGCCATTTCTGCAAACTGATATCTTTAAGACGCAGAATGCTATTTGCACCAGCTGAATCAACAAGATGTCTTTCAGCATATGAATTTTCTCTGTTTGTTCGAGATTACCATGCTAGGCCATGTGAAATGTTTGATGCTGCTGAATTTCTTAGTATAATATTATCTAAGGTTTCAGACGACCAAATTAGGTACCATAATGAAGATGTTAATACCCTGCAATCTATGTGCCTTTCTGAACAATGTTTCTGTGGTGAATATTCTAATATCCTCAGTGCAACGATATTCAACATTTTTAAGTTCAACCAAGGAGAAAAACTTGAAGAGATTTTAAAGCATCAAGAATAAATATGACACAATTGCAATTCACTCAAAAGTGTCATCAGCATAAAAAAAAATAGTAATATGCTGCAGTATTTTTCCAATCTCGATTTAGAAGGAAACAAATACAAACTTTTTGGTGTTGTGTCTCACGAAGGATTAACTATTCAGTCTGGTCATTATGTTTCATACTGTTTATCTGAAAATCAGTTCTATAAATACTGTGATTCGGTTGTAACCCGGTCTAGCATACAAAATGTAGAATGTCGCTCAGATGCGTGTATTTTGTGTTTTGCGAAAACTGATGTGGTATTGGATCCATTGATTTATGATACACCTCCAACATCACGAATTCGTGATTACTTGGTATCAAACACATACATTTTTTCAAACTGTTCATTTGCTGCTTCTGATGATTATGCCGAATCTGTGGCAAGCAACTCAAATGAATTCAGAGGGGAAGAATCGAAGATGTTTGATGCGCCTGAAAAATTACCGACGGACACATGCTTTTCTCCAGACTGTTCCTCTGACTCATCTCAGCTACTTCCTAATGAAAGTATTGGATGCGTGTCAAGCAATTCAAACAACAATATACGGACTGTAAAAATTTTATTCGAAACATGTGACAGTATGAAAACAAATGAACGCCAACACAATATTCAAAAAACTGTGCCAAATCATATCAAGTTTATTTACATGTTTACTCTTACTGCATTTGCAGTCAAATTAACTTATTCCATTTTTTTGTACGCATGCACAGCTGCAATGTTTATGCTCGTCTTTTTGCTTTTTTCATTGCAGTTCTGCGGTAAACAACATCAATATGCCAATAAAGAAGCATTGCAATCTTTCCAATAGTGTTCAGCATGTTATGAAATATGGTGGTCGCGGTTTTATCAATGCAAAAAATATTTGCCGGTTTAACAGCGTGATGCAATTATTGCAAATAGTTTTCGTGTCCATATATTTGAGCATTGCTCTCTTGTTTCGTATAGTTCCGTTGGCTGTACGTACGGTATAGACAACGAAATGGATCTTCAGTTATATTCCACTGTTTTCAAAAAATCCGGAACGTCGCGCAATGTGGATATCATTCATTCTATTGGCAAAACTGCTTGGTGTCAAGTCCAGAAGTCATCTCGCTTGTGTTTCACTGTTTGCGGACAGCACTTCGTTGATGGTGAGTGATAATATGCGTTTGCGGTATCAATTTTTGATTATTTCAACTAAACTAAAGGTCCTCGAAAGACATATTGACAATTAGTTTATTTGATTTACAGCTATTTTAATAGCAAATAACCTCAAAACTACCAAAAAGAGGCAATGTTTACAACCACGCTTGAATACATGTCTGAACGGAAGAAGTGTTTGAGCGGCGACACAAATTGCAATTGTAACGTCATTGTTTACTTATTGCTGATTTGTAATTGTTACGGAAATGAACAAGTTAATCGATGTTTGGGGAAACACCGATACCGATGAATTGTATTATTGTCCACAATCACATAATAAGCCTGAGGCCTGACTGAGGAGGTTGGGGTCGGGGAGGTGCTTTTTAGGAGGCTATCCTCTTCCTCGGAATAAAAATGATACCACATTTATCCTGACATCTAGTCTATAATGTACTTTAAAACTCAAACACTGATAAAACAACAAACCCGATCTGGCACTGTACAGGCCCGCATGACGCAAAAAGTTTATTGCACCAATGATAAAATAAGAAAAGAAGCCGCACTAGTTTGAAAGTATCCGGAACTGCCTAAAAAGATACTTTGCAAAGAAGATTAGTCAGGCATGTTAGTCGTTGGGCAAATGTACATTGGTACAAGTTGAATTTTACTCAGCGCTATTGTAAACCTTGCCTTGTTTATGTAGTATCTGTTGATTATATTTCCAAAATATAAGAATAAATAAAATAAATTGCTAGAATATTCGACGCTAAAATCTTTTTTCATTACTTTCAAATAATAGCTGTTTGAATAATTTTAAATAAAATGGTGTTCTCGAAGCGTTTAACCTGTCGGCACACGCCGGAACTTAAAAACCCTTTTTAAAGTAAGCATGGAAAATATCATAATGATAAGGTATGGGCGTTTCTCCGAACTTTGAGCACAGAAAATTTCTTCTTTTGATTTACTTTTATAAAAAAAAGATGCCCTATCTCCCCAACTTTTCTATCTTCGATCCACTGCCCTCAACCTTCATATCCTCAGTCCACTGTCCTATATTCATCAACCTTTCTATTCTAATCCCGCTGACCTTTTTCCCGTCAACCCACTATTGTCCCCAATACCTTCACACCCTCAACAACCTTCCTGTCCTCGGCCCACTGTCCTATTTCCCTAACCTTTCTATCTTCTAAAATAAAGGCTGCAAGTCAATGGTGGGCTGCACATATTTCAGGTAAATTTTAAGCAGTGCGCGAAGACTGATCCTTTGAATATTCTCTGCATTATTAAACCATTTGCACTCAGCATCAACTTTTTTACGTTCTGTTGCCATTTGTCTAATTATAATCAATTACAGGCTCATTAAACGAGAGATTGTGAATTAGGTTATAATATAGTGTATCAAAATTTCAAAACAGCTGTTTTGTTACTATAATTCAGTGAAGCGTCGCGGGCCGGATTATATTGCCGGATCCGGCTCGCGGGCCGTAGTTTGCCAATCCCTGCTCCAAACCTTTTATCCTCGACCCATCGCCCTATGTCTTTTATTCTCCGCATCCCTCAACCTTTCTGTCATCGACCCATCATTCTATCTCTCCCACCTTCCTATCCTCGCCCACCGCCTATCTACCTCAAACTTCGTATTTTCGACCCACTGTCCTACCTCTCTCAACTTTCTATCCTCGACCCACTGGCTATCTACCTAAACCTTCCTATCATGAACCCGCCGCTTTGCCACTCTCAGCCACCCTATATTCAACCCACCGCCTACCTACTCCTACCTTTGTCTCCTCGACCCACTATCCCGCTTCCTCCAAATGTCCTACCCTCGAGCCACTGACCTATGCTACCCCGTATCTAAACTCAGCCTATCTACCTCTACTATCTACCTCAGCCTCACACTCTCGACCCGCTGCTCTGCCACACCCAGCCACCCTATACTCAACCCACCGCCTACCTCCTCCTACCTTTGTCTCCTCGACCCACTATCCTGCTTCCTCCAAATGTCCTACCCTCGAGCCACTGACCTATGCTACCCCGTATCTAAACTAACCGTCACACCGAACCTTCATTGGTTGTGATTATACAAACTTTCCGGTTTTATACGGCTCGAGTATGCCAATGAGATGATTGAAGCGCACATCGACGAAACAAGCGCATACGCTTTACGGCATTCGTGACATATTATTATGGGTATATTTGAACATGAAACAAACGCACAGCTTCACTGAGTGTAAATGATGGCAAAAAATTTGAAAATCTTCGAAAGGCACTCATTTACACCATTTCCAAGTCATTTAAATGTAGGATGCAATCCCAAATGGTAATCAATCACCATGATTGGTAGCTCAAAAATTTGCTACTTGTTAGGCCTAATCATGAGACAATCTTAATCGTTTCGGTTTTCAAAACGCAAAACGTTGCTTTTAGACACTGATCCGAATTTGGGAAAATTCTGATCCGTAAAAAAAGAAAATTAAAAAAAAAACGTTGCCGACTATCGTGTTTGGGCCTTGTATTGTCGAAGATGCAAATTCGAATAGTGTTAAAATTATTATTAATTCTTTCTACCCTCAGCCCATATCTCCGCTTCCTCCTCCACTTTAAAAAGATACTTAAAAATAAAATATATTGTGATTACTATTTTTTAAGTTGATCATCGGAACATTAATTGACTGATTCCAATCTCCTGCTGTTTCTCTACATGTGACTAATGGCATCATGGGCCTTGGCTTGTTATTCTTGACAACGCCGATCCCAGCTCAAGCGAGTTTCTCTTTGAATTTGGATTTTTCTTTCTCGTATATATATATATATATAACTCTATTACGGTAGTTAAACGGACCTGCCATAATTGCAGTACTTAAGCGGACGTCGTTCCTGTGTCCGTATCATTGTTTTTAAATACGTACTTGGAGAGCGCGAGAGCCGTTGACAACTACGGAGAAAAAGAGTCAACACAATCCTCTCGATAACAGATATAAAATTTTTGTCCGCTTAATTCGTCCACTTAATTCAGACCACCAAATGTTTTAGCCTATTTCGGCACTAAGCCGGACCCCTCTTATATGTCGCCCTGGATGTCTACATAAATGATGCTGCTTTTATTTTATTACGCATTTTAAAGCGTATGACCTCGCTTTAATTTCCGATGGATTCGAACCATTTAGCATTATTTATCACAAAAATAGCATTTTTTTTTCAATGTTCAGTATTTTGTGCAAGGGAGATGCACTGTGTTTGGTGTAGGAAATAATCTTCCATGTCAAAAAATACTCAAAATGCAACGTGAAGGTAGACAAATCGAAACAAATTGATTCAAACGTAATATATATTTGAAACTGAGAAATACACAGAGCATATCACAAATGTTCGCCTATTCCAACCCTATGGTGTAACATATAGATTGAACAGATGCTATGTTGTGAGTGTCAAGATGTCAATACCAAGTCAAAATTATTGCATTCAAATAATATTGATAAACTTTGCGCAAAATATATCTCAAAAATCCGCATATTTATATGGCTAGTTATTAAGCGTGACATATAATTGAAAAACAAAATTTTGAAATGCCATACATATTGAGAAACAATACACAAAATATATTTCAAATGTATCACCAATTTGATTGCTAAAGTGTGAAATATTATTTTAAAAAGGAAGTGTGGTATATAATGGTAAAATAAAAAATGAAAGTGCTAATATTATTGAGAAACAATAAAAGAAAATTATATATACGCAGAAGGTAACCGCAGAATGAAATTCATGTCATTAATGAAGACAAAAATCACACAAATTCGATTTCAAATGTTCATCTATTCGGTCACTCAAATGTTGCACGTAATTGAAAAATGAACACCAGCCCTATTGAGAAACATTACACAAAATATATCTCAAATGTCCACTTATCCGGCATTTAAGTGTGGCATATAACAATTAAAATAAAAATTCTGAAATCATATTGAGAAATATTACACAAAGTATATCTCAAATGTCCACCTATCCGGCCACACTCTGAAATCATATTGAGAAATATTACACAAAGTATATCTCAAATGTCCACCTATCCGGCCACCTAAGTGTGGCATACAAGAATTGAAATGAAAATTTTGAAATCCTACGAGAAATATCACACAAAGTATATCTCAAATGTCCACCTATCCGGCTACCTAGGTGTGGCATAAAGCATTAAAATGAAAATTCTGAAATCATATTGAGAAACATTACACAAAGTATATCTCAAATGTCCACCTATCCGGCCACCTAAGTGTGGCATAAAGCATTAAAATGAAAATTCTGAAATCATATTGAGAAATATTACACAAAATATATTTCAAATGTCCACCTATCCGGCCACCTAAATGTGGCATACAAGAATTAAAATGAAAATTTTGAAATCATATGAGAAATATCACACAAAGTATATCTCAAATGTCCACCTATCCGGCCACCTAAGTGTGGCATTAAAGCATTAAAAATGAAAACTCTGAAATCATATTGAGAAATATTACACAAAGTATATCTCAAATGTCCACCTATCCGGCCACCTAAGTGTGGCCATAAAGCATTAAATGAAAACTCTGAAATCATATTGAAGAAATATTACACAAAGTATATCTTAAATGTCCACCTATCCGGCCACCTAGGTGTGGCATAAAGCATTAAAATGAAAATTCTGAAATCATATTGAGAAATATTACACAAAATATATTTTGAATGTCCACCTATCCGGCCACCTAAGTGTGGCATACAAGAATTGAAATAAAAATTCTGAATTCATATTGAGAAATATCACAAACTTTATCTCAAATGTCCACCTATCCGGCCACCTAAGTGTGGCATAAAACAATAAATGAAAATTCTGGAATCATATTGAGAAACATTACACGAAGTATATCTCAAATGTCCACCTATCCGGCCACCTAAGTGTGGCATAAAACAATAAAATGAAAATTCTGGAATCATATTGAGAAACATTACACAAAGTATATCTCAAATGTCCACCTATCCGGCCACCTAAGTGTGGCATAGAACATTAAAATGAAAATTCCGAAATCGTAATGAGAAACATTATGCGAAGTATAAATCAAATGTCCACCTATCCGGCCACCTAAGTGTGGCATACAAGAATTGAAATGAAAATTCTTAAATCATATTGAGAAACATTACACAAAGTATATCTCAAATGTCCACCTATCCGGCCACCTAAGTGTGGCATACAAGAATTGAAATGAAAATTCTGAAATCATTTTGAGAAACATTACACAAAGTATATCTCAAATGTTCACCTATCCGGCCACCTAAGTGTGGCATAAAAACAATCACAATGAAAATTCCGAAATCATATTGAGAAACATTACACAAAGTATATCTCAAATGTCTACCTATCCGGGCCACCTAAGTGTGGCATTAAAACGATCACAATGAAAATTCTGAAATGATATTGAGGAACATTACACAAAATATATATCTCAAATGTCCGAATACCCGACTACCTAAGTGTAGCATACAACTATTGAAACCAAATTCCTGAAATCATATTGAGAAATCTTACACAAATATATCTCAAATGTCACATTATTCGACCGCTTTAGTGTGTGAAATATAACTAAAATACGAAATTTCGAATACTAATCATATTTTGATGTTGTGGAAAATTGCTCAAAATTTATCTCAAATGTTCACCTATCCGATAACTTGAGAGTGACAAATATTTTAAAACAAAATTTGAAACCATATTGAGGAACAATACAGAAAATATATCGCAAATCGTCATTTACTCAGCTACGTAAGGTGTGTCATGTAAATGCAAAATGATATTTTGGAATGACAATAATATTAGGAAGCATTCAAAAAAAATTTCAACCATCCGACCATTTCAGAAGGTATGTAATTAAAACACGAAATTCTCTAAAAAAATATCGAGAACCATTACACACAACATATCTCAAATGTTCAATTAAGTGACGTTTTCAGTGGGGCCTATAAATGCGAAATGAAATTTTGCCATGTCAACTAAAATGAGAAACATTACACCAATTATAACTCAAATGTCTAAGTATAGCAGTGATTATACAGTCAACTATACAAGCGATCAACATGAAATTATTCAACCCCGATATCAATTTAGAATCTTTGCACAATTTATTTAAAATTTTTGCACCAACTCGGAATACAAAAACATGATTGTTATTTTGAATTTATAATTAAATAGTAAAAATGTATGCCAAGTATGTATACGAATGTGGATATGCCCACTAGATTAAGTTGTTGAGGAGAGACAAAATTATGTGCTCACTGCCGGTTCATCTTTATGAATTATACAGAGATGTCTTAAAGCTTTACAATAAACTTCTCGCAAGATATACAAAGCCGTGCAATTATTTTTCTTTTCGTCGTTTCTTTTCTGGTTCACGTTATTTAGAAGCTTTTTTTTGGAATTGATTATACAGCCCTTTCTTTCCGTAATATATGATTTCTTTTAAGTCACTTACATGCTTATTGAAAGTGATTCTGAAGATGGTGCGGTATAGTCTGTTGACTAATCTGAAACTTTGGCAAAAATAACATGCATAAGTCACAAAACATCATCAACAGGTGTTTCTAGTCCCAATTCAGAATTACGGTACTCTTGATTGACACGAACAAACGAAGTGTTTGAAATGTGGAATTGCATTATTACTTCAAATAAACAGTAGAGGGCTCCGAAGTTATGGAACCCAAGATGGCGGAACGGATGCTAAATGTGTACTAGGTTAGGTTAGGTTTCCAAATTTTAGGTATGAACTACGGGAAGCTCTTGCTAGTTTTCGAACTGATAATAGGACTAAAATAAGGAAAACTGGAAAAAAAATTTATCGCCTACCCTAATGTTACCCATGTTTACGGTTCCGATGTCCGCCATCTGTGTTCGCATAGACTTCGGGAGCACCAAACAGTGTTTTTAAACGGAGCACTACAATTATTCGTAGATAGCGCGCTATTTGTGATGGGCTACAATTGATATTATGATTTGGTTTATTACCATTCATTGGTATCAATTTGAGATACCGTATTTAATTAAAAACAAGCATAGCAAACTAATTTAATCACCTCCTGGCACAGCGTTCTCCGAATCACTACCCGCATTTCCGTCTGCCAAGTTCTGAAACGTAGGCCATCTCGTTGGAGAGTCACTTACATGTGAACAAAAAATACAGCCCAGTAAATAGCTAGATGAGGATGGTAAAATAACACAGGGATATGTGCCAAATCACAAAACAAAATTGCTAGCAATGCAATTCTTTAAAACTGTTTTCCGAAGATAAAATATTCTAATCTAATATGAAGCGGTGTATTAGATATTTTTATTTATACAAAGCTATACAAACCTATATAAAGTGGCGTCAACCACTCGCTTCTCGTATCTCCTTCTGTTTCGAGAAAAATTTGAATTCAATTGAATTTTCACAATCTTCGTTTGTATTGTCATCTGGATTTAGAAATCCTTCTGAATTACACACTCTTACAAACGCAAACCCAGTCGTAGCAATATTTTGATGCGTCAGATCAGAACTACGACCAGTAAAAGCATATAACAGTATCAGTAGTCTTTTTGATAATTCAGGAATAAGTGAAAAAATCTCAACAACAAAAATATATGCTAATGATTTGGTTTCTGCAAGACTAACCACTTATCCTTCTTCTATGCTTTTGTGTCGGCGGATCCGTATGCATATAGTGCAAGGATGCTGTAGCAAGAGTAAAAGATAAACTATCCTACAGTCCTAAGTGATTCAAGAGTCTTGATGCACACTAACACAATTATATTTCTGTAACGTTTCGTCTGACCAAGATCAGACTCCTTCAGACATACATAGTAAATATAATTGTGTTAGTGTGCAGCAAGACTCTTGAATCACTTAGAACAAAAATATAGTAGCCCTATTATTTAAAAATTGTTATGACTAATCACCTTATCCGATGAGTGATGATTTCCAGCAGCATTCTTCGGTGACGTTGAAAACCTTGTTTCAAGTTATTATGACTCGACTTCAACTCACTGGGTAATTGATAACACCTGACACAAAAGACTTGGATCGCTTCTCCAAACACAACTGTTCTATTTTATCTAAATTTCTGCAATCACGCACTCATGAAGATCCCGATCCCCTCACGGCGTCCAGGTTACTTGCGAACAAAACGGCAAACGTGGTAGGTAAAGTTCTTGGCAAACCCGACAGTTTTACTATTGCGACACAAAGCCTCTTCAGTACGGAGTTGTGAATTGAGGTCCTTTTCAGTTTATTGAGCTTATATTGCAAAAAACAGAACGAACGATCTTCATGTTCTGCCTGGTTATTGTATCAAAATTATCAATCCTACTCTCCAAAATATCGTAAAGACATATACCGAAAAATTAAAAGATTTTCGCGGTAAACAAAATGTCCGCTTAGTGTACGAAAATTATACCCGTTGATTATAAACCAGCAGAACTACTGTCCCCTTAAAGTTGGCGAAAATATGCAGATATTTTAAAAATATTGAAAGAACATATTGTTTTTGATACTGTTTTATCAGAGAAAAAGAGATTTCAGCAAAAAATAGCAAAACGTTTTAATTATGGAACGTGGAATAATTAAGCGGACAGGAAAATGTCTACCCAATTTTTCCGTCTACATAACTGTCGCTTTTTTAGCACGGTATGTCTACTTAACTACCGTATTAGATATATATATATATATATATATATATATATATATATGTTTTCTTTCAATAAAGTTTGTAATAGCTATTTGGTGGTTTTCATGCTTTTCAAATTTGTTATATACACATATTTTTCAATTGTTTTGGTGTCTCGTTTTTTATGTTTTGTGAATAATAATAATTAGAAGCATAGGCGTTAACTAAATTTATTTATTAAGCTGAATCAGCATCGTAGGTGTCGCTACTCGAAGACCTTTCGTGATCCCTCGCGACTCCTGTCACACATATAAAGTTCGTCTTTTTTATTTACTCCATATCTTGCTATATTTCTGTGATATATTTATATTGATTGAGTTGACGAATAAAAGATGATTGATTGATTGATTGGCTATGACCGAATAGGTACGCCCCTCTTTTTATTCGGTAGGCAACTTGGCTTTTCGATTTCGTGAAGTGTGGTAAGCTATTTTCCAGTTGCTAAGTAAACCTATTTTCTGCCAATCAGTGGATTCCGAAATATTGTATTTATATTTTTATTATTATTCAAATTCATGATGTGGCAGATGTTTAATAGGTGTTTCCAGTGACTGTCTATTTGGATTGCGTGATGGGACTGAAAGTCCGAATTACTCTACAAGGATCGTTTGAATGATATTTGATTTTCCAGAAGTTCAACCGCGCCGCGCCGGTTTTTCTCGAAAGGATCTCTCTGACATTCATTGTGTAGCCTTCATGTGTTAGCATTTTCAAGACAGCTTTAACCGTGCTTTCGCTCTCAAGAAGCCAGGACCAGGCCTAACAAGTAGCAAATTTATGAGCTACCAATTATGGTGATTGATTACTAATTGCGTTTCAATCATCTCATTGGCATACTCGAGACGTATAAAACTTGAAAGTTTGCGTAATCACAAGCATTTACTGTTTGGTGTGACGGTTACGGGGTAGCACAAGGCGGTGGTTCGATGATAGGACGTTTGAGGGGGATAGGACTGTGAGTCAAGGAGAAAAAAGGTTGGAGAAGATAGGCGGTGGGTTGAAGGAGGCTGAGGGTGGTGGGGCAGTGGGTCGATGAAAGGGAGTTGAGGTAGATGGGCGGTGGGCCAAGGATAGGAAGGTGGGCCGCGAAAAGGAAGTTGAGGTAGTTAGGCGGTTGGCCAAGGATCGTAAGGTGGGTAACCTTTCTATTCTAATCCCGCTGTCCTTTTTCCCGTCAACCCACTATTGTCCCCAATACCTCCACACCCTCAACAACCTTCCTGTCCTCGGCCCACTGTCCTATTTCCCTAACCTTTCTATCTTCGACCCACTGTCCTATCTCCCTAAACCAGGAGTCGGCGAACTTTTGTTAATCGCGGGCCAAAATAAAGGCTGCAAGTCAATGGTGGGCTGCACATATTTCAGGTAAATTTTAAGCAGTGCGCGAAGACTGATCATTTGAATATTCTCTGCATTATTAAACCATTTGCACTCAGCATCAACTTTTTTACGTTCTGTTGCCATTTGACTAATTATAATCAATTACAGGCTCGTTAAACGAGAGATTGTGAATTAGGTTATAATATAGTGTATCAAAATTTCAAAACAGCTGTTTTGTTACTATAATTCAGTGAAGCGTCGCGGGCCGGATTATATTGCCGGATCCGGCTCGCGGGCCGTAGTTTGCCAATCCTTGCTCCAAACCTTTTATCCTCGGCCCATCGCCCTATGTCTTTTATTCTCCGCATCCCTCAACCTTTCTGTCATCGACCCATCATTCTATCTCTCCCACCTTCCTGTCCTCGCCCACCGCCTATCTACCTCAAACTTCGTATTCTCGACCCACTGTCCTACCTCTCTCAACTTTCTATCCTCGACCCACTGCCTATCTACCTAAACCTTCCTATCATGAACCCACCGCCCTATCTACCTCAGCCTCACACTCTCGACTCGCTGCTCTGCCACTCTCAGCCACCCTATACTCAACCCACCGCCTACCTACTCATACCTTTGTCTCCTCGACCCACTATCCCGCTTCCTCCAAATGTCCTACCCTCGAGGCACTGACCTATGCTACCCCGTATCTAAGCTCAGCCTATCTACCTCTACTATCTACCTCAGCCTCACACTCTCGACCCGCTGCTCTGCCACACCCAGCCACTCTATACTCAACCCACCGCCTACCTCCTCCTACCTTTGTCTCCTCGACCCACTATCCTGCTTCCTCCAAATGTCCTACCCTCGAGCCACTGACCTATGCTACCCCGTATCTAAACTAACCGTCACACCGAACCTTCATTGGTTGTGATTATACAAACTTTCCGGTTTTATACGGCTCGAGTATGCCAATGGGATTATTGAAGCGCACATCGACGAAACAAGCGCATACGCTTTACGGCATTCGTGACATATTATTATGGGTATATTTGAACATGAAACAAACGCACAGCTTCACTGAGTGTAAATGATGGCAAAAAAATTTGAAATCTTCGAAAGGCACTCATTTACACCATTTCCAAGTCATTTAAATGTAGAATGCAATCCCAAATGGTATTCAATCACCATGATTGGTAGCTCAAAAATTTGCTACTTGTTAGGCCTAATCATGAGACAATTTTAATCGTTTCGATTTTCAAAACGCAAAACGTTGCTTTTAGACACTGATCCGAATTTGGGAAAATTCTGATCCGTAAAAAAAGAAAATTAAAAAAAAAACGTTGCCGACTATCGTGTTTGGGCCTTGTATTGCCGAAAATGCAAATTCGAATAGTGTTAAAATTATTATTAATTCTTTCTACCCTCAGCCCATATCTCCGCTTCCTCCTCCACTTTAAAAAGATACTTAAAAATAAAATATATTGTGATTACTATTTTTTAAGTTGATCATCGGAACATTAATTGACTGATTCCAATCTCCTGCTGTTTCTCTACATGTGACTAATGGCATCATGGGCCTTGGCTTGTTATTCTTGACAACGCTGATCCCAGCTCAAGCGAGTTTCTCTTTGAATTTGGATTTTTCTTTCTCGTATATATATATATATATATATATATATATACGTTTTCTTTCAATAAAGTTTGTAATAGCTATTTGGTGGTTTTCATGCTTTTCAAATTTGTTATATACACATATTTTTCAATTGTTTTGGTGTCTCGTTTTTTATGTTTTGTGAATAATAATAATTAGAAGCATAGGCGTTAACTAAATTTATTTATTAAGCTGAATCAGCATCGTAGGTGTCGCTACTCGAAGACCTTTCGTGATCCCTCGCGACTCCTGTCACACATATAAAGTTCGTCTTTTTCATTTACTCCATATCTTGCTATATTTCTGTGATATATTTATATTGATTTAGTTGACGAATAAAAGATGATTGATTGATTGATTGGCTATGACCGAATAGGTACGCCCCTCTTTTTATTCGGTAGGCAACTTGGCTTTTCGGTTTCGTGAAGTGTGGTAAGCTATTTTCCAGTTGCTAAGTAAACCTATTTTCTGCCAATCAGTGGATTCCGAAATATTGTATTTATATTTTTATTATTATTCAAATTCATGATGTGGCAGATGTTTAATAGGTGTTTCCAGTGACTGTCTATTTGGATTGCGTGATGGGACTGAAAGTCCGAATTACTCTACAAGGATCGTTTGAACGATATTTGATTTTCCAGAAGTTCAACCGCGCCGCGCCGGTTTTTCTCGAAAGGATCTCTGTGACATTCATTGTGTAGCCTTCATGTGTTAGCATTTTCAAGAGCGCTTTAACCGTGCTTTCGCTCCCAAGAAGCCAGGACCAGGCCTAACAAGTAGCAAATTTATGAGCTACCAATTATGGTGATTGATTACCAATTGCGTTTCAATCATCTCATTGGCATACTCGAGACGTATAAAACTTGAAAGTTTGCGTAATCACAAGCATTTACTGTTTGGTGTGACGGTTACGGGGTAGCACAGGGCGGTGGTTCGAGGATAGGACGTTTGAGGGAGATAGGACTGTGAGTCAAGGAGAGAAAGGTTGGGGGAGATAGGCGGTGGGTTGAGTATAAGGAGGGTGGTGGGGCAGTGGGTCGAGGAAAGGGAGTTGAGGTAGATGGGCGGTGGATCGAAGAAAGGAAGTTGAGGGAGGTAGGCGGTGGGCCAAGGATAGGAAGGTGGGCCGCGGAAAGGAAGTTGAGGTAGTTAGGCGGTTGGCCAAGGATAGGAAGGTGGGTCGAAGAAAGGAAGTTGAGGGAGATAGGACAGTGGGTCGAGAACAGGGATTTTGAGGTAGATGGACGGTTGGTCGAGGATAGGAAGGTGAGAGAGATAGAACAGTGGGTCGGTGATAGAACGGTTTAGGGATACGAATAATAAAAGAGATAGGGCGATGGTTTGTGGATAAAAAGGTTAATGGAGATAGGACGGTGTGTCGAAGATAGAATGGTTGGGGAGATAGGGCAGTCTGGGGAGGATAGGGAGGTTGGGGGAGATCGGGCAGTAGGCCGAGGACAGGAAGGTTGAGAGGTATTGGGAAGAATAGGGGTCTTTGTTTTTAGGAATTATTATCTATATTCAATCAAGATTCGCTCGAATATATATCTTTCAATCGCGGCCGATGCTGTGGTACTGGCACAATCGTAACTACAGTTATGGTGGTTGGGAAACGCTGTTCGACAGTACAGGTTGTCTCGATTTCCACAAGGTAAGCAATATATAATTTTTGATGACGACATCACACAAAACTTCAAGTGTAAGGCGAGACGCATAGAGCCTCAGATATATTTGAAATAAATGAAATAATAGCCTTCAGAAACATCCTTTCCATTTCCAACATCCTTTCCATACTGAGCAGTTCGAAGCAATTGGTCGATTTCGATTCACAGCGATTTATTTCACAACAACAATAAGAAGAATACTAACAACAATCTAACAAAACAATCTATAGCTCCTCTTCCTTTCCAATAAGAGTTCGAAATTGAATGTCGAGGTCCCATAGTCCTTGTATACCTTGCCTAATGACAAATCCGGTCGTGTTTTTATCATTGATGTTATAATTTGTGTATCGCTTTATACTAATTATGAAGTCTGAATAAACTTACTTACGAACAACGCTTTCTTGATATTTATATATCTCGTGTCATAATCAGGTGGTAATGAATGTTCATCTGCTTTCTTTTACGCGAGATGATGATAGCCCCTTGCAGCCAGGGGCGCGAGCGGCAATTCAATTAATACGAAGGTGTGGTACCTTGGCACTCAGTTGAAAAACACATAATGGCACAAATTTTTTTTTTTAATCAGCATCGGGTTTGACTGCCATCAAATTAAAAAGATGATAAATGTTGGATAAGTTACTAACAGCAGATTTTAATATATTGGCTCTAATGGAAAGAACCTTACACATTACACAACCTAATTTCAAGAAAAGCGTTTCTTTCACCTAATGCATTGGGCGTTTGATTCAAAATCTTTGATTGGTGAGTTGGATAATTCTGTAAGGCACCAGCCGGTCTGGGATGGCCCTGTTTTGTTATGATATATGGAAGTAGATCTACACGTAATATATCTTCAAACAAAAAAAACACCCACTTTGTGTCCAATAAAGAAATTGACTATTGAATTGGTAAAAAAATATTTGTCACTACACAAAAATTGATGACTTGATAGTTTAAGGACACATAACTCTGATCTGATTTACTCCAGAAAAATTCGCCCCGACTTCTAAATCCGATTCAATATCAATTTTCTCGACACAAACACCTTAAAGGTTTAGTCTAGACGATTTCCCTGATGATACATGAAAAACGAAATTTAAACATGTTATTAAGTGAGAAGTAACCGTAACTTATTCGTCTTCATATCAAGACTATGCAATTTTATTCCAAATAGCCAACAAATAAATTTATTTAATCAGTTTTATTGATAACGTACGAATTACTGATTTCAGCTATAATATTACTTTAATTAACTTCTCAGCAAACGTGCATATATTCCGTTTAGCCTGTTTATATATAAATTCGCCTTACGGAACAGCTAAATCAAAATTGTTACCATATCTGCTCTTAGATTGTTTATTGTTATTGTTTCAAATTGTGATTTCATGACATAGGCAATATAGCCTCCAATGACGTAATTTCACGCGTTGTCGGCGAAATTTTGAGTTACTGAACAAAAACTCTCGATTGATATTTGAAACTCTACGAGACAACAATGTCGTAACTGACAAAGCTGTGAAAAAATGCAAAAACTTGTATTTATTAGATAAGATACTAATTTATATGTATTTTTAGAGCAAGTCACTTTTATCGTATTACTTCATACATTCTATTGGCAGGTGGAGACAATAAAGTATAGTAGGTCCTTTGTCGGTTTTGGGAACAAAATGTGCGATCTAAAGATTATATTTAGTCGTGGTGTGTTAGAATAGATGCTTTGTCAAATAGCAATATAAAGATTAGGATTAACACTCAATGTAAAGGATTTGCTAAACTGCTTAAATTAATTAATCCGGTGGTCGTTTCCAGCAAATCCTATAGTGCGAGATAGCGTTCCAGCTTATTCAAGCGTATCTCATAGATGAAAAAAAACAAATTGTTGTTCGATAAAAAAAACTTTCACATGCTGTTTTTACGCTATCCAGAAAGGACGAATATTCTACTAGGAAAGGTTAATGCTAGTTTTATTTTTTCAAAGTTATGAAAATTACATTTCTTCAAATATATTTTTCTTCAGCTATGAAATCATGACAGTTAAATCCACACTTTTCAAAGACAAGATAGGTTTAAATTTACTTATATTTCTTGTCGTAATAACCTTAACTGTTTGTTGCGTGAGTGCGAAATGTTCCGGAAAATCGTGTGGTCACGACAATTCAGATGCATTAGCGAGGTATAATCGCTTTGTTCAAGCAATATCGAATCATCGCAGGGTGAGTAGAAGTTTTATTATAAATATTTCTAAGAATGTCTTTTTCATTTTAACGGTCAGTATGCCTGCAATTGAGCTAGAGACTTTTAATCCGAATAGATTTGAGCTGTGAACGGAGAGGCGACTGCATGGTATATATTTTAAGTAGTTTTAGTATAAGAATATGTTATTTGTTTTTAAGGTTTCCCACTTTTGCTTTACACTAAGAAATAAATAACCGTTCGCTTGGATATGTAATAAGAACGAGGCTTGAAAACACGTTTTTTTTAAGGTTGTTTTGGAATCTAACCAATTCCGCCGCACATCTCATGGTTAAACAATGGACTAATCGTCCAGAACTATTTAAACTAAAAGTCTAAACGACTATGAAAATACTTTCAATTCATGCTAGGGGAGGGACGTTGCTAGGCGTGAAAATTCGAACGAAAAAAACAAAATTAAACGACTTCAGATTATGTCACAAAAGTTACACATATTATACATTTTTGCATGTATTAGAGGCGTCCCTAATATACGTCCAATAATTTTATTCGACTAAGAAATGCTGATTATGTCTATAATATGACAGTATGAAAAGTATGTTTGCCTCCAAGTTTTGTTCATTACGTTTCAATGGCCGCATTGCGCATAAATAAAAAGGTTATGTTTCTTACTTACGCAAAAAGAACTGATAATGTATCGAGAATTACCAAACTTGGTTAGAAAATCGAATTCGTTTAAAAACACATATTATGTTACTAAGGTGTTTAACAAACAAACTGTAACTCAATATTCCTCTGTGAATTTCTCATTGATGCGGGCAAGTAATTTGATGCTAAAATGAATTTTTTGAAATCGACCTAGTTATCGTCATACTGCACAAGTTTCAAAAACAATTCCATGAAAAGCTTCTTGCCTTTTAAATTTGCAAGTGGAAAAATTATAAAATGTTAGTAGCGATCAAAAATTCAGCCAGATAAACTGGATCATTTACCAAATTATATAAATGAAGAAGAGCAAAATAATACAATTTCGGTTCATATCAGCTGCTTTTTGTTTCGTTTTGTGACGTTTGGGTTAAAGGGACTCATAGTCTATGATAGAATTTTGTTAAGGTGATTGGCTTCAGTTCTGAAATTTCATTCATTCTCTACAGTCGACAGTTTCGAGGCGGAATGCTGAACATGTCAAACGAAATAACAAAAAGCGTTCGACATATACCGCTTCATCATCTTCATCCTATCGTCAAACATCGTCATTAAGATTTAATAACCATGGGAGACGGGTTTTGGTGAGATATTATTTAATACTACTGTGCTTTATAACGGTGAAAGTTTTTAAACCAATTTCACAAGGATGGTGATTCGAAGAACCCGAGTTCATAAGCAATTTATTTGAATCCGTACGAATCTGCAAGAATGACGTTGTCATTTTTCAGTTTAATTCCATAAGTTGTTTCGTGGCATGGAGTGTCCGTAACTGTGTATTCAAGATTTACATGATGAGTTCATAACAAACTCTTTCACTTTAGTGACTTTATAGCAGGCACTGTGAGATAAACATTTCTGTTACATTGTTTCGGCATGACGAATCGTTAATTTATGGTTTCGACCCCTATAGAATATAGACATCACGTCTCATGCGAAATTTGTAGCAGACAAATAGTCTTATTATCATGCTTAAAATCTCTTTATCAGTCATCAAGTGGTTCTCGAGCAAAAGCAGTTTACACTGCTGTGCAACAGTACTCGGCAGAGGAAGGGCGAAAATATGCTATGAGGTTACATCAACTTCGTCTCACTCACCTACGAAAGCAACTTGAACGCCAAACTCAAAAACCTTGGTGGGGGCAATGGAGCACCTGGAGCGCTTGCGGACGCACATGCGGATGTGGCGTTCAGTTTCAAGAAAGACATTGCCTGGGATCCAGGTAGAAATTAAAAATAATCATACAAGACAAACGAGAACTTAAAATTTTTGTTAAAAATACGGGAATTTAGTTTAGCATATTTCTATTTAAAAAAATGATACTTCCCAGACATTGTCTACGCTTAATGTACATCATTTGTATTAATATGTTTTATTCATACGAAGTACAATTCAGCAGCAGGCAAACACAGGAAATGAATCTTATTTTACATTTAAACCCCACAAAGTACCGTGCGAATTGTCAATCATTGATCCTGGTTAAAGATTCATATCGTAAACCATAATATTTTTCTACGAAAATACGAAATTATCCCACATTTAAAGTTATCTCCGAGTCTATCAACAAAATTGACTTGAATGATTGATTTGCCTAGTTGATAAGTTTGTTCTGGCATTGCGTCATTCGAAAAATGTCAAGAAGAACGACATTTTGTCTGAGCATTCGAGTAATTCAGTCACGAACACTTGAATAACAACAACAAATATCTCATTAAAAGCAAGACACGCGTTTCTAGCGTTAATCCCGGCATAGAATAACCATTCGTGAGTTATCCAGACACTCAGCACCTTCAGTCACCTGTGACTAAACAGATTCCAACGTTACCTGATCCGCGAGAATGTGAGTGGCACGCTTCTGTGATGTAATCACGGTAAAATGTTTTTGAGTAGCACGGGAAACATGTTACGTCTATTATATTTAGTCTTTAACTTATACTATTCCATCATGTCGAGCTGTTGTAAAGTGTGCACAATGAAATTTTTATTTTTGAATACACAAATTGGTGTACATTTTAATGTAGTATACAACGAACCCGAAATGTGTACATATAAATCATTGATTCGGTAAAATACAATTTTCTGAAAGTCAGGATTTAATGTACTGTGTTTAGTTCGTAGGTTTCAAACTATGGGAATCGGTTTTCATTTATTTTTTAATTTTGGAGCGAACCCGCTGTATAATATTATTCTTGAAAATTCGTTAAAAAAAATCTCTTAAAAGTGTATACCTCCATCTATTAAGATGTAAATTTATCTTTTCAGGAACGCTGCAACGCATCACAACGGCAAAGCGATATGCGAAGGTCCAACGAAGAAATACAGAATATGCAATTCTGCTCCATGTCCGACACAAAATCCAACGTTTAGAAAGTTACAATGTTCCCAATATGCCGCAAAGAAAATTAGAGGAAAATTCTATACATGGAAACCTTACGGTCATCCAGGTAAAATAGTTACGTCTTCAAGTGATAGGTTGTATTACACTGCAAGTCCTTTCTCCTTGTTTACTCCCTACATCATTGCGTATGCCCATGCACAAGGATACTTGAACGAGATAGTATAATAAAGATAAACGGGGATCGCATAATCTCTTTCGACAGCTTATTAATATACTTGCTATTTCGTAGAAAGAGGTTATGCTATTTTTATTTAAACCTAAACGGCATTTGACCGCTACACATGTTTTGTTGATCTTATGTGCGACATGATTTCTACGCTAATATCAAAAATCAGTTACACAGTAATATTGTTGAAAAACAACAGAAACCCTAGAGGTTATTTCTTTGAGTAATAGCGTGTGGATTCAGTTTCTTCATTTTTCGATTTACAACATTTCAACAAATGCTGCTTGAATCAAGTGGTTGCCCATTTCAATCTGTACATATAATTTATTAATACCTTTTACAAATATGAACTACTCTTTTTTGTTACTTCGAAACAGTTGAAGAAATCGTTTCAAACGAACCATGTCAGTTGGTTTGCGTGTCGAACGTGAACGAGATTCAGCTGAATACTGTGGCAATGGACGGAACTGAATGTCGTAGAGGATGGAATGACGGTCGTTGCGTTGAAGGAAAATGTCAGGTATGAATCTTTTTAATATATACATATCACTAAATCAAAATAAACACCTAAAACTGCACAAGTGGAGGTGTTGTAACTGAATGATATAATATGAATAAGATGTTAATTTTAGACCCTTAATGAATTGAATCGCTCAAGTTTGGCAACACCACGCGGGATTGCACAGCATAGAAAAAGCGGTTTAATAAATTCAAAAACACATAATAAAATATATAAAACGAAAAATATTCTGTCGGTGTTTTTTTGTGCTCCAGAAGCTTGTTATAGAACCTCATTGTTTTCTTTTTTGATGTAAATGAATGGACTTTTAGCTAGCAAGGCAAATCCAGCCACAAGCGTCCATGATATTGAACTGAAGAAGGGCGTATTACGGTGGCCTGTTGATGCCACTCCGGAAAAGATGAGAATTGAAAACAATTGTCCATTGTTATCAATTGTTTACTTCTTTATTGATATTTATCATTTTTTTGAATTTATATTCATAAATCGCGACGATGAAAAAACAACAGTAAAAGGACATGACTTTATTCCATCTTCCGTGCAATGCGCAATACTCTTGCAAAGCTAATACTGAAAAATAAATTCTAAATTTTTCCTCCAGCTTATCGGCTGTGATGGAAAAATTAATTCGGAAAAACTCAAAAATAAATGTGGGAAGTGTGAAGGAAACGAAACATCATCGTGTGTGATCCATGATAGATTATTTGCAAAAAATTTACCAACATCAGGTTCGTATTATAGATTAACGACAGATTAGCATATTTATCATGTAAACCATTTAGGCTTGTCGTTTTCTACGTGGGTGGCACAATTTACAACTCAACGAAACTGTCTTAAAATCCGAAGGTCGTCTGGAGGTCGCACCATATAATTAATTTTATTGTTTTACGAACAAAGAACAGTCAAAAAGCAAAAATCGTGAGATTCATTACTTTTTCCTAAAGATAACATTTGACCGATCCAGGTGCAAACAGAATTATTTTTTGGAAACACTCTGAGTAACTGAGGTCAAAAGTTTTTTTGAAAAACTTCCTTTGTCACATACATATGATGGAAAACAAAATATCGACAAGTAAAATTGGACGAAAAACTCCTTTCTATCCGCTCATGCCCTAAAATGATTATGTATGTGTCAAAAAAACTGTCTTGAAGATAGGAATTTGATTGATGCCTTACGTAAACAGGAGAATATGAAGTTGTTCGCGTGCCACGGGGAGCTTACGATATCCTGATAAACGAACGAAGAAAAACAGCAGCGAGTCTGGGTAAATTTGTGGTGTCGTTTGTAACTTGAATTTTTTTTTTCTTCTCTTGTTTTATCTTTATAGCGGGGGACAAATGCTAAAATTCATGCTTATATTTGAATTATGGATACAAGGAAATATCAGAATTTTTGATAGGTATCGATACCACGAATTTCCACAAACACGATATTAGTGAATAATTCTATGAATTATTCCATGTATATATGTATACTTATCAACAACCAAGTAGTGCTGGTAGATAAATTGGATCAAAATATTCTCACTTATATAAATAGTATATTTGGTGTCTCAATAGATGTTCAATGTCTATATAGTGGAAAATTATGAGTCACAGATTGTTTTTTTCCTATATTCGAAGCACCATAACTTGTCATATTTCTACTTTTTATATATACATTCCAGTTGTTAGAGACATGAACGGTACGATTCTTCTTAATGGCGGAGGCAAATCCGATTCCGGTCTAGGAACGGAAGGATGGCCAAGTAATCTTGTGATGGCAGGAGCAGAATTTCGTTACAGAAAGCCGACATCGCGGACATCATCTGCTGGATTTGAATATCTCTTAAGCACGGGACCATTGGAGCGTGATATCATGGTTTATGTAAGATAGAATAAATATACAAATGTTTGTGATTAATTTCCGGAATGAAATTGCTAAATCTAGCATTTCAGTTAGTTCATTCCAGGTGTCAACTCTAAGAGAGATTTAAGTTGATTTTGTAGTTGTCCATGAGACAAAAACGTACATCTCGCAACTAATATTTTTCAGTTACACGCCACAGTGCCAGGAAACACATTTCTACACTACGAGTTCAAAACGCCAATTTTTGAAACAGGAGATGTTGTGACGACATCGATGGAACAAGATGGAAGCAATGTTGATCCTGAGAATCCCCCAACTGAACCAACACCAAGCTTAACTTCCCAAACACCAATTATAATGCCTCCCATTACCAAGCCACCATTACAAATTTCTACAAGTCCCCAAAGTGAGTCTTTTTCGATATTTTTCAGAACTTACCACATCAGTAGGCCTAACTACTGTCGTATTTAAGGACGTTCACCAATTGCTTTCGTCATTTCTTTTACAACTTTGTGCAGAAACGTTCATTTTTTGCAGTTGTTCTACTTCCTCCACGACCCAGGGAAGAAGGGATAGGAAAGGTATCCAAAATAACTGATTATGAATTTGTTGAAGAAGAAGAGATTCAACATCCTGTGGCAGAAGATGACGGAGAAGGTTTTCTTCTCATTAGAGAACTCGATGTCAGTCATGTAAATGGGTAAACATATTAATATACAACAATAGTTTTACGAAATAGTACAAAGTTTCGATGTTGTTGTGACTGACTTTAATTTAAAAACTCACGCAAACTACTTTTTTCTCAGTACATGCCTTAGTCATCACGTAATAAACACATATGCGTTAAATCGAGAATATCGTAATGATCTACCGGTACTTAACAGACTAAAACTTCGTAAAACATTGTTTACTGTAAACAAGCCTTGTCCGGAATGCAATGTTAATGGTACTAAGAAGCGGAAGCGCAAATCCTTTCAGAACTTGTTACAGCGGTAAAAGCTTTGATCACTCGCTGCGTTATTTTGATTATAATCTTAACATTTGCATTTTATAGGGGAGAGAATACAGAAAGACAACACAACAGCAGTGATTCACAAAATGACTATGGCGAAAATAACCTCATATTCACAAAACCACGATTCAAGTTGTGTAAGTAAACAATGAATAGGCTTGGTTCGCGAAATTAGTCAATAACTAAAACGTGTTTCATTTTTGTAGCTGAGATGGAAGATGCACTCTATGACGCAGACCCAAGTTTAAACATTTTACCGAACAAAATTGTGAGATTAGAGAACAAAAATGAGTCTGAAACTATATCGCGTGTTTACACAGTTATACGACAGCTTCCCACAGGTAAATGAGATATTCAAATGCCTTTTTTTTCAATTCTAAGTCTCTATTTCAAAACTTTTTTTCTAATATACTGGACTGGTCATCGTACAAAATATTGCACTATTGGGCAAGTCCAACTACTCACAAAATTTAGATTTATTTTCAGACTTTATTTAAAATATCTAAACTTTGAATTGTTAAAATAATATTAATAATTTTTTTTTAAACTCTGGTTCAACAATATATATTATATTTGATACTATCAGAGCGAATGGGAAAAGTAGAAGAAAGCGGCCCTTTAAAAATAGATTTCTAAATGCGGCCTTTGCAAAAAACTCCATATCTCCTATACCAGGGATGGCGAACCAATGACCCGCGGGGACCCACCGCGCATTATTCGTGAACCGCCAAGGCCCGAATAAAATAAAAATAAATGTTAACATATCAGTGATAAAAATTGATAAAACCGGCCTTAAATTAAACTAACAATACCTAAACGAGATAGCGATCAGAGACCGCCGACTTATCGATCTTCCGCATCACTAATTAATTAATAACTCGCTAGTTATACGACATAATTTATCCGAAAACGATAGGCTTCTGGTCCGAGATATGATTAATGCACATACAAAATGCAGTTCCAATCTCGCTTTCGTCAGATATTGCGTAACATACGAGAGTGTATAACAGACAAACACACAAATACCTATCAACATACTTACCGATCGAGATCGGTAGGTAATAAACTATGTCTGCGCCGCTGTGTGCCGTTATTCAGCCATTGGCTCTGGCATCGTTTATGAAATAACAATGTAATTGATCTGTTCATTTCTCGCAACGTCTTGTCTCTTTCGGAAGTGTAACTGCAGACTGTTTTATCGATTATACGAGAACGAGATGCTACTTTGCATTTTATTGGTTTTTCGCCTACAATGCCGTTGAGAAAACAAAATTTTTCATACTTCAAATAAAAACCTATAAATCTGAAATAATAATGGGACAGTGTAAAAGTGCCTTGATGTGCTTAAAAGCTGGCCGAAAAATACACTATCAGAGTGGAATTCCCTCCGAACTCTTTGGAACCGTAAAATAATTTGCCGCATAATCCTAAACGTTTTTGGTAATTCATATGCGTGGTTTCGTACTCTAATTTCATAAAATCAAGTGCCATAAAAAGTCCCTGATGGAAGTGCTGCATAAGTAGCCTAAAGCCCAAAACTACATTAACACCAACAGAAGCTTATAAGATTTGTTTCAGAAGTTTCTTATAGATAAAAACGTAGATTAAATATCTGCGACCAATTCTCCTCTGTTCGACGATAAAAATATAATTTTTGACCCATTCATTGAAAAAGGTTCGCCGTCCCTGCCCTATATCCTACTTCTTTGAACATATCGAAGGATGAAGCTCGTCATCAAAACGAGAGAGATAAATAGCACGAGACGCGTTTGGACAGCTTTTCGAGTCTATTCGCAAGTCGAATAAAACTTTTGCGATAAACAACATCACCGTTCACCCTTATTGGTGTAACTATAATCTTTTGTTGAAATGTAAAAAAAACTTCCAGACAATGAAACAATAGTTGACGAAGGAGAAGAAGGGGATGAGGATGTTCCCGGTGGTGAAGACGATGGAGATGACGAGGATGATGAATATTATAATCAAGATTATAAAATAATTCCCGAAGCAAATATACCTATACCTGTTAGATATGGAAGTCGACACAGGTAGTTTTTGAATTCTGTTTCAGTTTAAAAAATAAACTTTTTCAGGGGTCCAAAAATGATGTTTATTGAACTGTGGAGTTTGGCATGATTTCGATCGGTACCTGCGTGGTATTTTCAAACCACACAGAGTCGAAATTCTGAATTCGAGATTTTATTATCAAATTTGATTTCCCTCGGAGTTCTCCATCTGGAATCGGGGGCCGAAGTCGAAATCATTTTTTTCGATTCTAAGTCAGGAGTCGGTGTTAAATGTAAGTGTGTCTCTGCTCCATCGATGTCTGAAATACTACAAATGCCAACAATATATTTTGGAATTTTACTATTCAAATAAAATATGTATAAATGAAACAGAAATCATGAAAAATATGTATTGCAGCAGTACAAGATTCGGTTCACGAGTGTCGACCGAATTCGGTTGGAGGACAAATGGTTTTGCACCATGTAGCAGCACCTGCAGAAGCGGACTTCAACAGTCTTATGCAGTTTGTGAAAGAATGAGAGATCATTTAACTGTTGATGATTCCTACTGCGATCCAACAACCAGACCGGAACCAGTAAAAAAAGAATGCATTGGGAGTGAGTTTATGTTAGATTCAAAAATTTTGTAATCTACAACCGTATGGTCTTGCCTTTTGTATTTCCTTATCTGACTAACTTACTTTTCGTCTTCAAAGAACCATGTGATCCAAGATGGGAGGCGACGCCTTGGTCAGAATGTTCTCTAAGTTGTGGAACTGGAGTTCAGATGAGAACAGTGAGATGTTGGCAGATGATCGGTTCTGGATTTGATAGCACGCTATATACAGAAATATGTAAAGATGTAGCCGGAGAAAAACCAGTGGAAACGAAGCCTTGCAAAGTCTTAGATCAGTGTGGCCCGTTATGGGAAACCAGTGATTGGTCGCCGGTAAATAATTTATCCTGTTTATGTTCGTTCTATTTTTGTACTTCCTTACTCAACTGTACAGTCTAATCGCAATTTTAATAATTTTCAAGCGACGAGAATCTCAAACACAAATCCTAAAATTTATTTCTTCTTCACAGTGCCCAGCACCTTGCGGTATGGTGGGAGTGAAGTGGCGCACGATACGTTGTTCAGCGGGTCAAGATCGGTTTTGCTCGTCAGCACCCAAACCAAACTCACAAGAACAGTGCATGGGACCACGATGTCTACTCCACTGGACCACAACCGATTGGGGACCAGTAAGAATCTGATTGGCATTTATTTGCAATTACAAAAAAACTAAATTATTTGAATATGTTTTATAGTGTTCAGGTGTATGTGGTGGTGGGCGTAAAACAAGAAAAGTGATTTGCACCGATGGTGCTGGACGTGGACACCCGGAGGATCAATGTGACCTCAATACAAAACCACCAACATCCCATCCATGCGGAGATGTGAACTGCCGCCCCGAGTGGATCACTCAAGACTGGGAAGAGGTTAAAAATCATAGATCTTAGATAAATTTTAGAACTTTGCGCGAATATACTTTATAAAGAATACTGAACTATTGTAAATAACTTTTTATCATATATTTATGCAGTGTTCGGTCGAATGTGGATCTGGAGTCAGACACAGGAAAGTAATGTGTTCCGGGATTGTTAACGGTGAAGTACACAACTATGAGGATGATACTCCATGTATTGCAACAACGAAGCCTCCAGTAGAGGAATCTTGTCAAAAGCCCGATTGCGACCCAGTTTGGTTCACAACTTCTTGGTCGAAGGTGACGATGAAATATTACTAAATTGGCTCAACATTTCTCAAATCAAGTAGAAGCACAGCTACCATGAACAGTCAGTAACAGTGGTACTTGAACAATACATATATTACAATAATAAAATTTCCTGCATTTTAGTGCTCTGTAACATGTGGCGATGGTAATCGAGTGAGAGAAGTAAAATGCTACTTGAAAAGTGCACCAGCAACTGGATGTGACCAAACACAGAAACCCCCTCAACAAGAAGCATGTGGAATGTCTCCATGTCCAGCACCGCGTCCTCAAGGTATGTGAAGTTTCTTACTGTTTAACTTTAACTCATGTATTTTCAAACTTGGAATATGTACAAGTTTTGATTGATAATTTCCAGTTCTAGAAGTTTAAGTTATTGAAAATGATCAAGTTTTTATCGAATTATGGGGTGGGAATTCGCGGTTTTACAAGTTCTAGAAGTCATGGATTCACTGATTACCCTCAATAAACTTAGCAATGAGAAGTGATCTGAGGCAATAGCAAATGTTCAATCAGAAGTAACCAGGATTTTGTGTACTGAAATGCAAGTCCTTTCCTTTCCTTGATCCTATATAGTAACTGCCACAGGGTTTCTTGAAAAAGGTAGTATTCGAATCATAAACAAAATTATTATAATCAAAAAACAGTTATATATATTAGTAAGTTTTTGTAAGATCATAGTCAATCCAGATAAAACGCCGGATTTTGTCTGGAATATGGAGACTATAACAATTTAACAATTTTCTTTAACAATTTTCACTATATCGTATTTCACTAATCTCATTGCTGATCATATTTTATAGCTGAATGCACGAATGGACCAGTGAACTGCGCACTTGTTGTACAAGTTCGCCTCTGTTCACATTGGTATTACCGAAAAGCTTGCTGTAAAGCATGCCAAAACCGCAGGCCCACAAAGTCGTGTACGACTTGTCGAGGGAAATAGATTCATCAAAACCTCGTCGAACAGCCGAGACGTCAGTATGAAAAACGTTACACTTATTTGTATGTTCAACATTTTTAGTTCAGTGTTTATTCAAAATAAAATGAATCCCATGGTACGCACTAAATCTTAAATCATTTAGAGAGTCATCAATTTTCAAATGAGTATAATTTTACTACAATCTTGAATTTATCAATGATATCGATATTGTCCTGCATCCAATTTGCAATTTTGATAAGTTAGTACTGGGCTGGTACCGTGCTTCCTTTTCATCGATCCACATTTTTGACACATTCTAATTTTGTATATATTTTTATTAACATTGTGTACTCAACTACCAATTAAAATAGTATTGTTTACTGTCATTGGTTATACACTTGAATGGGCTTTGTATCACATATAACAAAAATTTGCAACTCGACCTTAATTCAAAGACTTAACCTGGCATCTGAGTTCAAATGTTTTCGTGTATTCACAGCTTTGATATGTTGTATATATATTGTTTAGCGGAGGTTATGCGAAGTGAATTTGAAAAAAATATTCAAGGTATTTTGGCTATGAGAATTTATTGTATATACACAACTAAACATTGGTACATATATATCACTGCTGTTTCTCGAGGTAATAAACTTAATAAAGTTTTAACGACATTTATTTGTATATATATATATGTAAACTTTACTATAGTACGGCGACTTTTTATGTGACTACTATTCAGAGTTCCAGTAATAACGATAAATTTCAACAAAAACGTCCGTGTGCATATTCAAAGCAATTGTGCGTTGATCGTACATTTGTTTCAGTTAAGCATAAATCGAATTTTGAAGATTTAATCAATAAATTGCTAAATAAAGTGATTTGCTTGCATATTTGTTGTTTTTGTAGTTTCGCCACACTCGTGTATTTTTAGACGAATAAATGAAAGATACTATACTACGCTCACCCGGCCTACAAATTTATTGAGCAAATTAGCTCGCGTCTGATGTAGAAGATATATATATCATATGAATTATATAAATAAGTTTAGTGAATGTTCATATACATCCATTTGCGATCATACTAATTTGTATACAATTACTACATTAGTATACACTGATAATGACGAGGCCAGGCTGAGGCGGTGTCTAAATATAGCAGTCAACTCTCATTACCGGTGGTATGTTGGTGATTGTTGTATGTTGAGTCATAGTCAAGTTCATTTTTTTCAACCAGCAAAACAAAAAAACGATACAAATGCAAAACATATTCGAAAATTTCAAGACAATAATTTTACTGGAAAGGGGAACCAAAGCTGAAAGGTGTGCAACAGTACGACTTAACCGGAATACCGGTAGGTACTCGCCACTAATACAGTCTGATAATACTGTAATCATTAGTTCAGAAGATCCAGTGTGCTGCAAAGACACACAAATAGGTTCGAAGTTCACGATGCAAACGAAGAGACATTATTAAAATGGTGTAAAATCCACGCTTAAATCAGATAAAATAAGAGCGACAAAATACGGTTCTCATCCAGCGACAGCAGAAGCAAGAAGAGACACACTGCGAATCCGAAGCGCAGTTCACATATGCAGTGGTGGTTGGAGTCGAGTAACTGAATCCAACTGTCGGGCGAATTAGGGCTCAGACTCCACACACCAATGCATATGCAAAAACTAGACACTAAATATAAATAAAATACAAAACAATAAAAATAGGACAATTCCAGTCCCGTCACAGGTGGTTACAATAAGAGGTTTAAAGCAGTCCTACTTTCGATGATGATATTCGAGACTGTTACCAGGTCTTAGCCATGCGAGTGCTATATTTGGCCGAGTAATTTATTACGAACAGCCTTATATATTACTAGTTTAGATCGCGAGTTCCAACAGTCACTGTTTCACCGCCATCACATTTTTTTAAATAAAAAACCCAAGACTAGCAATCACACGCCGCCAGTCAAGAATTTTCGGCCGTCACAACATGTGTGCTTTTTTCGCCTTCTCTCTCCACCGGAGAATTGTTCTAATTCCATATACTGTTTCAGAATTTTTGACGCTTACAATTCACATGGAGTCGAGTTTTCCAGTTTTCTACTATTTTAAAACCGCCTCAGCAAATATCGACCGCAGTCCGGAAACGGCCGTAGTACTGAGTACTCATTCCAGAACTTGTATTCACACTATATAGTAGACTAGTAGAGTATGGTTTAATACCACTGTTTTCTGTCTTTAATTTTAGTTCCTTTTTGCGTAGTTGATAAAGAGTGAAACATTGGTGTAATGTAATACAGAAACGTTTGGATTTAGGAAACATAAATGTTAGACGACCAAACGATGACGTTTTATGTTATAAACGTACCGGTACTGATATGGGTTATACATCTGTTGACGGCCGATTCTACAGTCCGTTTTTATCGCCAATTTCTTTTTTGGCGGTTTGATATAATATTATAATAATTTAAGTTACACTGTTATTTGAACCAACGCTTGGCTGGTGTAATTTACGTATTCCGTGTTTTCATCAATCATAGAATCAGGCACGATAAATATTGGAGTAGAGAGAACGGACGAGTGCATCGATTATAAAAGAAAAATCGTTGGCACTATCAACCTGAATATAAAACTGAAAAGCTTGCGGAGCTAGAGATCAGTAACACTGAATAGGAGCTCAATGAACGTCTGAACAATGCTGAACATTACTTTTGTGTCTGTCTCATCTTGCACTTGTATAAGTTATGCTATGAAAAGTCATGCTCAAACATGTGGAGACCAAAAAATGATATGTGATAATATGTGGACACGGAGGGCGAAACGAAATATTTATCTCCAATTCCCCGAGAACAATATGCGATAACTTACCAGTAGGCCTACCTGTATCGGGGTACCGTGACGATTCAGTTTTAACGTGAATTAAAATACAAACTGATCCGAGTCACTTCTGTATTACCAGATCAGGTGCCGCAGTCTACCGTTCGCAATGAAAAAAAACTTCCCATTTTCGATAAGCACGAGATCCGCCGACGTTTGCTGAGCACGAGATCCGCTGATATGCGTAAACGCCAAAAATTTTAAAAAAGTTACACAGCATAAAATTCATAACAAGTTCTTCCGTGATAACCCACCTTTAAAGCATTACATCTGAAACAAAATCTACTTATTGGCGTTGATTATATCCCTTCATTTTTGCCATTGAGAAAGAACATTCCATTATTTTGAATAAACCACATGTCCTGTGCCGCTTTTTTTTTATCAGAACATGTTATTCGTCCAGCCTAGAACCTTGGTTCTCAAAGTGGAGTCCGCGAAGCGATTTTAGGGAGACCTCGAAGCAACTTTGACTGCGACACAGTTGTCGCAGAACAAACCGCGGCGTCCTTCCCATGTTTTTTTTGGCGCTATTCAGTAATCTAATTCACAAAGTCATGTACCAGATTTTGGTTTAACATGCAGATTTATACCTACCTAAACCTGAAACCTAACCCCAAAATCATCAAAACTGTATCCAAAAAAAATGTTCTAACTTACCCAATATGTGTCACCATCAAGGGCAGCCCTGCCATTACAGCCGACATGCCTTGGTTACGGCAGCAACATTTCACCCGCCATTGGTCTTCAATTTGCCGCCGTGGTACCGGCAGCTTGCCATCGGCTTGTGGCAGCTAAAATTTCAGTCACCGTGGTTTGGCCATAGCGGCCATGGTTGAAAAATCCCGCCATGGTTTTGTGGTAGCTGCAGATGCCACAAAATACTTAAAACTGCACTTGCAGAAGCACTGCTGAGTAAACTTTCGATGTCATGTTGGTACCATGTTTCTCAAAAACACGACACATCATTTTGAAGGTTTCAATGCGTACCAATTGTTGGTGAACGTACCAAGTGCCATAAAGGAATGCTGATCATTGTTGATTACGGTAGGCATGTGTACTTGATTGTAAATTGTAGAATGTCAAGAATACACAAGTGGGCAGCTCACCACACGTCAATGATCACTCGAATGTTTACGCCTTCACCATTTCATCTAGTGATTTTATTGAAATCGGTTAGGATCGGTTCCTAACGTCTTTTAGAAACACACAGAAAGCAACAAAGAAGATGAAAAACTGGTTCTTAATTGTGAACATGTTTTATGTCCCATTTTTTTTCAAAAACTTTTATGCGAACGTTTACGACCCAAAAACGTGTGATCGAGAGAAAAATAATGTTTAGTATTTACATCCGATAGATGGCGCAACACGAATGATTTTTGAGGTAATTATCATACCACAGTATGATCATACTGTCATATAACGTTAGCTCTGTCTGTCTGTAGTTGAGGTATTGTTGAAAGGACACATAAAAGCATAAAAAAGTAATAACTTGTGAATAATTATAAAATTATGTTAAAAAAAAACAAGCAATTTACAAATTTGAGACTTCGTTGTTTTGCGCCATCATCTATCCTGTTCATTGGTATTAAAAAAAAGCATAAAAAGAACTTGTCATGATATGTGATATTCCTCATGCTAAATATTTAACGTTATAAATGTACTACTTACCGGTAACTTGTGTGACGAAATCAACCACTAAATGAATGGAACTCCAGAACTCTATGGATTAACGGGGTCTGGGGTTGAGCCTGTTGAGCAGACCAAAAGTCAAAAGATGTTGATAAACTACATCGGTACACTCACACAATGCTTCTCAGTTCTCACATTCAGACATTTCCTCTTAACCCACTGACAAATAGTCTAAATGCAGAAATAGACCTAGTTAAATCCCATGAGATTGCAGACTTCGCAGATGAAATTCTAGTGGTTGAATGGCCAGACTCGTCGTTGATTCAGTGATTAGCTCACTTGGGCAGACTAATCAAAATCACCAGTTATTGATCACAAATAATTAATAAACTCATTTTCCTGTTTTCAGGTTAAAAATAATGCCAAACACTTGAAAGACATTTACTCACTACTGATTTAGGAAATTGAACTGGATCAAATTTTTCAAAAGAATTGCTATAGGCTCATATCTCTTGAGCATTGCAGTTGACAATTCAACAAAATTACACAGCAGCCATTCAAATGGAATCTGGCCGCCCAAGAAATAGCAAAAGGAGAGATGACTTGAGGGGAATAAATGCAAATAATGATCAGAGAGCTGTGAGCTATGAGGAGGCTTTCAACAAAACTGGATTTGGTTTATGGCAGTACTTACTTCTGCTTCAATGTGGTTGGGCTAATGCAAGTGATGCAATGGAGATCATGTGTATTTCATTTATTATACCTTCAGTGAGGGACACAATGAAGGTATCACACATGGAATTATCTGCATTAACATTTGTATTATTTTTTGGAATGCTTGTTGGTGGATATATTTGGGGATCACTAGCCGATACCTACGGTCGAAGACAAATTGTCTATATATCTCTTGCGGTCAATGCAATTTTTGGTGCACTGTCATCTGTTGTCGAGACATACTCTTTATTATTGTTTTTGAGATTTATTAGTGGATTCGGGGCTGGTGGATCATTGCCTGCTGTATTCACATATTTTAGTGAATTTCAGCCTACAAAATACAGAGGGGCTATGATCAGTGCACTTGCAACATGTTGGATGGCTGGGAATATAATAATAGCACTTCTTGCATGGGCGGTTCTTCCAGAATCTGAGGTTCTAAAGTCAATTTCACCTCACGGGCAACAGTGGAGGCTATTTGCAATTTTATGTGCAATTCCTAGTCTTATATCTGCAGTCCTTTTCTTTTTTATGCCTGAAAGCCCCAAATATCTTCATGTGAATAATAAACTTAATGAATCATTATTGGTTTTGAAAAAAATGTATAAATGGAACCATCTTAAAAACAATCCATACTCATTTCAAATACATAAACTCCTACCAATTGGTTCGGAAGAGTCAGATCCTTTGTTTGAAGAAGATGTAATTTATTCACAAGAAAATGGAGATAATGAATCTGCTAATTTATTAGAGTCATCGAACAGTTATTCATATAGGTCACCAACAGCATTTCCAAATCGGTCTCAAAGTGGAAACATTTTCACACGATTTAAGGAAAAATTTATTTTCCACTTAAAAATGTTTCATAGTCAATTTGTTGCAATATATGCACAAAGTCGTAGAGTAAACTCGATTGCTCTAACTGCCACCTATATACTATGTGCATTTGGGGGATATGGAATGGCTATGTGGACTGTTGTTCTGATGGAAAAAACTGAAAAACTTGGAGGTTCCCCGTGCCGTGGCTACAGTAGCAATGGCACTGATATATTGTTGCGTGACACAATATCAGATAATTCTGCTGATGCTTATATAGATGTTTTAATAGGTGCATGTGCCCAGTTACCTGGAAATCTCTTAACTATTTTTTTAATGGACAGATTAGGAGCTAGAATTATTCTTATTTTTGTTTTGTTTCTCTCTGCTTTAAGCGTATTATGTTTTTGGTTGGTGAATGTAAAAGCTCAAGTGGTAGCGATGAATGCAATATACAGTGGTATTCAAGTTGGAGCCTGGAATGCTCTTGATGTCATAACTGTGGAAATGTACCCAACATCGATTAGATCAGCAGCTACTGGTAACATGAATGGTATTAGCAGACTGGGGTCCATACTTGGTACAACTATATTTGGTTTATTCATGGATTTGAATTGCAGTGTTCCAATTTTAACTGTGTTTTCTGTTTATATTCTTTGTAGTTTAATTTCTATAAAACTACCCAATACTAGAAACATCACATTGGACTAACATGTATATGAACAAATATTATATGTCACAGAAACAGTCTTGTATCATTTGAATGATCTGCTGCTTATTGATTGTACTTCCTGCTCTATAGGTTATTCGCATTCACAGCGGAATGTTTCAGTGGCCAGGCCACACATAAATAAAACAATGTTTTTGATGAGGTTGCACTCCTAAAAAGTAAAGACTCCTGTCTATATCAGCCAACATAATCACTGTCACATGATTTACAATCGGTTATTGTGCCATAATTGGATTATTTCCAAATTATGCTGAGGTGAAGTAAAAAGATATATAGTGAATGATTGAGCAGGTCACATTTATATTAGGGTAAATTTTTAATAAACTGAAAAGTCTGTGAATATGGGAGTAAATTTTTGATGGCCATCCCACACGTATGTTACAGAAGTCCCAACATTAGCGGTGAGATCATCGTTGTCGATTTTTACCCCTTTGGTTATGAAATAATAATTGCAAAAGTTGCTTGAAATATTTTTTTCACTGTGATTATTATTTATTTTCAATCTCTGAAAAAAGTACGTTTTGTAGTTCATTTTTAGTACATATATATATATTATTTGGGTTATTGTCTCATTGTGCCATCGTTTAACAGTCCTTTTTATGTAATTTGGTGTTGAAACTTTTTATAGCACTTTTATGATAACCTATGTGTCTTAGCAATTGAATCCCTGATGCAGTAGTTTTATTTCTTCAGAAACTTGTATGATGCACATCAATATATATAATCAGAATCATGTGTATTATCTGGCATTTCTTTGAAATCAAATAGTTTTGGAAGTTCCCTCCTAAAATTTAAACTTAAAGAAAGGATGTTGTTAAACATTTGATAAATGTATGTTGGGCAAGTTATTTTTCGAGCTGAACATTTTGGATGCACCTGAGCCTCACTTCGGCACAAAACCGGTATCGCCAGTAGAAAATGCAAGCGGATCAATATACGTTTCACCACATGATTCTTTCGTGCGTTTCGTTGAATGTCATAGGCGAGGAGCGTAACATGTGATCATAATAAACGTGATGTCAAATGTAATGTATTTAGAAAACAAAGCAAACGATTCATATGACTTTAAAAAGTGTTAAAATATCTGGGAAGTAAACAGGCGCTCTGTGTGAAAGACCTAAAGCACGTGTCTGCAATCTTTCTTCGTCAAAGATTAAAACGAACTTAATCACGTACCGGTATTTGAAAAACAAAATTTTCATTAATGGAAATATATTGTGCAACTCATTTATTCAACAATTGAGGCCCTTAAGCTTGTTTTTCCGGAATGATTTTCCCATCACATGTAATTTAAACAATCAGATTTTTTTTTTCAGACCCGGTAAGTCAGTGGTCGGCAACCTTTTTCAAGTGACGGACCGGCAAAGCATGACCAAAATTTTGGCGGACCACCTATATACAAACGGACTAAGCCTATGCAATAAATTATACGCATTAGGAAATTTATGTTTACAACGTACTAAAAAACGAAAGTGATGCTGTTTAATGCAATATCTGTATATATTTGTTTGCTGGCCATTAACTGTTCCCATGTTGGAGATATGGTTGAGATTGACACACGTAACGTGTTTCTTACATCCAGACTACTTCGATATTTCGTTTTTGAAGTTATCAATATTGGAAACCAGGTCTCACATTAATAGGATTCTGGGAAAGGTAACAGTGCCTGTAAACTTTCTGACTCTGATCTGGCTATTGCTTGATGTTTGTTTTGCCAAAACTATTTTTTACTCGATGTGCTAAGTTTATGATTATCCGGATTCTGAAGTATAGAATTAGCCGTTTTTGTGTCACCTCTCTGCGGACCGGCGATGGGCCAATGTACGACAAGAAGTCGAGAATTAATGGCCAAAAAAACGAACGCTCTGTGGCAACGAACGCCTTTGATCATTGCTTAGTGACTTCATTTCGATAATATGCGGTGTCAATACTTTATATAATTTATATAATATAATATTGCTTATAAATCTAGTGTAGCGCCATTCATAACTGAGAAGCCTGGTGATTAAATTTGCTCTTAAGATGAGAATATAAACAAGAGAGTGACGCTCAAATATATGAACACGACAGTCGAATGGCAAATTTGGTCACCGCAATATCAGCGAAATTCCAGCCAATAGACAAAAGGAATTATATGAACCAGCGATATTTGCAGTTAATTACTGGGTACATGGGGCGCGGAGTAGATTTAATGGTAGTAGATTTTGTTTTTTCCGTCTTCAACTACCAAATATATATATATACTGTAGTTTAGTTCATTAGCTGCAAAGAACGGTAGTTTTCATAACATCTTCAACAAAATCAACAGTTTTGTAAAACAGTTCGTAGATTCACTCACATTTCGTATCCCCACCCAATAATAAAAAATACCGGTCTGCGATATCACAGCACTGTAAACCAGAGTCTTCATGAGGTTAGTTATTATTATCGAGAGAGACAATAAGTTAGAAAATCATGATCGCTCACAATTTAAACGGTTTCCTGACAAGATGGATACCGGGATGTCATACAGAAACTCAGAAAGCTGAGTTTTAGGTTAATGTGTGTGTTGCCTCAAGGCGCAGTGGTAAAACAAAAACTTTTGATTTATAAACTCGATAACGCATGAGATATCAGAAAGTGTATGACATGAAAATCAATGTCCGATTTTCCACATCCAAACAGTGAAATGCGCCTTTGGAAACAATGTCCAATCCCACAACCTATTTCTATATAGCGAGACACTTCTTTGCCTGCAAGCAAACTCTACGTTTCGAGATTAAACAGACTCCTACTTCGGTGTTTATTACTGCCAGAATTATATTTATATAAGTGTGTCCCGAAGCGACATAAATGTTGACGCGATCTAATGGGTCTCGCTACTGATGGTGCTGGTGCTGTTAGTTTCCAAACTTCAAAAAGGTCAAAAACGGTAATGGCAAGACTGCAAAAAGACAGTGAGCTTTGTTGAAATGATGTATACCATGATACCATATGATACTATACCATAGGCCTACATTCCTACATTTAAAGCTGTCTCGGCTGTCTTTATTGACCATATTGTTATCGAAATTTTATGCGCATATTCTCTGTCAAAATACCGGGTTCAGTTCGAAAAATAGGAAGGAATTGACGTTAACGATACCGGTACAAATAATTCGAATTTAGACTAATTAGTATTGGTTTTACATGCGATATGTCTGCCATCAATGGGAATCAGCGGAAAACGAACGCATTCACCTTCAGTAAGTAGGCCAGCGCTGCGCTACACAGAACCAACAGTAACGAGAACATGTTTGTGTATTATGCTGGAAAAGCGGGACTTTTGGATGACTTATCGGGACGGCGGGACAAAACGCTGAAAAGCGGGACTGTCCCGCTTAAAGCGGGACGTATGGTAAGCCTAATTAAGCCCTAGGCCTCGGAATAGACGAATATTTGCTTCAGTATGGTTGGTTGTATTAGCAATGGCCGCAAAAATAAATTACTAGAATAACATGGGATTATTGGAATAAATCATGAAACTCAAACATTCAACGTCCATACAACAGGCAAACATGTGACAAAGCCTGCATGTGATTATAGAAAACATTGAAACTATACCGGTAGGCAGTTATTCGTACGTACAGATATATTCACACACATTTTTTTAAAGATATTCATCCTTCTGTTATTTTTTACTTTGGTATTAATACTGAGATTCTGTTATTAAAACTATAGGTGGAGTAATCTGATGAGTGCTCCAAAAACAAAACAACTCGAAAATCCAATACATTCACGTACATGTTTTTGTTTATTTCTGGCCAAGCCTCGTTCAACTGGGTTTGTGTTTTTTGAAATTAAGTTTTGCGTGTGTTTGTGTGGTGGGCACATGATATTAATCATGTTTTGGACCTTTTCAAAGGTTTTGCTCGCTCTCCAGCACCGTTAGCCTGCACGACCAACACTAGAGCGTAGATGATCACCTACTTCGCAAAACGAAGTGTATTTTATCTGTAATTCCTAAAGTTGCCACTATTTTCAACCCTTCACTCGTGAAAATTTCGGACCTCCAGAAGTATGTGCACCAAGATAGCGCACAACCTGAACATAGTTTGTGTACCATGTTAAGATTCATGTTGTGCGCCAACTTGGTGCACATACTTCGGGAGCGCCAAAACTTCCTTATAGATTATAGAATGATTTTGCGGTCGCAATGGTCAGTTCGTGTATCTGAAGCGTCGTGTTTAGAAAAAGTAATGCCCAGTAGATGTCGCTTCTGAATGGAATCTTGTATTGAGAAAGTACTTTAAAAAAAGCACGACAAGATTACGTATAATACTTACTTTTAAATATCCGAGTTTCCGTATTGATTTGTGATCATTTTAAACAAAGAAAATGCTTGGGATCGGTCAACACTTAAATCGTCCTTTTATAAACGTTGGTTTTGTAGCTGTGAACACGTCATCGTCTTAGTAAATAGATCGCACACACTTGGGGGTATGTTATCATTGGTCCACATCGTGACTCACGTTTATAAGATAGGCGGCGAATAAATTTATTTTTGGACATGGATCGCTTGGTAAAATTATTGCTGCTATTGTTGTTGAAACAAACATGTTTTCTTTTCGACTACTGGGCAAGCTATTTTTTATTGTTTTCAGTTACCGCTAAAATGGAAGTGTTGTGAGATTTTTTTTCTTTCTATGGGCACCATCTTATGTCCTTACCCCAAATATTACCAAAAGTATTCATCTATAATACGATCGATTCGCTGGATTTTCGAAATTTTAATTTGACAATGTCGAAAACGTTTGCGCTTTCGCTCTGAAAAATGCTCTGTACAAGCAGTTACTGATACCTCACGACATATATAGATATAAGGTTAAATAATTTACCAATTCTGTAATAATCATAGTAAACACTATTTTGTACATTCAAGTTTTAATCAATTCATGGTCGCACTCCCAGTTAACATGTCTAGTTAGCAGTGAACAAACAGTGCACATCCGACACGATCAAACATGATTAGTAAGCTAATGAAGCTGTTTTTCAAATTTACCAACTTTTCCGGGTAATTGGAATATATTGAACTGCGTTGCGGAAAATTGTAACTAGTTTACTTATAAATCGTGAATGGAATGCACTCTCGCAAACCAGTCGTGTATGTTCTGGGGTGATCACCTTAGATAAGTTTACTGTGCTACACTGTGCTGTATACTTTGAGTAAAATCGCATATCAGCTTTTTGATAACACGCAAACTCTCTCACATAATTAATATTTACTAAACAAAGTTAAAATATATAAATGTTTGAATAAATATACACTGAGCGCTAACTAAAAAGGATATCAGGATTTGTACAAGTTTGACTGACAGTCTCGGCCTAATGGAATCCGTAAAAGATAAGTATAAACTCAAAAAAGTCTCATATATCACATTCGGACGTCGAAGTAATTCGACCTTGGTACTTGAGCTAGAAAAGCCCTTTTGAATTCATGTACTTGTCTTCGCTAACGGTTATAAAGATAAATGATTTCATTCAATTTCGAGAATTCATTGTATAAATATTGATATTTCAGGAAAATGGATATGATGACGACACTGTTTGTAAATCATAATCCAGGCAAAAGAGTCGCAAACACAACCAACAATTTATTTTCCGTTGCTTTGTTCTGCGTCTCAGTCCCAGCTTGTCCTTGAATAAACAGTCGCAACAGAAGAGCGGCATATTGACCGAATTGTAACGTTTTTCGGTGGACAACAAGGCCTGAAGGAGGTCAAAACCCAATTCTTATTTAACTACGGTATTGGATGAAAAATTCCACTTCGAGTTAAAGCTGGTGCGTTAACTGTTACCATCGTCGTCAAGTGTTTGACAACAAACTAATACCAAATCGGGCCAGGCACGTTCGTCGCATTAGCGAAAAGTTCTGAATGGCAAATAAAACTGTACTATCGGTACAATGGGATAAGCGTCTCTTTCCTAAACGTCAATAGTAGTATTATGGCGAATTAGAGCAAATACTTGACCACATAGTCAGACGAAGGAGTTAATAAGAGTTTACTAATCCATTCGTTTCCGTAACCAGCTGGAAGCATCAACTTTCAGCCTCACCAATTACCTTCCGTTAGCAGGCTAGTAACAAGACAAAAATTTCACTCGGTTATGATCAGTCGAGTACAGGAAATCAGCATGGTGGCTGATTAGCAGCGGGTAAATGGCAAAGCATATCAATCGAATACCAGATTTAGCTTAGAATGAAGGAAAAGTGATTCAATTTTTTATTTTCAATCGACGAAAAGCTTTGTTATATAAACAACGCTAAACACACTCGTCCCTAATGTTACGTAATATAACTTTCTTTTATCACAATTTAATAAGTATATCGATAAGGTAATGTAATTATTACACTGCAAATGTATTCGCGGTAGACGAAAAGAAAATCGATGAGTATCATGACAGGATGTAAGGTGAAGTAGAAGAAAAGTTATGTTCAAGTTCGTGACTCCCTCTCCCAGGCAATACCGAAATAGCGCCCAAGGCACGGCGCAATGGGACGACAATGCAAAAGTAGACGCCGTCACTGCGAAACTGAAGAAAGGAGATTCATTGTTTTGTTACTTGAACAAACATCAGAACAAAGCATCAGCACCTCACAAAAGCAAGGTATGTAAGTTGTAAGATAGTTTTAGTACTGGTATTATAGGTTTATTATGCTTTATGAACTTCTGTTTTATTGGACGTATGGTCTTATTATCGAGAGGAGTTGAACATAAATGTGTAGATTGCAGAGTTGTAGAAGCTGAGATGACGTGCGCTTACAAAATTATATATTGTGAATTCGGCTTCGGGAATTATTTGACCACCGATTTATTTAACATTGAATCGAGTAAGATATTTGTGTATGACAAACACATGTACATAATTCCATGTATGTGACAGATACTATTTGTAATAAAATTTTGCTGAAATATTTTTTGCCACTGTTTATGTAATGTTCTATGATCTATATGCTGAAATTGTCAATGTTTATCTCGCAATACTCTTTCTTTCTTCTAAGATACGTGACGCCTTTACCAAATTATGATTTGAATGGCGTAGTGTATTGGAGTAAATCTTATTACAGTATCACTCATTGAAGCGGCCTCGCCAGCACTTGTCGCTCTGTGTGGGAGTGTAATATTTGCCATGCAATTATCTACCTAGCTAGGAAACGAAGCTCGATGTTTTAGTTACCTGAGATACTTTATGCGCTGTCCTGTGCTCGTATGTTAAATTTTCTAATGTCGTTTTCTCTTTTGTTTCGATAGTTGCTGCAATTAATAATTGATTTTATCTGTTGTGCATCTTGACAGCCTTTCTCAAGTACCGTCATTTGTAATCGGAATTTAAATCATACAAAGTTATCGTCGCCGAACCGTCAGCAGATTAACAAGCTAACAACAACAAATAAATCCGTGCTTCAGCTACAGAATGTTACGAAGACGTTAGAAGAAAATCAATCTGGAAAAAGCGTTCGGCATTTTGATAAATCGAAACAGGGTATTGAAGAAACAGGGATAGCAACAGAGGTTAGCCATTTAGAATTGGATAACGAGACTTGCCAAGCGTCGTCGCGTCGCACAGGTACCGAAGCCACCTATTGCGAAGATGTTCGATATCTTGTCCCAAAGGACGTGAATATACGGCGCTGGAATAAAAAGCGTAGATCCAAGTCTGTTGGCGACGAAATTGCAACCAAAGCGCACAGGAAGAAAAGCATGACGCACGACTACTTCTCAGATTGTGACAGCGATTCTGCTTGGCTTGACCAACCTTCGCCTATTCTTTTAACGTCGTCACCACCTCAAAATGCCGTGAAAGTTCCAGCTACACGGTTGCCAGTTCAGGATGTTAACAGCGTATGGGATTATGGAAGACCGCCGAAATACGAGGACACGAAGCTAGACGAAAATAGAAATATTCTCGAAAATGGCAACGACTGGGAAGGTGATATGCTATTCGACAACATACCTGATATTCGACAAGAAGCTAGCGATTTGTTTTGCAAATCTCTTAGAGATACAACTAGATATGCGAAACTGGTGCCGGAAACCACAAACCATGTTGCAAATGTAAGAAGTCCAGATTTACAATTGTACAAAACTTCTCCTCACAATAGTTATAATGGATACCGATCAACCCCTGACCGTGACCAAACACCGATTAATGGACACGAATATGATAAAAATGTTCCAACCTCCGGACCTATATTTGTGGGCGGAGGTTTGTTTTTAACCGAAGAGGACGAATGTTCGGACTATCATCGTCACGAAACACCAACAAAAGAGTATTCAGGTACCAAACAAACAATGGCAGGGTCTTTATATCAAATTTCAAATTCTAACTCTTTGTATATCCCAAATTCTGGAATGACTGTTCATAATCATATCAATTCAAGTAGGCAGCGAGATCAACAGACAATAAACGGGAATGCTAGATATTATGACCGGAGGTCGGAAAATGGTAATTTAAATTTCCAATACAACAGCGTAATTAGCGTCGACGATGCGGAATATTCATTTAGGGATCAAAAGATAAATATATCTAGCGATGTTTCAAAGAGTGTATCAACTCCATTATCTGAGGGCTCTCAAAAATCTATTGAGCATTCGAAAGTGAGTAGTGCCGTAACCAGCAGTATGTTATGTTCGGAAGGTAACGACAGTTCAGAAACGAATAACAAATATCAACAGAAAACTTTTCTTTCCGGTCCTAGAAGTTTACGGAAGAAACAAAACTTTAATGCAAAGATGCAATTTTTAAAGAAAACACGACAAAGTGACGACGATGCAACAACACTTACAATGATTACTACTTCAGATGATGCTGCAGAACTCAGCAGCAGTTCTTCAAGTGACAGTGCAAGTACTGCTCGTGTGAGTGTTACAAGCGCAAGAAGTTCGAAGTTGCAATCGTCACCAAGGACTCCCTCTTCTGCAGATGCGACGGCAGAAAGCTTCATTATTGAAAAGGTTGAAATAAATGTCAATAAAGTAAATGGATTTAATGGCGTATTATCTCCCGAGGAAAGAATTGCGTCTCTTCAACGATCAATAAGCACTCAAAGTGGCAAGTTAAGAGGTAAATGTTATTCAATTTTTAATTTAAACAATCGACCACAGGTCCAGGTTTTACTGATTACTGTTACACGTTTCCATCCGTATGATTTCGTTGTTATTTTCACATTTAACGACATGGAAATGATTTATTGTTAAGTTATCTTTTTTAAAACTATTTTTGGTAAAATGATAATTGATCATAAAACCACTCTAACACGTTCATAAAATATCAACCTCATATACTTAGCCTTTTATGTGGTTGTGTATTTTTCAAAACGTGATTTGGGAACACTAAAAATATTTCTATCACTTTTCAGTTCATATACTGTAACATTACATCGCTTTCGGCATATTCTTGTTTTGTTAAAAGATCTATGATATGATCTCTGTAATATTGTCATCTAGTATTTCAAGAAAGCTATAAGCTTACAATTTTTAAATTTAAAACGTGTTGCGGATTGCAACTTTACCAACCGATCGTTTATCACGTGAGGTTTTAACCGGACGCATAATGGTCCTTATGACATCTATAACAATGCTTATGGTCGTTGATTGAAAGTAGTGTACTTTTACTCATTCCACTCGAGCGGCTCACTTCTTTTGTGAATTGCAAGAGGTCTGAAGTGTACGGTCGATAAACTGTTGCATGAATCACGGGAATTGGGTGTCGTAAATAGTGGCTCGTGTTTATCAAGTTGATTCTCTTTCGGCCTGTCATTACTATTTTGTATAAACAGTTTTTGCTGCTACTTTAAAGCAATATTCAACCCCGCTATCATCTTGAACAAGGCTTCTGATAAGTGGTTATTAGGCACACGATAAAATTACTTTTGCGCCATATGCCTAATTTATTTATTGAGAGTGGAAAATGGGAATGAAAGGAGTGCTATAGCTTCCACTAATGCGTTTTAATAAGTCTGGCAGATGGTGGATTGGTCAAGTGGTGTCTACAGATTGAATTTAAATAAAAAAAAATCAGTATATGGATGTAATATTCTGGCACAGCCTTAAGGTACTTTTATCGTTCGCTGTTCACCGTTTTAATTATCGTTATCCGACGTCATGTAAAAAATTTAGGTATCTAAAACCTATCAATGGACGTAAATTTGCATTAATATTTATTATTGTAGGAATTATGATGGTAAAAGGACCAGACACTGATATATCAATCACAGAATGAATGCGTGAACCGCAAAATACCTATGTGAAATGTTAATCACTACAATGACAGAATTTTTTTTGTATTATGGAAAAATGAGTCCTACGCGGTATATTAAAGTTGATCATATCCAAAGCGAAGCAAATAATGATGATCAGTATACTTACCTCGCGTCAATTGGTCCCAGAGAGACTTCCGCCGTGAAATGGCATTTTGCGCAAGTCTCATTATCCTTTGCGATGCATTTGAAGCTGTTAATTGATTACGTCGAATCTTTCAATCATACATTGCCCTCAACGCTTCCTTTAATATTTCTCTGGCCGCTTCGTCAATTCAATTTTCTCAGGCGTAATTTTTTTTATATACAAGGTGTTAAAAAAGTAAAGCAAAATTAACAGAAGTTAAGATGAAATGCTACTTAAACATTTAAAGACTGACACCTTTAAGAGTATTGAATTACGGTGAATGCCATTCAAACAGTTCACGACTGACGCTTTTTAAAAGTTACTTTTTCAATGTTGCTATGACGAAAAATTTTACATTCATTTTGCGTAACTTTGTTAACACCCTGTAGTTGTGTGAATTTTTGTTTCCGTATCGAAATGATTTTCATGGTAATGATAATTATAAGGTACTGATTTGTGGTGTTGCTTGCATTGTCGCTGTCGCATTTGACTGTTTCTGAGTGACTTCGGCCATTGTAGTGTTAGCTCGTTAGTAACTCAGAAATCATGTCTTTTATTTTTAAATTCGTGCGCGTGACGATATTTGTATGACTACATAGGCGGTCTGATAATAAATTACCAAATATAAACAAAGATCTTTATCTAATATCATATTTATATTTCTAAAAGAGACGCAGTTCAATTTCAGAGCACTTTCATTTATTTAATGAGTTAAATTTTTCATTATAAATCGATATAAAATAATTAGAGCAAAACTGTTGATTGAATTCTAACATTTTGAGTGTCAAGAATCTGTTATTCGTTGTAGTGAGATATAGTAACTTGCCTTGTAGAAACTGAGGGACTACTCAAATGTTATTGGGCAATATCAAAGCTTGGTATTCATCTATTTTTTCACTTCAAACCCGTAAGAAATGTCTGGTATTCAACTACACATAACCCATAATAATTGAGGCATCAAATTACCGTTTTCACATAACAAAGCAACAAGACACACGTAACGAAAGGTCACAATACCGAAAAGAAAACCGCGTAGTAAAGTGTCTCAAACGCATGTAAGCTGATGCTTTACATGTCCATATATCAGTTTGATAAATATTTAATTAAACTTTCATCGGCCATGCGTGGATCGGTGATAGCGAAAACGCACGTTTTTACTTTTGAATGACAAATATAACCCACTAGAGATCATATTGAAACGTATTCTATAAAATTTAATCACGCAGTTTTGAGGTACTAAATTAATTAATTTTGATTTGACCAAAGGAAAATTGTATCTGTGAAAACATTTAGGGTGAGGGAAAGACGTTGGTTTTCTTTCTTTTTATCTGAAACATATGTGGTATATCTTGCTCTCTGGATATCCTCGCTCTTAATAAATATCTAGCCAAGCAGTTACATGGCTGTTCAAAATTTGCGTCGATAACTACGGTAATAAATCTCGAATAAAAATTCCAATTCTTCAGCGTCCCTATATGTTTTAATTTATTCGACATCACTCGTGCAGTTATATTTCCCCTCTTGCATCCACCAGGAGCATTCAAATTCATTGCCGTATTAAAATATCTTTTCAAAGTCAAAGATATGAAAAACGTCCTAAATCTTCCTTTACTTCAAATCTTATTGTTGTTGACTCGACTATAAATATCAAACTTTACTCTCCACTCAGCAAACAAAGGTACCAAGCATATTTGTTTGTTTAGTACAACCATATATTTGTAAGAAACGGTTCAGAATGCTGCGTATTCAATAGGAACGCCAGCTATCAATTGGTTGAGTTCAGTATTTACTTTTTGTCCCCAAGCTTGGTTTGATTGTCGTAATAACGCTGGTTACGCCTGAAAACGTCAATAGACGCGTAAATTGGATTGCAATTTATTAGATAAGAATCATGGTTCGTTAAATTTGGAAATAAAAGTTGCGAACAGTCATTGAGATATGTTGAATTGTTACAGTAAGGCGACACCTATCCTAGTAGCATAACCTTAGCAGTAAATAAACACAGCAAACTTACTAGTTTGACAGTCCTGGCTTTAAGGGTGTGTTCTTTAAACAAAAGCTTATATGTACGTATTCAAGTGAATGTCTTTGTTGAGTGTGATATTAAAATATTATCTGTGATAATAGTACTCAGTATTTTTATGTGTATTTTTAGATCGCCTTAATGCAGTCACAGACGATGAAAGTGACTACAGTTATCCTAAAGGAAATTCGAGTGAAACTACTCAGTTCGTAGAATACGTAGAACCGTATCAAGAATCAGAACTAGATATGTTGTCGATGAATCGGTATTCGCCATCTGAAGTATCTCCTTCGCAAATTTTTCACTCGAGAATTACTCAGCTCAGAGGAGAAATCAGTGGACCTAGGACATCGCGTTCTCTTTCTCGTATCCCGAACACAAGACATTCTCCTACTCAATCAAGAAGATGCCGTTCGCTAGATCGAGGCTTGAAGAGTTCTTTCAGGAGTGCTCTCTCCTCTACAAATAGTGATATGAGTGGCAGAAGATCACTTATAAATTTTCGAAGGCGAAATAGTCTCGGATCAGACTCGGATGTCAGTCCCGTTTCCACGATTAGTAGGTCTCGGCTACGTAAAGCCACCTCGTCAAATTCTCTTGCAGATCAGTGGAAACCAAAGATCGATGTTGCTGAAACCCTTTCTGCTCTCATATTAAACCCCGTGAACGGTGGTGTTAATGACCGTAAAACTCTCAGTGACTACCTCAAAAACTCCTCAAGAAGCAACTCCTACGAGAGAATGACTCCAAGTGCGGAAGATGTCCGATGGAGAAAGAGTAAATATGCACAAAACTATAGCCCAAGTTACCAGACAAGTCATCAGAGTCGGTCGGGTTCGTCGTGTGGAGGAAGAACGCCAAATCATTGCCTCTTATTCGAAGAAGTTAAATTAGACTCCTTGTCAATATCGGGAAATTCTTCGCTTGAGCGACCACGGGAGTCGAAGATCGTATCAAAGTCCCAAACTCCGAACAGGTGATATGAAGAATGTTTTATTGAATCATTTTAAGTACGGTTATTATGCGGTTGAGCGTGACGGAAAAAAAAGTGTTCCCTCTTCATTAAAACAAAACAGCAAAATTTTTGGTGATATATCGGTTTCCACAGGACTATAAATTTGCAAAAAAAATAAAAACTAATAGTCGTTGTGGCGGCTTCGACCATCTCTAAGTACTGATCATTTGAAATCGATCGATTGTGTAGATAAATGTTTTTCCCACCAACAATTTAGCAAAAGGATTCATAGATACACTTTGTGTATATTTATTGTTATTGTATGATTCTGTTTGTAACTAGCGATGTTCAATGTAGAGTTGCGGGGTTTGGTCAAATATTACAGTTGTACAAAGATTGTTTCTACACAAACCCTCATTATTTCCCGTTCGATAGATACTGTTCGACTTATAGACCAATAAAATAGGAATTCTTAGTTTATAAATTATTAATTGTGTCGAGGGACTGTTGGATAGTTGTTCCTTCTAATAAAAACGAATGAAAGTTCCATGTTATTGATTTTTTGCTAAAATCATTATTCTGTTTCAGATATCCTGCTGTACAAGCATCCCCTCGTTCGATATCGGACTTGTTACCTTCTCCAAGACGGAACATCGATGCAGAACCTGAAGTCATAACAATAATTGACAATGACGTCACTTCTAATGACATCACAGAACATGAATGCACCCGTCGGAATAGTTTTATAGAAGCTGTTACAGGAGCGTCATCCGAAAATGCATATTCGTCAAATTCGGAGTCTTTGGCCGATAAAACATTTGGCAATGGCGTTGAGACTACCTCTCAAAACAACTTTGCAATCATTTTTAGCGAAGTAGGATCAGATGCAATAACTATTACTGCATCTGATTCTGCTTACCACTCAGACCAAAATGTCAAACTTCACGTTGACGGAGCCGCTAAATCAATCGAAATTTTTCCGGAAGAAGTCAATATTAATTTAACAACACACCCTGTTTCAAATGACTTAGCAGTCGCGGTTATCAGAAGACCCTCATTACGAAACCAAAGTGTTTCTTCCATATCAAGTAAAAAATCAAACAAAAAAGCGAAATTGGCCAGTGATAAATTACATAATTCTCACTCATCTTCCAACCAGGAATTCCGACTAAAAAATCCACATCATTCCCCGGATAAAAAACCGACGTCTGATCTTGTTAGTCAAGAACCGATGTATGTTAACATTCCTAACCCTGGCAAACATAGGAATGATTCTTTGGAAGATATAGTTACTGTGAAATGTCGAAATCCACGTTGTAGAAAAGAAATGTGCTTGGAGGACGGAAATAGCAAGTTCAAATCTTGCCATCATTGTTATACTTATTACTGTTCGATACAATGTCGCCAAATACATTGGGAACGACATAAAATGAAGTGTGTATTTGCCCGAGTCAACAGTGACTGTAAAAAGATTTTGAGGATGGGCCGAGAAGATGACGTTATTAAACAGGTGACGTCACGGAACACTTTTATTTTAATACATAGTTACAATTCCGAGATATTGTGACTCATAGGACTTCGCAAGTGATTTTGGATTTTTTAAGTGTAAATTGTGCTAGAACGATGTTATATCCACATGCACGGCATGGTTTTGTTGCTGTTATATGTTTATACACTTGTGGTATTACTTATGAAATGATAACCTCAATTGTGATTGAATTATTGTGATCGATATCTATTTGTACATCTATAAATAATGCTCTCCCTTTAATAATGATAATTACTCGTTTACTTTGTTAACAGGCCTTCACGCGCGTGGCAAGAACAGGTTATCTGTCCCGCGGGCGTGGTTGCGTGCAAGTGATTTTCTCCTGTCCGGAGAAGGCGGAGCAATTTGTTTCTGAAGGTCTATTCGCATTGGAATCTCTTCCTCTTTATCGCACTGTGAATGATCTAACGGATTTTCAGAAGAGATTATCAAATACTGAGTTGATTCCTGACGATTTGATTGAAACTTGTGAATCTGTATACGACGCGGAGAAAACATACGTATTGCAGGTAGGTTAAGTACACAGTCATAAAATATATGCCTTCTTTAATTTATCTTGGAGAAGTTATGATTGCTGAAAAACTCTTCAACTATGTTCAAATGAAATGCATGTTCAAAACATAATGTTACGATGTTTTTACTGCCACTGTAGTTTCTGACACTACTACTAATGGACACGTAGTGAACCTATGAATTGTTTTGTTAGTATGTGGTTGTTGTTCTTGTTTTTTGCGTTACTCCATATCGTTATGAAAACCCTGATATTTCACCCAAAATTCCGTCGTATTATTTTTTACTCGTGGGAACACTGTTTTTAACTTATTTCAAGTGGTTCCGCAGTTGAATATCAGATAAAATATTTTGTTTTGCTTTACGTGTGTATATATTTGAGCATCGCTTGCTTTCTTGTTTGATTATATCATCACCATAACGTTTTGCAGGTTCTTATAGACATCCCCAAGGAAACACTGTCGTTATATAATCGACCTTATCGGAATCGCAACTCAAATGGAGTATACATCCACGCTCTGAATCCCATTTATAAAGTTATTCAGGAATCAATCACAGACCAAGAACTTCAACATGCACCGGAGACCTTAATTTTGACTCCGCCAACGACCATACCCGAAACTTGGCTCACTACATCACCTAGCGGATTTAGTCGTTCAACATCGACAACGTCGCCTTTATCACAAACGTCCTCACCTTTGAATGCTTGTGGCCAATCATCGGTAAAAGACGAATTGCGTCAAGCAAAGCGTGCTCGTCAATTATGCTTCATTAACATTCAACGTAAGTTGCGTGAAAAAGGTGTTACGTTACGCCACCAGTACCCAGACGTTTACCGTAAACTTTGCGCGTACGTGGACACTGGAACACATTTCACTCCAGTGGTAATATATCCTCAAGATACAAGAAGTGGGAAAAATTTTATGTGTCTGGTTATGCCGGGATCAGAACCTCAAATTTTAGGATGGGTGCAAACGCCTGGTTTATTAGATGATATTGCAACAGGTTAATAATGCTTAAAATTTTCGTTGAACTTATGCGTAAAACTTTATGCGGTCTCATTTTTTATTATTTCAAACATGACCAATTCCCGGAGGAAATATTGCGCCAAACGAACATAATATTCAATTTGTTATTATGACTATTTCTATTACATCACTTACATGCGAAACACGCATTTTGAATCACAGCTGACTAACTGGTGAACAACAGACCTTGCGCCAGTCGACACGAGTTTGCATTAGTCATTTTAAAAATGAACCATTCCGAACTTCCAAAATTCATAACGCGAGAGTTCATTGAATGATAATTATAAACTGTATAACGTCACAATTAACATGAAATGTACTTGAACATTTGACAGCACGTCACGGCATATAAAATCATTCATTTTAAACCCACTTACTAAACTACAAGTTTCACTACTGAAGAATTAAAACAAAAAATGCATGATGTTCGACAAATTCCAAACAAAATGAATAAATATTCGTATCGATGAAAATATTGTCGCAATACAAAACGCATTCGCCAATTATGCGACCAATAAAAACAAATAATTGAACCTACTTATGCTGCACTTTGGTGGTCAAATTACCTCGACAAAATATTCTGCCACCAAAGCGTCTTTCGGCATAAACAACATTTAGAACCGAGAAAATAAATCAGCAATTCCATTTTCAATAGGACCAAGCAAATGTATTTCAAAAAACAAGTTGCGTGCTCGATTAGCAGGAAGTGTTACACGGCCACACATAACCTATCATAACATGCAATACGCAGTAATATTACAGCCATTCCATGACCAACTTCCCCCAGTCCGTATACTTAGCTAATGAGATTCGAAATCGAACAATGGTGTAAAGGTTATGACGAAGAATTCAGCGTGTGTTATCCAGCGTCAATCGCATAGCTTCCGTTATTTAATGTGTGTATTATTTCTTAGTAAGCTTTGCTCATCTAATTGTGACAATCTGTTTTGACATAATCAGTGGGAAAGACATATATGACATATTATGTTCCAACAGCGGTTTTGCTACACACTGTGCGTATATGTTTATTATTATTCTGAGTGTGCGATTTTTTATTCAAAATTTGTTTTGAGCTAGGTTGCATTACAAAAGATTTTATACGTTGTTAAATTAAGGCAAGCTATTTGCACTTTATTGTGTTAAACTGTTGACTTGAAACTGTGAAATACTCGCTATATTTTGCCCAAGTTCATACTCAGGCATTTGGCATTGCCAGTTAAAGTATAATAAATCTTCTTATGGCTACCTTAATATAGTTAGATATTTTGGTTGAACCATGTACACATGTTCATAGATTTTGCAAGAAAATAAGATTTTCTAGTATTTATTTCATTTTTATGCGAATTATTGTCAAATTTTATACTTCTATATGTTGTCAAATTTTCAATTTCTTAGTATATTTAATATATGGTTTCGTATTTCTGAATAAAAAATCTACTGTGCTGATGGATTATTGTGTTTTCTGGATCTAAACTTTGCGAAATATAAACTGGAATTTGAACACTTCTGGGCGGTAAGTCGAATTAGTTTTTATGCAGAAAAGTTTATATATTATGTCGCTTTGGTTTTGACACTGGTGCTAAAAATTGGACCATACAGATGTTGTCTATGAGTTGATTGGTTGAAAGATGACCGCACGTGCCCGGCAATTGAACTCTGCCGACCGGTTAGATCTCAGGATCTACTACTGTGACATCACAATTTAAATTACCTAATATGATTTCATGATACGTCGAATAAATATGGGTAGTTGTGTGCTAATCTAATATTTTGTGTAAGCGACCATCATGATAACTGACCGGAGGTACTTCGTCTGGGTAATGCCTAGCGCTTCGTCGGATAATTTCACAATGTACTGAATTATTATTTTAGCATTTCTCTGTTTTCGCAGCATAATTTGTTGCTGATTCCTAACAAAACTTGTTTTTGTCTAGAATATGTATGTTGGTACAATCTGAATTATTGTAAATCGAAATAAGATACTATTCACGTAATTCGTAAATTACTACAATTTCATATGTATTTTTAGGTTTTTTTTTTATTGCACGGTTTACAATGATAAAGACAATCAGCCTGAAAGATATTGCTTAACACTTTATTTCTATGGCTTCTCATCCAGACGGTTAGAACAAAGCAAAACCATACAGGAATCATTTTCTAAACGACGATATATATATATACAGTATATTATGTCCAAACAACCCACAGGATGAGACACTCAGATCACGTCAGTGTTTTGGCCATTATATAAGCACTAAGCCATGTATTCATTGATTTATCTAGAAAATATTTACTGAAAATGCATTTTAAAATTTAGTAAATTTGGGTTGATAGTTTACGCCGATAGGCATTGGATCGTGTCATGAACAACATGAGAAATAGATGCAAGTCATTCTTTCTAGACCCGTTTCAGACTTGAGTTTGGAAACATTGAATAAAACACCTCCACTAACAAGTCGCTAAATTTGTAAAACGGAACATGCTCTTCAATGACTGATAAAATCTATCCATTTCAAAGCTATACCTTGGAGATTTAAAATGAATATATTTTCAGATTTGAAGGGCGAGCTTAGGGGTAGATATTCAGATTCTGTCTCTAGATTGTGGTTGTTATTCACCATTATCTGTGAAAATAGCGGCCAAGGCAGTTTCGGAATATTATATTCTGTGTACGACACGTCATTTCAATGGAAACGTGGTTGGTTTTACACCGATCTTTGAACTGGTATTCATCAACTAAATGTTAACAATTGTATGTGTATTTTTCAGTTTTTCTTAACAATATTTGCCTGTTTATTCGCATTTAAATCCCACGTACTAGTCATCTTCATCATTGTTTCATTATATACTGCTGAACGCATTCAACCTGCTGGTAGCTTCAACTATCAGGCAATCACTGCCGGAAGTGACATATTTTCTACGAGGCCTTGCGTTCACCTATGCGCTGTGATGTTAAATCACTATCCATTTGAATATTGAAAACATAATTTGGTGTTATTTTAGTGAGAGAGCAGCAGTTATAATAACAAGCAGAATATTTATGCATTACAGACAAACTAATACGTACAGCTGGAATCAAAAATTGTTTGTAAATTTCTGCCTCTATTTTGGCCAATTGATCGCTAAACGCGCGTGACTGGAGTACTCATCTAGCTTCTAGCACCATATGTATTCAGAGTCAGAGTGAGGATAAGTAATGAATAATCCCATAAACGAAATGAACATCAGCAAATTTGAAGAAATATTCAAATCAAACTTATTTAGTAATTTGCTCTTGATTGGGTTTGATAGGCAGATTTTAGATATTTTGCATATTTCTACTGTTTTTATTATTCAGAATAATATAAGCCACACAAACACGCAATTGTAACTGAGTTCCATTAAAACTTGACTTTGGAGTTTTGCAAAAATCAAATCTATATTAATAAATTGTATATTGATAAATAGTCAAAAAGATCAGTCAGTAGATTAACTACTTACAAAAGTATAATGAAAATATAGTACAATAGTCTTTTACCTGAAATTGACAAACCTAAGGAATGATTTATCAAAATTATGATAATAATTAAAGCCATCTTTTGCCTAATTATTTGATAGTTTTTTATTTATTAAGATATGGATTAGTGAGGTGTAGTAAACTATTATTTTTTCATCACCAAATATGTTATACATCCATATATACACTACAAGACGAATTTGCTGTAGGACAGCGTTGAGATCTTCGTTTAAACATCTACAATAAATATTGGATATTTTTTAAATTCTGTAGCTTTGTCATTTAATGCTGACATGAATAGTAAAACAATGGAGCACATAGGTGGTGGGCGAGAGCCTGGTTCTTCCAACCCACCAAGTCCACAATCCCGAATACTATCTTCTTCGAGCAGCCCGGAATTAACTCGATTGTCGAGATCCAAAACAATGAATTATCAGCTGGGATCCGGTCCGATTCGACCAGTGACTCCCACCTCTCCATATCACCAACAATCAAAATCACCCAGTTTTATTGGACATAATATTTCTCCGACAAAATATCATCCATCTGGACGTAGCCACGGAAGCATAGACAACAGTGGTAAATTTTTTGACTTCATTTCTACGTTTATGGAAGTGACATGGAATTGAATAATTTCACCCATTGTGTATATGTGGTTAACAATGGCCAAGCCATATACATTTGAAATAGAATTTACATAAATTATGAAGGCATTATAGTAAACTTGAATCCAAACGTTGATTTGATGTTCGATGCAAGGCTGGGGGATTGTGAGGCTATAACAATGCCATCTTATGCATAGCTGAAAATTAAATAATTCAACTATTAGGCTCATTATAATGTTGGATATTGAGATTTTTTATTCAATATTTGCCAGTTGCATTATATCATTATATATGATCAAGCTTGATAGTGAATGACAGTTCATTTTATCTCTGATGCAATGACTAGTATATACAATTGTGAATAATATGGGGTCTATAATATACTCTTTTGTGTCGTTGGTTTTCATTTGATTATTTGCGGACATATTTAAAAGATATTTAAATGTCATACGATATATGGTAATATGTACGCTTTAAGCTTATTTAATCGTTATCTCTATAAGAAACGAAATCGCCCGATTCATGCTGTTCTCATAACACTTACCAAGTCACATGTTTGTTTTATTTATTGAAAATCACCAAACAATTTTGATACGTAGAAAAGTTGCATCGCTTCCGTGTGAGATGTGACTTCCCTGTGATTGTAAAAGGTTAGATGAATATGTGACTCATATTTACGTAAATAACGTCATAAGTATTGCGAACATTTTATACTCGATTACGCCTTGGATTGAATACCAAATGTTTCCTACGTATTTTAGGTGACACACATGCATAATTTTGTTCGTACAGTATTTCATACTAAAATTACATATATATATATATATATACAAGGGGAGCATTACCAAAAATTTTACATATCTTCTCAAACATTAAAGGTATGTCGAAAAATCCATTGGGAATAGAACGTTTTCATACGTTCCGAGCATTGTTAAAATGTTCACTTATATGGGCAATCCTACCAGAAAAGCTCAAAAAATGAGTTATAAGATGAAAATACATGAAAAAACAGCAACAAAGGAATAGCTATCCGAGCTCCGATTATGCCGACTGCTTCACTCAAAGCAGATATTACATACTTACTCTAGCGTCAAATGTTACTCTAGCGCCATTTACGTTCAAAACGAACAAAACACATCGTGGAAGTTATTATGTCTTACTATTACAAGATCGTAAACAAACTCAAACTTATGTGCATTCCAATATTTTTTCCATATTTTTCAATTTAATACATGTTTTTAGATCTTAACTTAAATTATCCAATCGGCGGATTTAATAAAATTTGCATTGATACTACTCCCGTTTTAATAAAATAACATTTCATTAGCCATTCATTTACCAGTGCAAAATTCATGTAAACATGTCTCCCTATTTCATATTAAGTCTATGATACGCCTGAAAGAATTGCATAGAACTAAAAATTCCACTACAATTTGCGCTTGAAATTAATATGGTTCTCGGTATATTGTAACCGCAACTACTTTAGTGAAGGTTCGGCCGAAAAATATTATTTATGTTGGAAGTGATAAACAACAGCAGCTCATATGCAGAAAGAAAACTGCCTATCAGATAGGTTCGCTATGAAATCTTGTAGCTTTGTACAGAGCGGCGAGTATGATGTGACACAAAATGGGTTTTGTGTTTCAGGCGCTTGTACGTGGATGTTTGCAATTTTCCAAGGTATAAGTTTGAGAGATCAATATTAGTGATGGTTGATAGATAATAGATATAGATGTTTCTGCTCAGCTTTCGACAATTCATTGTTTGAATTTAGATTGCTCAATTCCAAGCACACCGACAAGTCGCACATTGTCAAATTTGCAACGATCACAAACTACAAGACTTGGGCCAGGACCTGGGTTGTACGGCAAGAACATGTGGGATGAAGACGAATATGTCGACACAGGGGGTCAATCAACAACACCCCGCACACCTACTGGTGGAGCAGCAGCTAGAAGAATAAATCAACAAAAGAAAATGCAGACTGTGAAATTACCAAAGAATCCTTTCAGTGAGTATAGCATTCATATTTTTTTCATATTGAATTTGAATTGTTTACATGGTCGTGCGGATTGTTAACAGAATCTGTGATTATAAATTGTTATCTGTGATTATAAATTTTTGTTATTGATTTGGGTATTCATGTTGTTGTTGTTAATGTTACCAATTTCCCATTTGTCAAACACTAAAACAATGGCTGTCAAATTTTCAGTGCTTTTAGATGGTTAGAGATATAATATGGGCAAACTACGGCCCGTTGGGTAATTTCTTCTGGCCCGCCCGATGCTGTCGCAATCAAATTTAATGTTTTAGCTAAAAATAATCTCAAGGGGATTGTTGAGATTGCAAATAAATTTAGTTTTTGCACGTTGTTTCCTCCTTTAGCTTTTGTAACACTGTAATTATCGTTCATGAATGTAACTTTTTACGTCGCACTTGGCCCCTGGTCCAAAAATCTTGCCGCCCCTGTTATAAATGAAAGTGTCCCTCAAAAATCTATTACGTTTATAAATCTTTTACGTCTATAAATTAGAAACAGCAATTTGCAAATTGAAATTTTCGTTTCCTACACTTGTATATGCTATAGCGCCTTCTAAAGGCAATTGAGAATCATGATTCTAATCCGCTAGTAGGAACTACAGATCCGGAATGTGTGGTCATTTACGTCATAGCTCGTGCACGGACTTCTAGTTCTAGCTTATCTACTACTTCATTTCATATTGCAAAATTTCACATCTCCAGGTTTGGAAAGGTAGTGGAATCTTGGTTGAAGCTAAAACTGATGTAAATTACCCATTCTGCGCCACAATACCATTCCGTTTACCACATTCCCTGAATATCTGCCATCCATTAAGACAAAAGTCTCCTGTAATGGATGGGATTCGAACGATACGAATTCAGTTAGGCTACTTTTTATTCCTCATTGAATTCAGATCCATCTACGCTCAATGATAAATTTTGTTAATTTTTTTCAGTCGATGAGGAAACGACTGACGACTACGCTGATATGACTGGACACATGAACGACAGAACTGGAATGAACGAGCTTCGTACAGCTCATAGCAAATCGGTGAAAATCAGATCAAATACAGTAACAAGTGCGTACACCACTTCCAATAGAGTTTTTGGTGTTTAAAATATATATATATGTTAATTCTATCGTCTGTTAACATACATTTCTCCTGCTTTGCTCGGCGGTGTGGCCCATCATGCTAAGCGTTATAAATACGCCTGCCTCCGCACGTCTGATTACCCTACGTGGATCCTACAAGGTTCGACCCCCGGATAATTAGGTGCAAGAGATTTGCTGGACTCCTCGCCGCCGTAGGATGGTCCACGTAACCGCTGGTTGGTTACGTCTTCCTCCGCCACCAAGTCTATACATTCAAAACCAATTACTAGCTAACTAATCTCATGTCCGACATAGACTGGTAACCGGACGAGAGGCCGTGGTTTGCTGTATGATTAAGCCGTCTTAGCGGAATTCCTCTCCCCCGGGATAAATATGTAAATCCACCCCATCCTTGCGGAGAACTCTTAATAAGACAGGTTTACAAATCTATCGTCTGTGAGCATGTTCTTGACACAACGATTTTCTTACAATAAGATAAGAATAATATATTCGCAGTGAATATAGGCGAAAAAAAGCAGAATTTAAAAGCCCATCTTGGATTTTAATACAGGTTGGTATTCGCAATAACGCACTGGGTCCAGTCGCATCATCGCTATTTTAAGTCAATAATTTAGCGATGACGTCAGCGATGATTAGTCGAGTATAGAATAACCGAAGCGTGTTCGCTGACATACAATCAAACACAAAACTATTCCAACTAGATTTATTGTTACATGTTTTAATGAAGAATTGGTAGATAAATAATTAAATAATAAATCATAAGGTACAGGTTAAACATATTAACAAAATTTATAAAATCATTCATGTATCAACAGGTTCGGATGACTTACCAGTACCTTTTATAGATGGAGACTTGTCAAGAAGTCGAAATTATTCCCTGGGCAGTTCACGGAGCGGTTCACAAAGTTCACGATTTAAAAGGAGCGATACCTCGCCCGGTAAGTTATCAAATCTTTTCACTCAACTATAAAAATGAGTCCGGTACATAAATAATTGGAGCATATACCAATTTCAATTATGGTTAGTATAAATTGTGATTCCAAATCAACATTGGTTGGTCAATTAATAGCCAGCCAGTTGTGAGATAGAAGAAGACTGCTTTTTAAACACGGCAAATCTGGCTTGATTATATATGTATAAACAATTTCTCTCAACTAGGATCGAACGCGTAAACAATTAAATGAAATATCGATACAGATTTGCCCTTTATTTTGAAGATATTTTGACTAATGGCTTGAATGACCTTTTCGAAACTAGTATTCGACTAAATCATTGTATAAACTAGCATGCGTAAATTACGCAAATAATTTAAATTTTGTGCTCGTTATAATAATGATGGCTAATTGAAACTATTCAAGAGAATCTCACAACTGAATTTAAATGAGAAGTTTTTGCCTTTTGCTACATTTAAAACAACTATAACGTCACAAAGTTATTCCAGTATATATAATTTGCGCATTTTATTTCGGTTAACGAAAATGCATTAAACGATTTTTTCTGTTGAATATTCGTGCGAATTTGATGATAACTCATCGAAACTATTCAAGAGAATCTCACAACTGAATTTGAATGAGAAGTTCTTGCCTTTTGCTACATTTAAAACAACTATAACGTCAAAGTTATTTCAGTATATATAATTTGCGCATTTTATTTCGGTTCACGAAAATTTTCTATGTTGAATATTCGCTGCGAATTTATTGCAAATTTCTTTATGGTAGACTTTTTTCAATCTAATTCGATGCATTTTACCAATTTTTGACCATCCATAGAGTTACTATAAAATGTGACATCAAACATTTTGCAATGGTGCACAGTTGTCGACTATGGGCCATTTGTGAGATGGGCTACTATTTGTGAGCATATATGATTTAAATCTTTAATCGGAGACGATTTCCCAATTACTTATAATATTAGCACTGTAGTAAACAATAAAACCAATAACACGCTGATCTTGGATCCATACATAGTTTCCGATCATGTCGAAGAAATTCTAATCCACAAATCTGAAAGAAAGGAATTTTTCTGGATTACATAATTGGTTAACCGGAACGCCAAACACTCTATATATGGCATCGTGTCTATTTTCAGCGTCAAGATTGCAAGTACCTATTCTAATTATAAACGCAAGACGTTATCTCTTAATAGACGTGTTTATAGTTGTTATATCTCAATCTATTCTAGTCAACTAACAAAATAAGCTGATTGGTATATATTTGACTTAATAGTTTGTTTAAAATATAGAAAATAGCATATGAAAATACCAAACATATCGATTTACAATGGTTGCTATACAAAATGTATACACAATAAAATAGGAACTTATATGGGAAACACAAATAATAATATAAATATTTTCCCAATGTGTGGTAAATGGGGTACAATTAAGCTATGTTAAGCTAATTGACGGAGGTATTCAGTCACATATCGTTAATAATAAGAGCTTCATAAAAATAGGATTAAAATTCGCAGTGGTGAGTATACTCTCATGAGAAAAGTTCTCCAGCCATACAAATATCCGATACTAAGGCCAAGGTCACTGAATTTCCATTGTCTACCCATTAGCAATATCATCATCAAGCATCGCTACATATATATAAATAGTAACAGTCAAGCAAATGCGTGGGTATGTTTAGTAAGCCGGAAATACCAAAATATAACTTTGTGTTAATTGCTCCCATTGTTTTCTAGAGATCCGTGAATGATAATTTGTGAATCGCGCTATTCATGGAAAATACATATTATGGCCAATGCCAACATACTGTTATCTATTGATATTAGAGGCTGTTAAAAAAAACGACTGTTATTCTGAATCCCCAAAATTACGGCCACAATCTGAGATATATAATTCCGCAAGAACGTGGCATCATAATGTTATGGTGAAAATGGATTGAAAAGTACAAACAAGCAGCGTTTTGATTGTCTCATCAGAGTTGAATCTTGTCCCTAGTGTGAAGCATTTGAATCGGAATGGAAAATTGTAAATTTTATAATACAGCACCTAGAACACCAAATCTGGCTTGAGTAGAACTATTACTTCCTCCATACTTGTGAGAAACGACTAAAGAATCGATCTCATCGCAGGATTGTCCCACGAGCGATATCGTGGGTCATAACAAAGGTTGCGCAACTTATTTTCATCGTTTGCGTGTAAACTTGGCATAACTGAGCTTATGATTAATGTAGGTTAAGTGAAAATCGCTTAGTTTTGTCCGTCAGTGGTCGAGCCAAGTCAACTCTTAAAATTCTAGTCATGTGACACGATGTCAGAATAGATGAGTCGAAATTTTAGCCTATTGTCAACTGTTAGTGGATAACTAAGTCTCACTTTTATTGCCGCGCTTTATTTCGTTGTTTTTTCTTTGTGTAATGAAAGGTTACCATCGACGTATTGAATTCGAGAGATATTTAAAGCCCGGTAAATTCAATTACTGCGGGTGAAAAGGTTGATTTGGTGAGAACAAAGTTGGATATGAAACTATAACACAATTTAGTATCTTTGGCGGAGATCTAAGTAAACATTTTTTCGGAAATGTTTTTCTGCCTATTTTTTGGCGCATGCTTCAAAAATATCTAATAAAATATTAGGCCTTTTTGATTATTTTAGTATTTCAAACTCAAGGATCTATCAAAGAGAAATTTATCGACGTACAACGGAATGGTTCGATGAAAAGTACGCATCCATCTATAGAAGAAGGTACTTGAATAATTATTTTACACCGAAGAAATAGCAGAATCTAAGACAAAATCTATTTCTAATTCACCAAAATAATGAACAATCCAGACTCAAAATAAGCACAATCGGAAATCACAAAAATAATTTCATTGCTGTGTCATTATATAACTATATTATATAACATTATATAATCCGCCTGCCGTCTGAAATTCAATAGTATATTATTGTGAGTAACGTCAAGCAATCTCATTCAATGTTACATAATTCATCCAATTTTACATAATTCATGCTGTTTGTTTCACCATGCATGTCATCTTCAAAGATCACGTATCAACTGCAGGTATTATTTTACAAACCATAATTGGAGTCAATTACCGCTATGATAATAAGGAATTTATATATACTTAACAGATAATGAAAATAAATTTACAAATGTATAAAATCATAACAGCCGAAACATTCACAAATGGAGCGAAAAATGTGATAATAGCGCACCATGTGAAATTTATGATTTTGGTATAATTCTTTGATCACGCTTTTATAGGGTTACACTGTAATTTGGTTCCTATACGCTGACTTATTTTTGGACACAAAATGGACATACAGATCGTTTTGTTGCTATGTTGTTGTTGGAATTCTTGTTGTTAGTGTTATAGTGGAAAAATTGCTTTTAACTACTTAATTTTCAGTGGTTGAATATTGTATTTTTCGTTAGAAGGGTATTACTTTTAAAATTTCTGTGGGCTCTATGGAATTCGTTTTTTTTTTGTACGATGTTGTCATCAAAATTGCTCACGTTTTTTGAGCATCCCCCTCTTGGTAATAAATATTCAAGTACCAAAACTCATATTATTGGTAAGTTTTTCTGAAAAAAGCTCAACAAAAATAACGAAATCATTTCAAGAATTGCCAAAAGTCCAATGCTAATAACTTCAGTTTTTTTTACAAATCCCCGGCCAAAAAAACACACCCGCCACCGCTCAAAATAAAAATAGTACTTATTCAGTTAAGGTGAGTGCTAGGAATGCAGATTGCGCTGGAAATTCAAATCATACCTAACGCGATAATTACTAATTTGTTATTTTAAAACGTGGCGAGGGTGTTTTTCTCAAATCTCCTATTTTTGCATTTGTGGCGGGGGCTTTGTACGGAAGATTCATAACTTTTTCTGTTTTACATCTATCTGCTAATGACGATTTTAAATTTTCAGTGGACGGTACTCCACAGGTTCATTCTACTTCGATGTCACCACCAAAAAGCAGCACAGCTAAGTGAGTCCGTCAGTAATCACATTTAAAATGTTAAAAATAAATTGACAACCCAGGGTCTGAAACTTGGAAAATAGTCTAAAAGGAATGAAAGTAAATTCGCAAAACAACCCCCAGTTTACGGTTTGTTCTGTAAACTATATGCAAGGTTGGGAGATATTTAACGGAGACTACAACTGAACAACGTACTACCGTATGTTGTGATGGCCTACCCTTACTCTTGTCGTGACATTGGTGTGCAAGATATATGACTACCGTGTTTCCCCGAAAAGAAGACGCGTTCGCGTTTCGCGTTATTAACTAGGTCTTATTCTAAGGGGAGGGTCTTGTATTAAAATAATTTTTAAAATTTAGGGTAGGTCTTACTTTCAAGGTAGGTCTTATTTTCGAGGAAACACGGTATGTGATGACTCACATGACTGGGGTTGTACATTATCCAGACTTCGTGTTAGAAACAATTTTAACTCGACTTCGCGTTTGAGAAATAAACTCTAGCTCCATCTCACGACTCTAGTTGACAAAATTTTAATCGTAAAATTTTTCGTGTTGTAAACCATTCTTTATTTCTACCGACTCCGAAAATACACCCCAGATCCGCCTGTAATAACACCGATAAATTGCTCTGTTTTAGTTCGTCTATTGCATTTATGGAACGCCAAAATTCCGAAGCAAGATCCATATCTGGAAATTCATTAGCAAGCACCATGTAAGTTAAAAATAGATATTAGTATCGAAATAAAACCTCAATTTGCACACTTTTGTTTCTTCGCTCTTAGAAGACAATTTATTATCTCACACTCATTTCTAATGAACCACTGTGGTTAAGCAAATTTCTCCTCTGGGCAATATTTATATATAGAAAGGAATGGATGACTAGACAACAAATTACAAACGTAAATTTTGACTAGTTGTAACCCGGAATAAACAATATGATGTTTCTATGTTAAGATTTTTATTTGAATAAAACAAAAGAGATGCCGGTAACGCGATTTCGATATATACAGCGAACCCACGCCTCTTGTTTGTACCAATTCGAGAATAGCTAATGGAGGCGTTTACTAGTCCATGATCACCTGGCACCGAGTGCCACACCGACAACCTGGCGATGTCACTATCGAGAAACTTATTTTGGATAAGCTACCTATTACTTTCGCTATTTTCCTTGTGTATTCGATATCAACCGACAACCGAATCGACTTGTAGTACTTGCCATTTTCGGACTTCCTCTAAATATCGTTTTACATGTTGATATTATTGTGATTTTTTCAAAAAATATCAAATAATAACGGTCATAGTAATTTTTGTTATATGAGATAATCATGCAATTTCCTAATTTGTCAAAGATACGTAAATCTCTATCCATCTAAAGATTCTTTTTGTTCCCTACAGGAAATCTCAGCTACTTGTTCCAAGTCCCGCACACTCATCTGTGTCGGCAGAAACGTCCAACAGTTACATACCTCCTTCCACTAATCCAAATTCGCCGACGGTTGTATACAAGAAGAAGGATAACGATACTTTGGGTATAGTCCAAATTCGATTTTAACAATATATATGATATTAGCCCATCACTACTTGGGAGTTTTTGCGTATTTGAAAATAACATACTTGTATAAAGTAGGAAACCGACTTGTTAGATATTTACGCGTTTTGAACTTTTTTGCTTCGTTCTGAAATAGTAGATGAAACTTATATGTTTTGAACATATTGGCACGCTGTATCGTCACTCAAAAAAAAAATTTTTGATAACTCAAAATCAGCGTTTTTCGATATTATCAGAGTTGACCGAAAGTCTGCTATTCTAAAAACACATCTACTTTTCATAATGATTAAGTTACGGTGGAACCGGGTACGTTTGATGTTTAAAGTCAATTGTGAACCTATGTAAACAATCCGGTCCCTGGGCACAAGTCGATCCAGATGACAGTAGCTGTTTAAATATAGTAAGTGCTATGTATAGACTTCCTTTAATCAAATGTACCAGGATGAGACACCAATGTATACATCGTTTTTTTTTAATAGTTGTTATTGTCTAAAAAAAAAGATTATTTATTGTTGTACCTTCCGTATCATATTCGCAGGGTAATTTGATTTTGACTAATGAGATTTAAATCGCTGATTGTTCAGCCATTCTGACGCAGATAAATTATAGTAAACTACCGCTAGTATAAAAAGCAGGAGCACACTCCTAATATATTTTCTATCGGTTATAAACTATCTATATCCTGCTTGAGGCTAAATTTATCATAATAATGAACACACTTTTGCGTTATAAAACTAAATTATGCAAACTAATATGCACACGTCCCTGTTTATGACGACATTTGAAAAGCTAATTTATATAACATCGTTATCAATCTAAAAATACGGTTTCTCGCTATAACAATAGGTTTGTTATAGACATAGTCATGACGTGCCCAACCTCTTTAATATAAACGGATATGATATAAGTTATCGACCAGTCAATACCGAGGTCAAATTAGTTATTGACTCTTGGATTCCGGTTTACCATTGGAGATATTTTTTCATCGTTGTTGGTTCAAAAATCCAATCATAATTTTCAAATGACGTATTGAATAAGTTCCATAAGCTAAACTGAAATCAGTATTGAATTATTTCATACATTTCACACAGATGCACAAGTAGCTATCGTGGTTGAAGAAACTGTACCTACATCGCCTATGTATGCAACGTTTGCAAAGAATCTGAATGATAAAACACAAAATGGAGCCACGCTACACGATTCGAGAGAACTAAAATTTGAACCAGCAAAATCTAAGTCAAAATGGAGAATAATAGTCCCTATTGTACTAGTGGTCTTGCTGATCATTGGACTCGCAGTTGCAGTCGCTCTTTTAAGTATGACTTTACTTGCAACTTAATTTGTTCTGTTAATATGAATAAGTAATATTACCTAGATAGATATTAGGTCATTCGGGCATTCAAATGAACGGGCGACTCAAAGATCAACCCCGCAACCCGGAGCTATATAAGACTGTTTCATAGCTATGTTACGACGTTTTGATTATGTTGAAATAAATTGAAGCGCATTTAATGAAGTATATTAAGATTTTATAATTTTAGCTATACTGTGCCATAAATTTCAGTAAAAACTCAACCATCGGGTCCCTTTTTTCAAATAATAATTGCAATGTAACTTGGTCAACTAAACTCATATTTTAAGAATCGATTTAAGACAAATTATGTACGAATACCATATTTTATTCATCTCTCCACGGACGCCTAATTTCAAACATTTTTAAATTGCATGACAATTAAAAATTAGGCATTGTTGAATGTTATATTACAACGGTCAATATTTTAACCGTCGCCAAATATCCAAACTGGTCTGAGTTTTAAAATTTGTCAAAACCTCTTCAGATGATGTACAAAACGTTAAATGTATTTCATCGTGTCTATTACTCTCACTTTACAGCATCTATAATTTCAAGTCAAAATGACGAGGTAGAAAGACTTAAAAAAGAAATATTCGCACTTCAAAATAAGCAGGAAAGGACAACGAATGTTGCAAGCACATTGTGAGTGTGTATATGAATTTATATTCTGAGCATATTTGTTCTAGTTATTTTTACGCCAGTAATCAATTGTAAAATGAGAAGACAATGTTCATTTTTCGAGTAAAAAAATTATAACATAATATAAAAAACTGCCCCGGCCCCTTGTATATGCAACCAAAGTTAGGAAATACGAGGAAAAAATAATCGAATATAATTGGTGTCATCCCCGTGACAATACGCCGTGTAACTGCTTGGGTACTAGTCAAGGCAAAAGTCGAAATGGGTAACTATCGAAAATTTGAACGCGGTTGGTCTTGTAGTTAATAACGATTGTAGCCTGTTTTTACTCCAACAACAATAGTTTGGAATGACCGCTTAAAAAAAACTAAAATATTTGACTTCATAAATAATGCGTGTGGTTTAAACCGAGTGAAGGGTCAAAACCAAATTTTAGTATCAAAAAAATAACGTAGGTTATTCAGAAATTCATTTTAGAAGAGTACTTCTTAGCCCCAAGATCTCAAACTTGCGACTTTAATACAGATAGAAAATGCGATATAGCTACAATTACGTCATGACTTCAGTATGCCAGGTATTTACTCAGCATTTTGTTTATTTTCTTAATGAGCAAGTATCCCCTTTTATTATACGAACCATTATTGCGCTGAAAAGTGAGTTCCCATTATGCTGAATGCTGTACATTGTAGCTGGGCTTTTCCCATGGACGCTACACATACACGTTAGTGTTTTATGATACATCGTATTTTAGCGATACAGAACCTTCAATGACTTTCAATCATAACACATCAGTGAGTGCCGGCAGACAACAAACCGAGACAATGCTCCAGTCCACTACAAGAACGTCGATCAGCATGCCAAAACTAAATTCATCGACAACATTGATGTAAGTAATGTAATAGATTGATTACCTTAACTGCGTTTTTATCCATCGAGGTGCGAACCAAATCACGATTCATCCATTCCATATGACAGACCTTTTTAACACTCTTTTCCAGCAGATTAACCAAAGGAGAGTTTGTCATTACATATCTATATTATAGTATGCACAACTAATAATAGCTACTTTATTACCCGTGGCTGTGATGATTTAGCTTGCTCCCCACTTCTTACTTGCTCTGTGTTGGTTTAAACATAGAGAATCTTCCATAGTCATGCTATACATCCGTGATAACCATCTTTTCAGACCATTACTCTTGGAGCCTACGACAAGCAATTTCCTTGAAGGCAGCGCATCTAACGTGACAGCGACATGAAAAATGCGTCAAGAGATCAGTAGGCAAACGTCGAGCCGCCCTTAGTAATTTGAAACACATCCCACACGGAATTACAGAAAATGGAATATAAAGAAGAAAATGTTTCAACGTTAGGATCCTAAAAAATGTGGGCACTGCAGCATAAATTGATTTGTTTGTTGGTATAAGATAATGTTTTGTCCACTGGAAACTTGGAAAATACCATTACTAATATCCGAAGTAAATACCCCGAACTCTTGTATTACGTTATTTAAATCTCTAGTGACAGAATTTCCCCTGACATAATGTTCAAAATTGTTTGGCTATGTCACTTTATATTTTTCCGCGTTTTATGGAGTCTAAATTACTGGGGTAAAACTATGACTTTGACCATTGTATAATCTAAACTTTATGTGGAAATAGCTTCCTGTCATTTTACTCTATTCAATTATCATAGGTTTCTCATAATTTCAGAAACAAATATAATATTATGAAAGAGGGCAATAAAAGTAGCAATAATATTTAAAATGTATAAATAAATTCATTAGACAAAACGAAACTCGAAATTTTCTCGTGGGAAATATTTTAACAAGCTAATCAAGTTTTCAGCTGTTGATCCAAAGCAAAGCTGTCAAAAACGGCCTAATTAAATCTATTATATAACTGTTTTATTTAGAGTTAGGCCATTTTTCTCACGACTGCATTCTGCACAGAATTTTGCTATACCATTTTATAACATTTTAGAGCTGAAATATTTACTCACTTCGAGTAGTTGTCCTATAAATTTTTGTTACTTCAGCAACGTTATTTTTAATCCGTTGCATAGCGTAATGTTGCGCTGTATGTTGTTTATGTTTAAAAATATGCAAAGAATCTTCCTTAATCCATATGTAAACGCCATTGATTAGGCAGGATATATTTTCGACTCATAATCGGTTGAGACAATCAATCGTTCTGACTTCAAAGTAGATAGAAGTCATTCAATATGCGATTTGAATCACAAGATATTTTAGTTGAATTCTATGTTTCTTTTTGAATTTATGATAATATATTTACCCATTAAAAGTTTATTTTAATATTGTTCCGCGTTACTTTCACCCGTGCAAAATTTTGCTTTTGAATCACGAAATTTTCATTTTTTACTGTACTATTATTATTAATGAGTAATGACATAATAATCTTCATACTTCAATGCTTAAAGTCTATACTATACCTGAGTTGAAAGATTAAGTTTCACGCATTTGTCTTCATCGTTGAATAAAATTTATTTTGCACCTTTAAAATCTATTAAGTGTACTGGTTATTTATTTACATCACGTTAGGTAAATTGGTGCAGCGAATAGCAATGTCAATTTATAGAAAAATGCTTGTATGCTTGAAAATTCTGATAATTTGTAATCTATATATACCGTCGCAAAAATAGATTAAATATGCTATTACCGCTATCTAAAGCAGATTTTCAATTGTTGTACAAGTAAATAGAAATGTTTTTTCTATATATCATATTGCAGCACGTTGATTATCATAAATTAATAGTTTTGACTTTTGGTGACTTTTCACTTTGGTGAACTTTCTAGAACAAACTAGAACAAAACACCCAATATTTGAATTTTCACTCGAGAGACAAAAACTATTAAAGTTGATGTAAACACCAATCAAACAACTTGATAGATGAGGCTTACGATGCATTTGAATATGCGAATAAACCCACCAATCAACTTCCATCGGTCGCGTGTACGTCGCTGAATTAGGTCACTGTTTTCAGTTTAGCAAATTTAAGTTAAATGAATCCAAATTTCGTTTTTTTACCGAGTTACTGGATAATTGGTTTATTTTAAAGGTTTACTATAGGCTGCTATTAATCAAAACATAGCTTCATTCCCGACCCTAATTAATATGATGATTGGTATTTTATATGGAAATAGGAAATAAATTTAATGTCCTGACAAAATAATTGGTCGTTTTATACTAAATGAGGTTAAATAAATGACGTCCCATAAGTTTTCCAAACAAAACATTTTAAATATAAAACAATTAGATTTTTTTTAAGTGGCCACACCGTGCATAACTGGTCTTTGTCATATATATATATATTTGTAATAAATATAACTACAATTATAATATATACTTCCGCCCTTATATAGCGAGTAATGATAAAGCCAATGTGGTTTTGATAACGTTTTTTCGTAAAACATGCTTTATTGAACATGGCATAGCACTGGGGAGATATACGAAATTAAACAAATTTTTGAGATTTATCAAAATACCAAAAGTCGACGTGGAAGACTAGACAGTTATGTACGAAGTTTTCTCATAAATTGCATGGCGAGTTATTATACTAATTCATACGCTGATTGGATATTGTATGATTGCATACTGTTTGATTCATATTACTTTGATACGATTCTGATATCTATCTGTGTTGGTCGCCGAATGTCGGGTTCCTCAGCTTCGATTTTGCTGTTGGAGAACTATGTTAGTGTATGTTTCTGTATGTTTGACATAGGCTCACAAGAGCAATTGATAAACTGAGAATTATTCCGACCATCCCGAAATATGTTTCTATCAGTTCGGACATGATTCTATCAGTTCGTTGTTCCCGGTATGGCCATTACCAAGAGGCGCTGAAGATGTCAATAGAAGCGTAGGCAAAACATGATTTGTCTCAGAAATAAGCTGTGTGTTTTGTGCTCAATATTTAACAGTCCCATGCTTTTTTCAATATTCAGTAAAGCCTTAGCGGGTAACTCGTCTGATTTGGTTAGTTGAAAAATACTAAAACGAGGTATTCATGAAAAAACAGAAATTCTGTGTTGTGGAAGGTTTTTATTTTTATTCGTTTCTACGACAGTAAAGTATGAAATCATTGAAGAAATGGTGCAAAAAACAACACAAAACAGCTATGAAACATTTAAAATAAAGACAAGAAAACAGTGGTCGGCAAATAATCAAGCAATTGCTCACGATAACAATCTTACAAAGCAATATATTTTTATATTTTTCTGCAAAAATCGATATTGGGTCTACAAAATTCCTGATATACACACCAGGACAAAAAGATATCACAGAGATTGTATATTAATATGAAGATTTTGACATTGAAGCTTTTAGTAAATCACAACATTTTATTTAATCACAGAACAAATCTCAACGAACTATGCTTCTCACGAACTCTTCAACAAAGTGAAAAAAATCATTGGTCATTCACGTGGGAGGCAATTAACAGCAGATAACTATGACTATTCATTTTTTTTATAATAAATGCCTTTTTTTCAGTGACATGAATAAGAAGCCAATTAACAGTTTCCAGTTTATAAATTTCACTAATTTTGTTATTCCTAAAATGCTTAGATTATATATATTATTTTGGACATACAAAGCGGGCATACGAATCAGTTTCCATCATATTAAATACATGCCTTTGGGCGACTGCAAAAATATCGATGCCTGGTACGGTTTCCTTAGCCACATGTATACCAATTTGGTTTTGTGTGAAATGGTCCAGATTGATCTGTAATTTAAGAAAAGTATATTTTGAAATTAGACATTCGACAAACTATTAATTTTAACACCATAGCTAACATATCATATCTGACGAATACTATTCAATATTTCGCTGAATAGTATCATAAAAGGTTACCTGATTCTGTGCTTCGGTCGATATGTATTCTTCGTATATTTCTCTCATCTTCCTTCGTCGCGACTTGATGTTCTTAATGTTTTTATACTGTTCAACGGCCAACCAAAAGTCCAAATTCTCCACGCTGAATTCAGAAACGAGAAACAGTCGAAATCTTATCCTCAATTCTGTTAATTATTCAAAACACTTGTTAAGAATAAAAAAATAATAAATTCCAATTTTATTTTTTGGCATATCGCTAGTCAACATACAAAAAAGCAAAAAGCATCTTACTTTTATTGTTTAAAACTTTTAATAGTGGCAATGCTTTGTCGATAATCAAACGATTTTTTTCGTATTTCAAGTCTTGGCTGAAAATTCTGATCCAACTAGGCATGTTTCTTTCAAGTTTTTCCTTCGCACGTAGCAAGTCGGGTAACATTGACACACACAGCCAAAGCTAATGCATTTATATCGCATGCGAGAGAAATAGTGAAAAAGGGGAACTTGACACAACCAAAAGAAGAAATCATATAATTTTTAAAAATAAAAATATAAGTATATTCTGAAAAGCATTCTCATCGTCCCCCACTAGGCTATGTTGAAAACGTGAGTTTGGGGAATTTTAAATAATCACATGCTGTCTCACAATAAAGCAACTGTCGTGTATGTTTGACTATTAGTATAAAACACCTGAAGCAAAACGATATTAAATTCAATCTTAATACAATAAAGTCCACACATTTTCTCTCCTTATTCGTATCAACTTTTGATAACAACTATACCCATGCTGTCGCTAATGTCATGATGTCTTTGGTAACAATTGCACTTATAATGTTTATTGAGAGCTTATAAACATTCCTTGCGGTAATGTTGCATTTTAGGTATGGATCAATATAAAAACATTGTTTTTTATGTACTTTCATTCTCATATAAAATTAGACACGAGGTGAATATATAAATCGTTTTGCTAATTTGTTGCTGTTGTTGTTGAGATTTTTACCGGTATACCGATGCGCGAGCAGCGCGACTATCGTTTCTACTTTAAGTATTGTTCTCGTGTGTACTATTAGCTGTTGTCATCCCGAAGCCCGAATCAATAGGATTTTAGGTTCTGTTCTATGCTTCCGTGATTACTATATTTGGACCTCCTGAAGTATGCGCACCAAGATGGCGCACAACCTGAACTCAGGTTGTGTACCAGATTAGGGTTCAGGGTATGCGACATCTTGGTGCGCATACTCCAGGAGTACCCATAAATTTATTACTTCAGAAAATATACCTTATATTATAATATGAACTCTTTGTAAAATTTTATGTTGTCGGGAATTCAATAAATTTGAGTTGAAGTATCATTCAAATTCAAAATTAATTTGAAACCGGAAATAAAACGTATTCTTAGACTATTAAAATTTCGTTATTCATTTATTTTGGTACGTATGTCCTTTTTCAGATTTAATTGCGTGGGATTATGTTGAGCCTCCTCACTCCGTGTTGAATTCATTTGCTTCTGACGCTTTACTACATTTTGAATTTGATGTATCATTCCTTCCCAACAGCTGCGGCACACTTTAAATTATCTACAAGGAGATATTCACACAAACCACTCGAATTTTAGAGAATATCAAACGTTAAACGGACGATTTATCTCCGCACGCATCTTATTCCCCAACCTAAGAGATGATTCCCCGTTTGATGATCATGAGGGAGGGGATAGGTAAAATCCCCGTTAACGATTTAAATATATTAACATCGTTAAAATCGAAAGTAATATATAAATTGCTGATGTAACTGATGGGTTTTTCACATGGTGTTCAATTGTCAGTTATGCACCGAAATGGCGCTGGTATTCTGCGTAAGCGTAAGCAGCGAAGACTGGAATTTTTCGTTACGTTGCTTTGATCTCCATTTTCCTTATTGTGTAAAATTGATCAATACTGCATGTAATAAGTCTCACTTAGTTAAACTCGACTAAGTGCCATGCCCCGCAAGCCACAATTGTACAAGTCGTTTCGATTATGTCCCTCGATGTCTTCGTTTGTTTTATTTAATGTCTTGCCTGGGAATTTTACGGTTTTTTCTTTAAATCTGATTTGTAGCACATTTTCAGTTTCTGCTACCGCATTGAAAATCTACTTTTATGCAAATTTTGTATTCAATTCTATTTGGCATATGGGTATAGTTTCACAACACATCTTTGTTCATGTTTGAAAAAAGAAGACTGGACAATGACTTCAACTCGTGCTAGCAACCATGCCGTTCCTTAGTATTCAGATAGTTAGGAGAAAATAATTCGAGCTCGACATGAACCTGTATAACCTAGCGTGCACAAGGATGAATGAGAATGTGTCGGTTTGTGAAACCTCGTATTCTACGTGCTATAATTTTATTCAAAAACGAGTATTAAAAACGATTACACATTTCTGACGTTATCTATATTATGCTGTCAGTTCATTATTAAATTTTTCTCATCAATACAAACATTTTGAGATTATTAATAAATTGATAAACTTTATTGAAGAGTAGAAAAATTTAGAAAGGGAAATTATTCAAATTGTAAAATTCACCTAAAATTTTTAAGTCTGCGAAATCGAACGTAAAATTATTGTGAAGGATTTTAGAAATACTTTTTGTTAATCTTACTTACTCTTATTGAAAATTGAAGGTCTTTCATGTGTGATTTTCAGGCATACCACGGACATCACTCACCACCAGAAGTATTTTAAACATAAGTGATCGTATAGGATCGTTTTTTTATAAATTTATCAAATTATTTTTAGTGAATGAAATAAATGTGCTATCGACAAACAGGAAAAAACATGTTGCTTTGTCTGGAATGGTAACATTATACCTTATTGGACACGTACATGCGGCATTCGCTCATACGCCTGTAAGGTGTGGTAACATTTTATTACATTAAAGTCGATGGATATCAAACGATTAAATAAACTCTGGACCAAAACGACCAATATCAATTTCGCTCATAACCTAGGAGCGTCCTATCGCGGCTAATTTTGCCAAAAAGCACTTGATGCCCAGTACACCTGATTTTGTTGTGGAGTGTCGGTATCTGCTAGGCTAGAGAAGAGACGAAAGATTTTGTCGACTATCAAAAGAGCACTTGATATTTTTTTATTGTTATTTTGAAATTATACTATAAATGTGAGGTCAGAATGAATAAATATTCAAAATCCTACTTTTTTTACATTCCATTGCTCGATACGTGTACTGAAGACATGTTGAATTAAGATTTAACTTTTGTAAGGAGGGTTAAATTAATGCTGGAGTATTGTAACAGATACCAAGGAAAAAATAACCGTGGCTTTCAATAGAATACCGAACTGAAAATCACCTTTAGCTAACTGAAATAGTTCATACACAAAATAAATCTTCTGGAATCACAATGATATACTGTATTTGGATAATGTCGGTAAAAATCTAAATGAATATGTTCACAATATTATTCATATATAACACCAACCAAACTCTTTTATTGGCACAAATTCAAATTTTACTATAATTACAATTTCAAGTATATTGAATAATAAGTATTTGACGGTGCTTTTGAGGATAAAAATTTAAAACAAATTGTACGCTTGCAAAGTGAAAATTTTGTTCCGGAATGATTATTTCCTCATGAGTTTCCAATGAGTTTTTCCTAATTTCCAACGATGTCGTAAGAATTCGTAAATGGTATGTTGTTAAGGTATACTCTTTTGCTGGTAAAAAAAATGTTTGTATAAATATATATAAATATGGTTTTACAAATAGCATGAAACCAGTAGATGATTTTTTGATGAAGTATACATAGTAAAACACAGCATATTCGGTAACACTCTATTTTATCCATTCCGCTTCCATTTTCGTGTCGAAACAAACCTTCGTTATGTATATTATTTTAGGCAAAGAACATTATTTTTATCTAACTTTTGCAGTATTCAGAGTGACATTCGTCAGCAATTGATTGTTTCTTACTATTCAGTATTCGCTTTACACCAAAACAACTTGAGTCTTGTTTACCTGTTAAAAGTTTTGTCGTGTTTGGAATAGTTTAGAAATAGATTGATTATTTTTGGTTATAAAGAAAATAATACATTTTAATGCATTTCACAATAAAATTCTTCTGAATTGTTTGATAATTTTATTTTCATAGTTACTCTTTGTAACGTCATCGCAAATTGTATCTCAGAAACTAGATTGTACAAGTCAGGAGAAACTAGTGTTGATGTTAATACGACTTATTCAAACTATAGTTATATTACACCCAAAACAAACATTTTCGTTGCCTGTTACCATTCATAAAATTGGCTATTTGAAAACTATTTTAGATCGATGAAAACATCGATGTTATCAAAGTGATTTTGAGGATTACTTGCTGACATTCGTGAGAAAGTCGCCTTGAAAATATCTGAACTACATTTTTTAAAATATATTTTTTTGTTATTTATAGAAATTAAATATTCGAAAATATTTTTTTGTTGTTGATATAAAATAAATTACAACCTACAGCAAGCAAAATGAGATATATATAAAAATTTCACCCGAGGCAATCTGAATATGAGTATGATTAAAACAATGCGAAGCCTCACGTCGGTTTTTACGCACGGAATTTCGTTGCGTTAAACTACGTAAATCATGCTGACGAGTGAGACGAACGTGACGGCGTAACGTCAATTTCGGGTGATTTTTGTCCTCTCTCGACAATCACCTCACACTGACAACATACAATGAACTTAACAATGTGGTAATGCAAATGTGAACTCAACAACTTTGCTGATATTCACCGATTTGGACATTTGTGTAAACGCATTTAATATACTGTAATTTACGCTGGAATTTTGTTGATTAGATGTACTGACGCAACGATCAAAATTGAACATGAATGTCGCCGTTTGAAAAAAATACAGTACGACAGCTGTCTTACTCGGATTGAACTTGAAACAGAACACCTTGTGAAAATTTGAACCAACCCACATTTTTTCTAATTATAAATGAACAACAACATTTTAGCTCCAGGTAAGTATTTACATTGTATCATTTTACCATCTATCACAAGACGTGTCCGTACCATAAACGAGTTATGTGGCGCTGTCGGTTTGTTTAACGAGGATGCCATCGGATTGCTATACTTACATAACGAGAACCTATTATATTTTCAGTTTATCACACTCTGTTTCTGATCGTGATTTGATTTTGTTCTTAAATATACCCATAATATTCATCACTTTCAACTTGTTTTCTTTAGATTTGATTATTTCATTAAGCGTATAGGCGCACTTGTAAAAAACACCTTACGGGACGTGACTAGAATTTTACGATATATTGAGAGTATTGATTTATTTTGAGAAAACTATTTCTGTAATCTATTCATGTTGATAGCATTAAAAAATGATGTGTTATGTATGATTAATTGTTGCACTAAAGGAGTGTTTTTCTTCTTTTTTGTTTTTAAAATTGTATTCAAATCAGCATTATTTGCGCTACGAAAGATTACGTATTGAGTCGCTAGTACGTATTTTTGAAGCTCAGTAATTTCATCCTGGCAAGGATACTCGTTTTTACTGGATGATGAAAGGAACGGAACGTGTATTCATGGGTTCACGTAACCCGATCAACAACATGTATGCCAAAATCCGATATATGAATTCACTAACACAACCCACGCGGACCAAAATATTCTTCCCCTTATCTCACAAAAACAGGTGTATCATATCTGTTTTTATAGCATATTCGTTTATTTTTGTATGTAAAGAATTTTGATGTGATCTGCCGAAAATGTTTAGCTTGTTGATGGATACATCAAACGATATTCTTGCATACATAATTGCCAAACAGTATTTTGGTAATGATACATAATATGAATATTTTGCGATATTCCATTCGGTGTTGACAAGTAAAACTATGATCGGAGGATATTAATTCAATCAATTTGTAATAATATTCTTTTCATTATTATTGTTGATTTATTCAAGGTATCATTAAATTCGAATTTATCTTAACACAATATTTTGAAAACTGTCATTTATTATTATATATATCATACTGTAGGATATAACAATATGATTAAATTCGGAGAATGAAGAATGAATAAAATGACGACTTTAATTTTCAGCTTGTTTTAAACGGACATATTTTGCTACATTTCAAATAATAGTTAAAATTTTGAAACTTAAAATTCGATATATTATGCATATGATCGTGCGTGATCAGGATATCTTGTGCATATTACGTCACCAAACAACCCGCGATATTAGACAGTGCACGCAAATTCTCTCTCCCAAGTCACAATGAATAAACTATTGGCAAGTTTTCTACTACGTCACGTCATAAAAACAGAATTAGGGTGTATCCGAGATGGCACAGACCTTTTTTGGTGAATATAATTGATATAAGGAGATCCATTCGTCCCTTTGGTCAAAATCAAACCCCAAATCGAAGCAATCTTCTATCAATGGCGTTACATTGTTGATTCTGTAATATAATATTCTACGTATAATTTTCTCACTGTCAAATCGCCGATAGATTGTAGTCAGTCAATATTCAGCTGCACTTATATTTAGCAATGAGTTACGAATTTATCGCGCCCGCGTTCTAATATATGCGCATGTTGAAAAGAATTTTCATTAAAACGTTTTGTTCATTTTTGATGAACTCATCAAATTCCTTTCCGAAAAGGAAGACAAGGATCACGTCTGCTATATTTAGTTTATCATGTCTGACTAGAAAATTATAAGTGAACAAAATAATCTGAATAAACCAGATGAGACATTCTGGGAAAACCGAAAACAAGTGTTGTGCGTTATTATCTTAAGGGAAATTACATTTCCTTCCGTCTGAAAGTCCAAATTGCTACTCAAAATGAATGAGACAATTATATTACTTCTATTTTTTTATCTTCTCAAATATTTTCCAAGATTCGGATTTTCTTACATGTGTAGTTGTTGAAATTCAAATAAAGCTTGAAATAAGAAAACTACACCGGAAAATTTGAGTAGACAGCTATTGGTAAAATCAAAATCGAGTTACTACTGAATACATTTTAGGAAATATTGTCAAAGTTTAAAATATCTTCATAACAAATTATTTGCATTTAAGCAATTAATAGAGCATACATCAGGAACTCGAAATATTTATGAGTTTTTTAAATTCATAGATGTAGATATTTTCGTGATTGTCATTTTCGTGTGATAAAATGTCAAGTTTACAGTTAATCATATCTTAAAATAGTCCTGAAAATAAAAGAGAAAATCTAAATAGGATTCAAATATGCTTTAACAATTTCATTTCGTGTCTGAGACAATGAAACATGAAAGGAACGATGTCCCAAATTACTGTTCCCGGGTATAACGAAGACTTTTACGATATCCAATACGTCGATATATTCTGCATGTATTGTGAATAGTTTCTCACCTGGAGCCTAAACGGAGAGGAAATATGAAGCTTATGGTATCTGTTACAAGCACGCAGTATATCCACTTCAGCTTACGGGAAATCTTCGAAATCGTAAATAAATGAATTGCAGAACGTAAGTACAGAATAGGTGTTTGAATATACATAAAAACCAAAATATTTTCCGGAAGAGAATTCTGGACATACGATGTAAACGGAAGTTGTTTACATCACGTTTCTAACTACGTCATAACGAAACGTGTATTGATTGTTTCCTTTTTTTTCTTTTTTCTCAAGATTATTCTCTCGAAATTTTGTAAGATAAATGGATCGTCCGGCTCGCTCGTTCCGCAATAATGTAAAAGCTACAGGATTACATCAATCAAAACTAGAACTGAATTGTCAACAAACTATTGAAATTGATGGAGACTACGAATTCTAAAAGCGGATACGCCAACCATCCTACCTTAATTGAAATTTTGAATGATAAAAGTAAGCCTGAATTTTTTTTCTGTCTGACGAGCATGTTGAAATGTTTTAAACAAACTCAAGTCACCGTTGAAGAAAATTGTTGTCGTTATACTGATAAAATTGTGTGACTATGTCTATAGAGTACTGTGCTAAGTTATATCACCATAGGGATAGATTCTGCTTTTTAATTATGATTTTTTTTTTACTTTTTCTAATTTCTCTTATAAATATGTTATCCAGAACTCAAAGTTGGATTCCGGATGTTTCTAAAATCAGAATTCAGCGCAGAACATCTGGACTTCTGTGCAAAAGTTGAAAAATATAAAAATATAAAAAACACTGAAACAAGAAACCAAAGAATGTTCCAAATATGTGATGAATACATATTACCAGGGTCAATCAATCAGGTACTGCTGAAAACAAATATACTTCCCATATAACACAGAATGGTATGAAGTGCATAACTAGCAAATCAACGAAGAACATTTTTGACATTTGAATAGTATGTAGCGCTAATTTAAACTCAATGTTCAGAAGTAGTTTTTCAATAACGCCTTTCTATTGACTTGTTCAGAGCCGAAGAACAGTCAGCTTCTTCCTGTCCGCCAATTATAGGAAGTCAATGTCAGACACGGATTTAATTTCAAAATAACTCAATTTTTATGAAATGTCATTGGAAATGCATCAAACTAAGGAGTTAAAATCTAACATTCAAATAACATAACAGTGAATTGAAATAGTGACGATTAGTGGTTGGCAACCTTTTATCGGACGCAAAAGTTAAACAATTATTCATATAATGCGTACTCCGATAGCTCTGGTTAATAAGCAAGGGAAATGCGCAAAAACGTGATCACAATCATTGATAGAGCAGTGAAATTGTTTTACAATGTAACGTATCGGCGTTCATATACAGAGATCTCATTCCGCTATTTAAGCATACTAAATTCGTCAATTTTGCAGATTAATTTGGATCATTTCACTCGTCAACAAATTATTCAACATATGGCGACGAACGACATACCGAACATTGACATCTTCAATAAAGCTCAAAAATACGTTTTTAACAACATGGAAAATGATGCCTATCAGCGTTTCATCTGTTCAAAGTATTACGATATATGTTGCCGTTCTAGCAGAAGAACACCATGTCAATTTTTACATGATATTTTTCATCAAAGAAAATTAAAACAGTCTTTCCCTCGTCGGCCTGTCAAAGGTATCGTTTAATTAATTCAGTAACAAATAAATTTTGTCCAATGAAACCCATTTCGTAAAACTATGGATTGAAATTAAGCTACAGGGTTTGTTAGCTAAATTAGCCCCGATTCAAACACACTGAGGAAGCCTTTAAAACCTGAAACTAGAGTGTTTGAGAGCTATTTTCAAGATTTCTTTTATAATGAATATATTAAAATATTTACTTTTCTAACTCGAACTGTGTTTTTCAAAAATTCATTTATTTTTTTAATATATCTTTGTGCTATGTCAATTTTGTTCACCTTTTTCTACCTCTTGAGTGTAACACGTACATCGTCACATTGCTTGTTATAGAGTCGAAATTCAAAAAGCTTATTTAGATATTTACATTTGTTTTACATATTTTACATATGTAAAATGAAATATTGCAAAAAATTTGCTTGATTTTGATTTTAATAGTTTCTTGGGATAAAATCACGCAGCAGAAACAGAATACCGATAAAATCTAACGAATTAGGTTTAAAGGTGTATTGACTGGCGAAATGACACTTGAAATTACTTTCAATTCAATTACAAAAAAACGCAAGACATTGAAGTAAATTATGAGAAAAGATCAAAATTCAAACACAGTACTCGTCTTTGAAAAAAAAGCCAGAACCAAGCAAATATTTGACCACAACTGTGATCAAACTTTGTCCCCTTGATGGCAGTACAGTTTAATGCGTTTGTTGTTTATCCGAATTGACAGGTCTTATGACGCATGAGGTGACGTGATGCATGAAATATTTTTGCGCAGGTTTGTCCACAGTATGATTGACAATGTCATCGATACTGTTGAAACAGGTTTTCTATGTAAATGTGAGATAGTTGTTCGATTTTCTCCTTAACTACCGGTACCTCATATTCAAAGTTCCAGTAGTCAATCATAGAAGTGTCTCGCATAGGGCAATCACTTTCCTATTTTCCTGTACTTTTTGGCTACTTCTGGCTATTTTTTTTAATTGTCTCACCATATAGATTGATTTCCGGTAAGCAAATGTTTAAAATTTACGCATTTAAACTATGCTGGTAGCTGTAACTGTATATATTTATGCGCTGCTCGTAATTTATTATTTTTTTCTGATTCGCATCAAATGATGTTATCGATTATTACTAAATTGCGATATATATTTTTTCATAACAATTGGAAATTTAGCATATACTCCTATAGTACCAAACGTCACATATATGAAGTAATATTGAGAGAAGTAAATAACGAAAAGAAAAGTAATATTGCAACTTTCTGAAAAGCAACTTTGATGCTGCAATTTTATGTATCAAATGGATATGCGGAAATTTTTTCCCAACATAGCCCTAAAATACCGTACCTGTAAAGCAGATAGTTGAGATAATCAGAATTTAATTGAGTAAATTTAAGAGTTCTCTAAATTTACTTTAAAATGATGAACCAGCTTCGGTTTGTAATTTGAAACGATAAAAAAATATTTTGTATGATAAACAATTTTAGATGTAATGAAAGACATAACACGACATTAAATATATTGATAAAAAGCCATTTATCATGAATTTGGTCTTGAGACATTCAAGAATGCATTGGCGTTTTCGCCTGGTAAATCCAAATTTGAGTGTGAATTGAACATATTGAAAAATAAAATTCCTATGCAAATAGTATATCATTTGAGACGTATACCTAATATAATAAAAACAAAATTCAATAAAAAATTGTGAGTGATTTGAATTTATTTGCACATGTGACGTAAAACGTACTTTGTCTATTGTATATAGAAAATAACTCATATTTATTATATGGCGTCTTTAATTCTATATTACTACGTCACCAAATAAATGTTATATGGAATGTTCAAAATTAAACTGAAAAGACCTAAACGCGTTTATTTTTACCCTAATTATTGTAAAAATAATATTAAACGTATTGTGATTGTCCTGACCAACCAAATATATATTTTTTAATGATGCCATATTCTAAATATATTTTACATCGCAATTTTTTTTCAAGTCTTCTCACTTGAGTCATTTTATCAGGTATAGTCCATGCCCCAGGGTTAATGGCGTATAATGAAGTGCAAGAGTATTGTATCGTACCACATTGTACAACGTTTTTGTTTGCGTTGAATACATACCCAAATTCTTTTCGAGTCAGCATCTAGATCAAATTTAGGTGTGGAATTATATTAATAGTCATTTTCTTTTGAATCAGTCTGTATTAATTAAGTAGCATTTTTATGTTTAGTACTGAAATTTAGTACTTTCTATTTTTTATTAAAACACTTTCTGTTCACCGAATATATACTTGATCATACAATGCCTGCGCCTTCAGGCAATTCAGAAAGGAAGATGAGTGTTTTCACACAATATAGTCATTTTCTCATGTTTATTTTGCGACGTCAAACATCATATGTTCACAGTGTATATTTCCCAAATGCATCATTGCGGTTATACGCATATTCTTTATGTCAGATAGCGAAAATTGCAATTTTGCATTAACAATGTGTTTCTCTCTGAGATAAAAAAAAAAAAACTAATAAAATTATTTTTATTTTTTTGCAGTGTGTAATGAATAATTAGTCATTATTCACGTGTTATTTATTCAAAGTGCGTTAATTGAAAAAATATTTCTGTGTGTTTCAGTTTCCTAAGCAACTTGAAATTTTTTTTTCATTCTTTCTATAAATGTCTATTTGATCACTTCCACTACGCAAAAATAAAACAATGACCGCAAGCGTAGTGACGCAGTACGTTGCGTTATGAATAGCAAGTGCGCGCAATTGACGCAAATAATTATCCAGCGCGCACGCTATGATGAATTCCGCTTGTACAATGCAGACTTGCAGGTGGCTCACTTTATAGTGGCTATAACGAATCACAAAAGTAAATACAAAAGGATCAAGAAGGCTAAATTTGAAATGTAGTTTACCAACGCATGTAATCCGTGTAATTTTCTAGTTTTTTCTTCTAGCTCAATTTCAAACACAAAACCCGTAAACCCAAGACTGTTCCATATAATTTATTATAAATTAAAGAACTATTCCCTAAATATAGCTCTCAGAGAAACAGCACCATTTATATTTACTTGTGCTTTGTCTCATCTGTTGTATATTTCATACAGTAATACGGTATTAAATATATACAATATATATAGAGTCCCATATTGACACATTGCTTTCGTTCATATTAATTCTGTCCTAGATTTAAATCCGAATCGTAAATCGTATAATCAGTAGTAAATTAAAACTCTTACAGTGATTTGAATGTCGATGAATATTGAATTTAATATAACACAATATTAATAGTCAATAATAGATTTATGAAGCCTTTCAAATATTATTTGTTGATTCTTTGTCAGAAAATTCTTATGCAATACGTCAATTATTATCCCACCTCATATATTCGATAATTTAAAATATGTTATCTGACATTTAAATATATTATTACAATACTAATAAAAAAGGAAATTTGACTACTAAAATAGCTACAGTACAATTTAAAAAATCGTAATGACAACAATATTAAAATAATATTCTTCATATAAATAGAATGAATTTCCGTAATCAAAATACAAGTCTAAATCCTTTTTTAGTTTATGAAAACGTAATCTATCAGGTTTTGCTGTGTCGTGACTTTCACGTCATAAATTGAAATGAATGACGTCATAAATTCAAAATGCCCTAACTTTTTTCGCCAAAAGTACATGTGGACACTATAAACAAATTTAGTGATTTTTTTTCGGTTATATTTTTATCTTGTGCCCTTTCGTCGGACACGTAAAATGGAAGTCTAAAACCGAATATTCAACTTGTTCACTCTTCGAGGTCTTCATTTTGCTTGGAAATTATAGCTAGCTTCTTGTTATTGAAGAATGTAGTAGTAAAAAAATGAGAAAGTTTAACATTATTTGTAAAAGTTTTTTAGGTTATTTCTTGTTTAAATTTTCAATTTGAGAAAATTATCCAGAGAATATAAGACTACAAAATTTTCTTGATTTAATTCCAAATTCAAATAGGTCACGCAAGTGCAACCAATGGCGGGTTGGTTGCAAAACGTGACCTATTATGACGTCAAATCAATTGTACTCAGTTGTATAGTTCATACAAAAATAGGCAACATTTGTCAATCATTAAGAAAACGTCATTATTGTGTCATTTGAAATTTTTTGAATAGCTTTAGTTTCACGGAAGAAGATATTTTTATAAAACGTTTTATCGAATATTATAATCGATGCAAACTAAAGATGACAATTTTAATTCTTTTTTTTTGCAATGTTCGATATTTATTGATAAATGTCTTCAAAATCTCATGAAATCAAAGTAAAGTTAGCAGATCTTAGGGCTATTCTAAAGTCAAGAAATTAATTTGTTAAAATTAACAAATGTTTATTTTGTGCGCGGTATGACGATGTTGTTAGGACATCTACCTGTGCTAGAAAGAAACGTAAACCTGTATTTTTAGATACGCTGTGCGATTAAAACGTCGAAACGCCGCACCTTTGTATGTAAAAAACGTGCTAGACGTAAAACATTTATCATTCTACGAAAAATATTACGCAGTGTGCGTAAGAGCTCAACAAGCCGGCGCGCGTGCGAGAAACTGATTCAGAACGTCAGTTATACAATATTACACTCACGGCTCGATTGTTATTAGAAATTTCGTGGAAAAAAACATGATATAGAATGAGTTTAGTATCAACGTGATATATTATACTTATATCAATTTTGATGCGAAGTATTTTATGGGAATGTATAGTATTCCAAATTTATTTTTATATATGTATTTAAGTTAGCGGATATTTTAAAATTTATAGAAGTCGTTATGTATTGTAATACTAACATACAATTTATATTTGAAACTTTTCTAAGATAAAAAAAAAATATATATATATATATTCATTTGAATAAATCATGAGATTTTGTGATGAATTTATCCAATTCCTACAAAAGATTTTGCACAAGTTTTGAAAATCAAATTTTTGAAAATCATTCTTACACGGTTTCATCAGCGTGATACGTGACTCCTCTTCCATGACCACTCAAACGGACAGATAGTTTCGGACTAAGTAGGAAATGATATCATGCACTTTATCAAGTTTTAAAGCCAACAATTCCAGATAAATATCAGTGTAATATTATCCAGGAAAATGTTTTAACAGACATAGCTTGATTCAAACGAGTTAACAGTTTGTGACTATTGTTGTTATTTTTAGAAACACATCCGATGAATAATATCCTATTTCAAAATTCCGACCTCGTTTGCCCAGGTAGATGTAACACTATTTTACGTTTTACATCAAAGGTGGCATGAAAGCACTTTATTACAGATACGTCGCACTGCTAAAGACCGAATTACATTTCAATGGGAGGGAATAGGAGGAATATGTAACCGGACAAATCTTTGAACATGAGCTAGAGTGCGGATCAGCAACGACCATTGTTTTTAATTTCATAGCTCTGTATAATGCTGATGCAGTGAAAACAATATTCAGCCTCTCATTCTCTCCCTCCAATGAAACATGTTCGTGAACAGTTGTTTATGCTTATCAATATTAGAAATTGTTAAATAATTTCAAAATACGAAAAGCAACCGGAATAAACAGGAAATTGATACTTCCTGCTTCTGCTTTTTTGAACCTTTTTATATTGCCACATAAACATGTAAGTTTACTATTTTTTAATATCTTACCGTACTGGTTTAGGGTAAAATGATACGTCAAAGTGGCAGGCGCACCTTGCGCATCAAATTAAGCAAAATAATATTATTTTAGTTGACTTTTTTAATCAGAGTTTATTACGGGATATATAATGACAAGGTCATAGAAAAGCAAATAAACCAATCCTAAATTACCAAAAATATCAAATCGAAACACTCCCAAAAATAACCTTTACGTGTCTAAAATGAAAATTTATTAATAAAAAAGCAACATTAGAAAAAAAATCGCAAATAATAATTAACAACATTGATATAATAATTATATTGAAGCAGGCTTTTGGTCGCACCCGTCTTTAAGTCCAGATACGGAAATGAATTTTTCATTAGATGCCCATAGTCATAAACCTAGTAGAATCCAGGAAAATATTATTGTATATATTTTTGAATTGTGATTGTCATAATTATGGAATAAATTTATATTTGGATGTATATGAAAAGTCATATGAGAAACGAGTTAATGATATTTTTCAACAATATTTTTGGCCGGCATGCAAATATAATTTGACAATTGGTTTTTATCAATCACCAGTCAGTCACAGCCATAATTTTATATCAAAATTTGTTGGCCACCTTGCTATATTGCGGTATAGCGAATCATTTTTTGGGTGAAATTCAGATATTCGATGGCGATATTACTAAATTAAATTTTCATTACATACCGTAAATGCGAGAGCAATTTAATGTACGTCTACTGTTTCTATCTATAAATATGGCAGTTTTAAAAATGTCGAGTACATTTAATAAACATAATGACAACACTTACTGGACGGTGCTAAAATCATACTGATATATTCAACAATTTCCCGTCCGTAACTGGTCCATCGGCTATCGGTTATGGGCAATATCAATCTTTCTGACGTATGTAAGTGGGTCTTATCAGATGAAAAGTAAGATGAGTAAGTAGGTATAAATAACCTGAGCTACCCATTAGATGCGGTGTGTCCAATCAACCGTTAGTCATAAACGTCCATCAGGATAAGTTTTTCGTTTACTCGCTAAAAATAGCACCTATTTTGAAGATTCAGTGAAAGACTTAATGAAAACTTGGTGGCGATATTTTTGAGATTCGTTGATGAAAACCGCGGCAGATTCATTCGGCATTCAGATTTACAAATTAAAATTACAAAAAATATTAAGTACTTGATATATTATTTATGTAGTGATAAATTAGACTACCAAAAATACAGTAACGTATGTTTTGGTTGATTAATTCGAAACAAAGTAAGTTAGACACCGATTCGATCAAAACCTATAAATACAATTCGTAATCTGGTCTGAATAAAATTTCATTTGAAAACGACCTGAGTGTTGCCTCATGGTCTTAATACAATTAATCATTACCGAATTAAATTAAAAGTTATTCAAAATCGATGATTTAAAATAATTCACTGAGAATTCTCACGAATCGATCTCTTCTTTCAAAAAATAGAGCCTAACATGAATTTGACCTCGAAAACCTTCGATTTACAATTCAAAATCAGTATGATTACGATGAAAATATACTACAAAGAACATTGAAACGGGATGAGACCATCTATGTTCAATAGAAAAATAATATAGATTTTAGTGCATGTCTGTGCAAGTTGATCATGGGGATCATCCACAAAATAGTCTGAAAACTAACCCATGTCAGCCGCAATCATATACCGTGCACTTTTTCTTCGACGAAGGACGGGAGGAGATAATCGTCTGTGGTGAGCTGTTGACAATTTGATAATGATAGAAGGTCTACTGTTTGAACGGAAGTTTGCAAAGTAAATATATATTTTCAACGGCTGGATAGTTTTCATGTCTTTCTCATTCAGACGCGGCATAAACTTTTTTCGTTTGTGGCGTGACTCGCCAATTGGGTCACCACGTAAAATGACAGACAATTTCATAACAACACATTATATTTATCGAAGTAGATAGATAAAGGCCTATAAATACCATCAAATGGTTACACTACAAAAACACGACAAATACAGAAGGCTACGAAGCAAAATCGCATGCTGTTAATCGGTCCTTTCCATTGATATTCTCCTATATTTCGGATTAGCATATGCAGTGATCACCCCATGTATCGCTACTAATCACTAACATCCTATCTAATACTTCCTTTTGACGCGCACAAAATAGATTATTCATTATTCAAAATATTTTATTATAAATAAAATAAGAGATAAACATAAATATGTTTTTCAAAATGTAAGTACCGTACATATGTCGCAGCTTTTTCATCTTATACTCTTTAAAACATCCACTACGATAAAAACAGAAGATCCGAGATGGAAGACGTTCTCGCGTTCGGCGTTAATCATTACTTAACACAGCAATAATCAAAACAAACTACAGAAACAGGAAAACAAAGAATCAAGAACACGCGGAAAAAATCCTATCACACGTATACGACGAACATTATTTGACATACACTGTAATAAATTGTTGTAAATAAGTGAATTGTTTCAAGACATAATGGGTGATGGAATTTTGTTTAATAAAATGGTAAGTTTATTTTTTAAGTTTCATATTGTGAAAGATACAATTTGTGCCAGCACAAATTCAAAAAAAAATCAAGTCCAAATTTAATACTAACCGTAATAATTAGGATATTAAAATTTTGAGATTTTTGTAGCAATGTAAGGGTAACACTATCTGAACCAATAAAAACATTGATTCTTCAGTCAGCTAAATTAAATTCATTACTGTAAATAAATAAGTAATATGTGTGCTATTTTGTTGACAGTGTGTTTATATGAAATAATCGAAAATAAAATTATATCAGCAACCAAGCATGGAACTAGGATAAAACGGTCGTCGGGGCCCGTTTCGTCCACGGTCCAAATATATATATATAGGTATTCTATTACATATTAAAGACATATTTATTAAAATGAAGAACAATGGCATTAGGAATAATATGTTTAAACTATTTAAGATTCTATCATAAAAAACTATGTGCATAAAAAATCCATCAGACTAAATTATTAAAAATGAAAGCATAAGGTAATACATGACAGTGCTTTGCAAAACATAGATTGTTTATTAGGAAATTCATTAATGAACATTATTGAATAAAACTTAGTTTTAAAGTTTGAGCACTCGCTACCGAATAAATTTGATTTATAAGTGAAACATAAAACGAATAGTCTTATTTTGACCGTAATCTTGAAAAAAAAGAACGAAAAACTGACAATTCAGATAAAGTCGGGTCAGATATCGCACGGGTGCTTTTCTGTTTTGAATCTGTACTTAGTCTTGTAATATTTCCATCACTTCCATGCAAGCGTTTTTGATGGTTATTGCAATTATTAGTGTTGGCAAGATTTTCAAATGAATTTTTCCGACTCGACGGAAGTGAACGATCTTTCGATTTTCCTCCTCGAAATATATTATGTAAAACTTGTATTGGAGATCTTCGGCCTGGACTGCTACATAAATCAAAATATTTTGAACGAACAAAACGAGCGTAAGAATCATTTTCCATGATGTTGAAAACATATCTTTGAGCTCCATTGAATGTATCGATACTTGGTGTGGTATCAGTAGCCATATGTTGAATGATTTGTTGACGACTGACGTGGTCGAGATTAATCTGTAAAGCAAAATTAATATTTAGTTCCCCAATGTTAATTATAGATAACAATTATATACTTATCCTTGTTTGTAATTGTGACTCATAACATAACCCGCTCTGAACGAGGTATTAGAAGAAAAGCATGACAGATATCATACGAAAATAGATAACCAACGATGATTCAGATACAAAATTAACTGAATATTTCGTTTATACATTAGTGCACACACAGATGGAATCAATTTGCAACATTGGCATGTATTTTTATTGAATGAAATCCCGGCCTGTTAAGTTAGTATCGATCCTTTAATGGCCAATGTACTTAACATGTGCTACATTATATGAGTTGGAGTATCAGAATCTTTAATTTACCTGGTTGGGTGCACCCGGTGATACGTATTCTTCGTATATTTCTCGCATTTTATCCTCCTTGGCATCTTTGCTTTTCAACGTTTTATAGTCTTCTACCGCAAACCAAAAATCCAAATTTTCGACGCTGAATTCTGATTCCAGAAATATTCTAAATCCGATTCGAATTTCTGTAAAAACAATTAAAAGAAAGTCAGTAAATTTATGTTCTCATTGCTAATATGATATAAATTGAAGACACAAATCTATGATATTGTAGTAATTATTAATTTTATGACAAATCAAAGTCTGTAAAAGTCTACTTACTTTTTTGGTTCAATGCCTCAATCAAAGACATTCCGTTGTCAGGGACGCAACTATTTGTATTGCCAGGATAAAGTTGAGTAGGTCTTTTCATTTTTGTAAGTCCACTTTTAGTCATTAAAAAAGTTTTATATATTCCTTTCCAAACAGCTTCAGACGCGATTTGAAATAGAACGTAAGTCTCTGTGTCGACGCAAGCGTATACCAAGTGAGACGCTATAACTGACTTAGCATTCAGATTCGCGTCTTTTTATGCCGGTTAAAACGAGAGAATTGTAAAAGGCGCACCGTGTTTTTAGCAACAGCGTAACGGAAGCTGTGACGCACTGACGAGCAATAAGCTATTTATTGTATACGCTTCCTCGTTTCTTGCCGTCATTCTGTTATTGTATACAATTTCCAATATTGCACACTTTGAACCTGGTCACAGAATACAATACCAATAAATACAGATATATAAATTAGTCATTACCACTATCAATAGGAACTACCCGTGTTTTCTAATCAGGAAATGTTTTTTGGCCTAAAAACTGACTTGTTTTTCAATTCGACTGAAACTTGTCACGATCACATTTTCAATACGTGATTTTTCGAAGGTTTACATGGTTTTATTTAATCACGAATTTAATGTACTCAGTGAATGATCATATTGTATTTTTGGAGTGCCAACAGTCACCCATAAATGAAGTAATTTCGATCAATCAATTTACAGTATGTTGTTGTATAATTATATTATCAGATTGATAAAAACTTTGTTATATATCACTGAGTAACGCAAGAAAAATTAGTCTACGTAAATGCAAATGGAAATAAGATCGCAAATGAGATACAATCAAAAGGATAGATATTGAATATCGATTTCCTAAAATACAATTTAGACAAAATACAATTTCGTGTAGATTCCGTTATTGGGTTTCTGGTATAAGACCTGAATGACCGATGAGCCAATGCTGTGAATATCCTTCCATACAATGATAGAATATTCCCATTATTATACAATGCAACAATTTATCACTTGACTGCACATAAATGGGAATTACCTCGATTATATGAGATAGACTGGAATTTGGTCTATGAAACCGTTTTATTTAGTCAACATCTGTATATCATCAGCAAAATCAATGTTGACATTAGCAACACCGCAACAGTAAGATCAATTTCCAACAAGAAAAAATACATTAGCTTGACAGAGCATTAAAATTAGTTATTGAACTTAACCTTCGCAATTAAATATTTTTGTACTTTCGTAATTCTTAGGAAACTAGGTTTATTTTAAAAGTAGTTTCGTAGAAAAAATATTCCATTACCATATGAAACAATGTATATATGAATACGTTGATCGGTGGAAAACCTTGCCTTAGGTATTGTGTAAAAAAATTTAGCCACGATACGACGAATATTGGAAAGTTTCATAATTATCTCATATTTTCTTGTCCGAGTGTTAATCATCTTTTGTAATCAGATTTCCCAGGTACAAAGAATATCATAATTTGAATCTCAAGAAACTTTGAATGAATGTCATTCAAAAGGTTCCATTACATTTGCACCTACGTACATTTGCACCCGTAATTTGAACTCACGACATATGCACCTGCATACTATTGCACCCATGGAAAAATTTTTTTACGGATATTTGAACCCATACTAACCCATGGATTTTAGCAACCGCATAAAGATTGAACCCGCGGATATACCGGTACAAATGTATGGGTTCAAATGTACGTGGGTGCAAATTTACAGTCACCCATTCAAAAGTACGCATTACGGTAATTTAGCAAGTTCTTTAGATGCTGCATCCCATCAACGTTCGAATACTTTTTATAGGATGTTTACACCTACACTAGCAGCGTTGTATTTTATTAAATTTATTTCTATTTTACTATGCAATTCTAACAACGTGTAACTAGAGTTGCCCGCGGCCTGTTTTTGTCACCTTTTTTATTAATAATATTGTTACGAAACCTGTATTATGGGTCCTCATTCGGATACTACGAATAATTCCAATTGAATATGCAGATGACGTGAGAAATTACATGTCCATTTTTCTGTACGCCTCGTTTGATATTCTATGAGTCAAAGACAAAAACATATTTTGATCCTGACTTATCATAATTTTTTTCTACAATGAAGATATCTTTGAGGTATTAACATTCTGTGTGCTTAAAACAAGGAAGGTGTACGCTGTCGACAAATCAAAGTTATTGTGTTGTGATTTCATAGGTAATCAGCCATGTCGTTAAAAGACCCACACAAGCTTAAAATGTGTGGCTTCAGCAAAACAGATTAAGTTTTGGATCAAACGTCATAACCTATGAACAAGCGTTTCGATATCTACCCCATGCCACTCATGTGCGGCAGAGTCTAAAATTATGACTCTATTGTCTGAGAATTTCCCTAAACAGAAATTCATACAAAGTGCATACACGTTACTCGATAGTTGTTTTTATCACTTGAGTTTGTATTTACAATCATTTAATACTTGAGCTCAAAGCGGTTTGCGTCACCAGGCCACGAAAACAACTCATCTCATGTGACTGAACTGCAACGGAGGCATCCTATTTTGTGCACAAAATACCGTTTTGTAAAGATCACTGCAACTTTGAGAATCGTATGTGTGTATGTCTACAGTTAGTTAGTTAATCAATTCCTATAGCTTTTCGACAGTCGGCTATTGACGACTACAATGACTGTAGCTGTAGCAGAACCTCTCTTTTGGGTGTTGTAAAATTATATTAAAGATGGGTTATCAGGAATATATTTTTGTGGCGAATTTGATTCTATGTAATTTTTGGCGTTTACCGCAATAAAGGGAACTTCGTTTGCGAGACACGAATTTTCAAAAGTCAACCATGCAGAAATCGACCTATAATTAGTAAGGTCCACTGACGTGGCTGCAGTAGTTTAAATACATACCATTACATTATTGTTTTCAATCTTCATGAAACTACGCGATGAGAAACTGAAATAGAATGCCAAATACCAAGTGGTGGGATTCAAATTTTCTGTCAGCCGATTTCATCACACAAATGTCATATTTTTCAGCCAGTTCTGTTACAAAAAGTCATGTTTATTTCAGTAATGCTAACCGGTTCGCTGATCTCACAAAATTCCCTGAGACGGTTCTATAGAACCGGTGCGAACCGGATGAATCCCACTACTGCAAATACCCTGCTCGCGAATATGCGGTGATTGCAAGTTCCGGAACGAGTTCTCAGCAGGGCTGCCAGTTTTGCCTGACTAAAAACATCTAGGTGACCTCAAAAACAAAACATTCAAAAAATATATTTAAATGTGAAGTTACTAACTAAATTTATTAAAAATTAACTGAACAAAAGAGTACAACTAGTTCATTATATTGCATCATATAAGATATTGAAGAAGCTAACATCATTTGAAGTTGATGATATTGCCACAGTTGCTTCATAGGTGTTTTTATATATTTCTGCTGTACCTGTTTTTTAAAACCGAAACAGGTTACTCATAAGACGTGCAACATTATTTATTTCGAATTAGGTTAAATTTAATAATAACTACTATTGCATTCAGTAAATCTGTCTCCATGCAGTTTCATAGTTTGTTAATTCTACAGTTCATTGCACTAACATTTTTGTCAAAATCAGCATTTAAATTAAGTAGTAACATTGCTTGCTTAGCACACTGGAAGAATTTCAGAATTGGATTCCCTACAGCTCCAGAGGCATTTTGAAATCTAACTTCAGTCCAAAACATCTCTGCCCTACGCTACGTTTTGACGTTAAATCAAAACGTATGAAAGCAATAATCTGTATTCAAATTTGGTGAAGTTATTTTCTGGCGCAGCAGAATGCCTAGACTAAAAGATTTTCAAAAAACATTCTCACCATTAATGCAAAAATGTGAGATTCGAGAAAACACTCCCGCCTCTTTTCAAAATAAAAATTTAGTAATTACCCAGTACAGATTGCGATGAAATTTTCTTTCTTTGCCGGTAAACGGTTTCAGAATAGGCATGCTATGCGGTTGTGAAGTGATTTGTCCTTTAAATTTAGTATGTTTCCCAGTTTGACGCATCTATTGGCCGTATTTCAGTCTAATTAGTGTTCATATAGGTATGTATATTTTAAGATATATTGCTTACTGTTTTATTTGCATTTTATCACTCATACTTATGGCTGTTCTTTTAGTCCTTGCCAATTTGACACTATCAGTCTATCACGGATACTAAAGCGTATTGTGAGCCTAACTACTGTTCAATGCATCCACGCCTTGCCAGCTGTGAATGAAAAAAAAATAAAATACAATTTCAGTCCAATTAGGGACTCTTAAAGATTGTGGCGCTAATACCCAGCAGTGGGATTGTTCATTCTGTCAGTTGGAAGTAGACCACTTAGTCATAGATTGAAGACTTCCATTTGCTGTCCTAATGGACAAGACGCGGCGTCAGTTACGCCTTTCAACTCGATGTTGTATTAGAAAATCACATCCTGCGCATCCTAATCTCACTAATACAATAAACTGAAATGGGAGTAAACGCATTTTAAAAGATATCTAATAATGAGAGATGCCGACTAGTGAGTTATTTGTCAATATCTAAGAATTTCAACTCCTTAAAACTGTACGGTATTACAAAATTGGGACTCGTCGCCGAATGGTCATGTTCAGGCATTGGAACAAATTGAAAACTTATTTTATGCCCGTCCTGGTTAGCGCAGGGACAAGACAGTGTGTGATAGGTCTTGACGTTTTTGCGCTAATCCAGGGATTCTCAATTCTCTCGTTCACCCCTTCGCAAATTTCAAAAGAAAAATTTAGATCGTGAATTTTTTTTTTATACGTTTCGAGTTTTGACATACAAATACCTGTGACTCATGGGGAGGCTTTGCCAAAAAAAAAAAATGTGGAATGGTGGATGTTTATGTCTAAAACACATACAGGTAAAGCACGCAGCAATGCTCTCATTTTTCTTCATAACTAGAAACCAGGCAGTCTTCTCTGTAGTGAAACAATAATGGCATTTATTACGCAACATCGGACGTTGCAATTTCAAAAATCTGTTACCTGATCAACGGTTGCATTTGATCAGTAATTGTAATGAAAAGAAATGGGTAGCCTATTCGTGTAGCAGATAAAAGTGTTAATTTATGGCTTGCAAAATTTATCCCCAAAGAAGGGGAAATTTACCCCATTCGAGAACCCCTGCTTTGATCTAAGATGAGATAAATAAGAAATCCTTATGGAACTTATCAACATTTCTCAGAATGCGAAACTGCTGATCGTCTAACACTCTAAGCGGCGTGATCAAAAATCTGTGCTGGAGTCGGAGGTGACTCTACTACTATAGAAAACCCAGTGAAGGATGTGGGTCACGATATTTGCCTTAACCCTCTATTTTATTTATTGTTCATGTGAACACTTTTAAATAAAATTGAATAAATGTGACTATATTGAAAAATATCTGTATACTATTCAGGTAGAAACAAATAATGATTCTAGGAGACCTCGGATAGTTCAATCAACGGAATGTCAAAACTAAAAAAATAAGCTTGTGGGGAAAGAGCATGCATAAAGGAAAATCGTGAAATCACCCACTGTCCAAATGCTCGAAGACGTCTTTACAAAAAATGACTTTCTTACGTAGCGTGACTCGACCAGCTGTTTTGCCCCAACAGAGCGCTGTACAGGATACAGGTGATTTTCTTTACCGGAATTGACCTTGCAAAGTTTAGCTATAGTTTTTTTCTTTTATTGGAGAATATGTGTTTCTTCTTTAAAAAAAAATGGAAACGAAAATTGTGTCCTGCTGTTTTTCCACAAGGCTGTTATTTTTGGTTGAAAAAATAGCTTTTATTTTATGTTCGAACCGAGCTCGAATCTAAGGAAAGCAGGATTCACGTTTCCGTTGCAATCGCCTGTTTTGGAATTAAATTGAATTTTAACGAGGATATGTTTTTACATGTTAGGCCCTACTTTCAATTTAGGTTAAACTGAAAGTAACTGATGAAATAGCAAAATTGAAACTAACGAAATGCAAAAAAACAAAGCATAGTCTCGATCTTATTGTTATGAATTATTAAATATTTATTTTTCACTTGTGCAGCCTTGAGATCAAAAAGTGTCTAGGTTAGAAAGTTTGTGAGAGTTTACAAAGTAATGAACTCAAGGCCGTTATGTGTTTTGTTGTTTTCAGTTGTGACCTATGATGTATTGAAGAATCTCTACAACAGTGACAAGTATGTCGTCAAGATCATACGAGGAAACATGTATTCCGTAAACAAGTAGCATTTAGACTTTTAAATTTTTCAGTTTTGTTGCAAATAAACAATAACATGTTTTCATCGCGCAAGTGTTGATTTACCTCCTTGGCTAGAAGTTTAGATTCTTTTACAAAATAAAAGTGACTCATACTATAGAGCAGGGGTTTCCAAACCAGTGGTCGCTGCCCCAAATTGGGTCGGAGTGATAAGAAGGTAAGATCGCAAATAGGTCATCGGGTCGCTGAGGTATGGTAGAGGTGACCGTACATTTGAACCCACGTACATTTAACCCATGTGTATATCCGCGGGTTCAATCTATGTGCGGGTGATAAAACCCATGGGTTAGGGTTAGTATGGGTTCAAATATCCGTAAAACAAAAATAAATTCACAAGTGCAATAGTATGCAGGTGCAATTGTCGTGGGTTCAAATGTAATGGAACCATGGTAGACGATGGATGTACGAATCCGTCTAAGATTTGACAAACCATGTTAAATTTAGCAGTTTGTACCATGGCTTACGGTAAAACAGGCCCATAAGCATCGCTCTATGCTTATTCTATAAAAAATGTAGGTGCTTATTGTGACATCACTGTTTGGTTTTGGTTTGGCTTATTTTACTTAATACTACCACATGACCAAACTCAAAAGTCCAGTGAAAGAAGCTCCGAAGTTTCATGTAAATATTTATATTGACCTGGGGTCGCACTGGACACTTGAAAGTTGTCTTTGGGGTCGTCCTGAAAAAAGCTTGGGAACCCCTGCTATAGAGAGAGCCAAAGCACTGGATAAATTACTTTTACTATGTTTTATTATCGATGATTCACTCCCACATATAGTTTCGTATATTAATGCTCACACAGCTAGTGATCTTGGCTTAAAAGACATGTGCCTTTCATTTCAGCGTTGATCTTTACGTAGTTAGGTCATATATTTTGTCAACATTCCTTGAACTATTACATTTTTAGGTATATTGATTTCCCCGCAACAAAAACAAAAAACACGCAAAACAACACAATGAACACACAGTAGATTGGGAAAACTGGCCAAATCTCTGATAAGGTTTAAAACACGCAGAAACACATGTGCCGGTTTACCCATAATACACCCACAAACAAATATTAAAAAATAACGCTAAGCGTTCAATTATTTCTTTCTATTAGTTTCAGAAAATGTCACATTTTAATTTTTATCGTGTGAAATTTCCTTATCGTGAATTCGATTCCCTTTGTTTTATAATTATCCTAATCCTCCCACATTAATTTGCATAATCATTTATAGATGTTGAATGCCACACATTACGTGTTATACGTTGACGTCATTTACGCATTGGAGTTAATGACTGACGATATATAGTTACCAGACCAAAATGGCCTATATCTCGTCATCTTCGAAATGAATACGTGGTTTGTTCAATTCAATTATTGGAAGGCAAGAATTTGGTTTATATCAAAAATTTGATGGATTGACCGCGTGGCTGATTTTTCCGCATTACGGGATAATAATTTATCATGAAATGGGGTGAAGAAATCAATGCCAATGACCTTAAGTTAGTTCAAGATAAACGACAGGAGGAATACCTTGAATGCCGCTCATTTCAATCCAATTACGCCAATTAACTTTCTCGATAAGAATGATCTATTTTTTATCGCTGACTCTGAATATATGTACGCAGGAGAGGCAGGAATATCTCATATCAAAACGAATCTAGATATATATAATACCGAAACGATAGCCAAGGAGTCGAAGCATATCACTTAATTGACGTCAGAATGATATATCAATATTTACAGCATTACTGAAAATTTGGATATAATACAAAGCTATTAATATTCGATAAACGGGTTATATGTTTTTAGTATTTTCGTTTGGCGTAAAATATGTCACATACCAATTTTTACGTCACACATAATCAGGTAAATGTCATCTGAAACAATAAACCGAAGGTGTGCAATCCGCGTTATTTCTGTCTCCCTCAGGATAATGCATGTATCTTTTGCCTTGCATTATTTTTGTTACGATTATTTAGTATAACACAATCTGTATTTATATCTGATTGGCATAAGGCTGAATCGAATCAAATTGATATATACGAAGCATACATATGTTAGGCCTATAAGATTTTTATATATCTTAACGACCAAGATATTTCGTAATTTAATTAAATATATTTGATATAAAAATAACACTTCAAGAATTATATATATAAGTGTATTACGGAAAATCAATTTTATTTAAAAGTCCAGAGGTGCTTGTGCTGATAGATTTAAAACTTTTAAAGTTAAGAAAACTTGAAGCTCTCAGTATTTTATTTGAGGGGAATTTGAATAGGGCAGCTGATAAGAAATCTTCACTACACTGGTGAACCCTAATTTTTATCAATTTGGTTCGTGTTAATTTCATATGATGCCACACTTTTCATGTATTTCATATTTAAACAAGATAGTAACTGCACATTTATGGACACGAAGATCATCTAACATAGCACCGAGTTTCCATACGCCATAAAATTGTTCTATAAATCAAAATAAAACATGGAAACTTTGGGTGAAACATCAGAAAATTTAAAAAATGTACTAGCCTTCCAGCGACTTCTTACATCTTTGGGCACTGAAATTTGAAATCGATTGCTGCATTCGTTTCGAAGAAAAGTGATTTTTTCCAACAACAATCACCATAATAACATCAACAGTAAATAGAACAACCGAAACAACATTTCGTGTCCAAAAACGTTTTGATTTTTATTCTACAGAAAGCATACGTCTATGTCAAATAATGTTCCCTAGTTGCATAATTCAAAAAAGGCATAAAACATTCTTTTCATTTTCCACAACTTTGTAATTATCTCTTATTTTGTACTGAGTGACTGACCATTCGATTTATTTTTTATTAGTTTTTATATTACTCGAGTGTGATTATTTAAATTGTTTATAGTAGCACTATACAAATTGATAAGGATACGCTTTGTATCTTGTAAAATAGTTCTCGGCTAAAAAAAAATAATGACATGATGATAATAATATGATGTATTTATACATAATTAGAGTATATTTTTTACTACATGGGTTCTTAACCCCCATTTTCTTGTTAAAGTAATATTTACACCAACATTTCGTATATTCTCACTATGCAAATACCTGTAATGATACAAACGGTGCGTGAAAAGAAATTTGGAAATTTGAAAATTTTATATTTGTAAGTAACTGTTAATGTAGATGGCCAAAGTTAATTGTGTGGAGTTCACTTAACTACAATTAAAGCAGCACGCAATAAGGCTATTTTATATTGCAAACTAAAAAACAGACAAACTCTTTGCTATGTGGTGTACTGATATTTGTTTATGAACAGAAATAGAACCGACAGTTTATTCTTGTAGAAATACGTGAAATTCTTTTGCACAAAATTCACCATTTACCCCCAAAGTAGGTCAAATTTATCTCCAGGGGGGCAAATTTTTACCCAGTTAAGGACCTCACTTCTGGTATAAAATAGAGATACAATGAAGATACAAATAAAAGAAGGAATTCCCCAAAAAAACAGTATAGTACAAACTGCATCATTACATTATTCAAGTTGAAAATCAATCAAATTGATTTCTTATGAGTATTTTACTCAAAAATGCTTGATTTAGATATCGTGCAAATCCATATCATTCGAATAAAGCAAGTTTACCACCATCAATTAATCATATAATGTTACTTCGTGGGGTCAGTAAGAAAATGTTTTCCGATCATGCATCTGTCTCTCAAGCCTTCCTTTTCTGTAATAATACCGAAAAACTGGCCTTTGTCGCCTACATATTTCCATCCGATGTGGTTCTCACATTTGACACATCTACAAATGATCCATTTATATCCTGTAAACCAGGTTGCCCACCCAATTGCCTGATAAAACAAATTGAAATAAAGCAATTGAATTCATAGCAAAAATATAGTGGTCATGCATTCCAAGCTGGCACAGTCAATCTAGTGTCGTATGTCTAGATCATATTTTAGCATATTGAGCAATAACAGTTATCAAATTATATATTGAATAAATAAAAACCAAGTTAACGAATAGTCTTGACTATGCATGGAGTATCCTAGTTAATGATGAAATGTATTATATTGAATATGCGAATCGTTTGCGGTAACAATCCAAGAACTTTGAATTCACCTAATCATTTAAATAGAATTTCCAGATCGTACTGTTTACCTCGCTAACTTCTTTGTAAGACTCGTCAATGATCTTGTTAAAAGTAACAATATTGAAGCAATATCCATGAGGGTTTTTCACGGAATAAACACAAACTTGTGGTTTTCCGCAGATTGTCTGGCGTTCTCGTTTAAATTCCAAGTCACAATGAATGTCTGCCAAATCTTTTCCACCTGCTATCTCGCGTTTGCAATTTCCACACCTGAACACTGCGATTGATAATACAAATGTGTAGATATACAGTATTGAAGATTTTAAACGAAATATATTCCTATGAAATTCTAATTACTCACTTGCATATTCTACAAACGCACTATTGTTGTAATGGTATTTATTGACATTTATAGTGACATTCTCATTTCCCATGAAAACTTTCTTTCCATTAACATCTTCTTGAATATTGAAGGATTCTGTCAATACGGTAAACATTACGTTGAATGTCATATTAAAACTAATCTTGCCTTCTCCTGGTACGAAATTATAAAGAACTTGATTAGGATTTCATAATTAAAGGTTTGTTGGAAAAACATCTTTTTCGATATAAGTAGCATGCGATTTTCATTGTAAGATATTGAATGTGGGATAAAATTTCGGGGGGAATTTTTTTCATCTTATATCAAAACACGTTGTTGCAAAATTGAAAATACCGTAGCAACTCACGATGCCGTCCGAATGTTCCTGAACTCCACGAAGATATATTCTTATCGCTATTTTTTCGAGACATGGGCAAGGATAGAGTATTTCTATCAATTTCAAATCCGTTGTCATTGGTTATGGTATACTCCAACTTATCACCAGGACTAAAATCCTTTGTTAAATGAACATTTTTGTTTTGTTTGATTAACTCTTTTGTGATGGGGACTTTGAATTCCTTTGGCGTGACGCTGTGATTGGATCGAATGTGACAAGTCATAGCAGATCCCAGATTTACCTTCAATTGATTTTGACAACCAATACAGATATAGTTTGGTGGGAGATTATCCCCGTATGATTCAATACCTTCTGAAATTCCAAAGTAAAAAATAATTCTGTTTTCGTCAGAATCGTAAAAAATGTAGTATGTTAGAAGCACCCCTGCTTTTTTGTTGAACAAGGTCGAGAAAAAGGAACTGAAGTGCGGCAAGTGCCACGTTTCCAATTCGACCAAGTTGGACGCTTTTGTTAAGGCATGCTTGAAAGTTAAACAGTTCTCCCCCAGTACATTAACACATTTTGATAGATTTTGGAAACGCAAACCCCTCCAGGTACGCAACCTCATTTTCACGGGCTTGTGAAAATTTAATCCTGATGCTTCCATTATTACAATAGGTGTTATCGGGATTTCTGACGACTGGCTGAAATCGGGAGCAAATATTGTAGCGGTGATCTTGACATTTTTGTATAGCGCACCGTTGGGAATTATCACATCGCAGTAATTTTTGATTCTTAGTGTTCCACCATCCGGTCCAACAATTTTGGCTGTAAAATGAATAACTGCAATGAACTTGATGCCGTGGTCGTCATGAGATTTTAGCACATAACTAATAGGATTACCAATCCTTATACAAATACTTTTGAACGAACGCAGCAGTTACTGATAATTCGGTGATGAGAAAAAAGACTGATAAACCATTTGCTAAACGAATAATGTACTACTTGGTTATGCATAAAGTACACATGCAGCATATCATAAGGTTCTTACCGCGTGAAGTAAGCTTTTCTGTTGTTCACATCTTTCCGATCCACTATTCTCTTTATACTTTGTAAAATTTTATGATGAATTTCAGTAACTTTGGTAAAGCTGAAAAATCGAGACTGCGCTTTTACAAAACAGTTAGTAATACATAACAATTGTATTTGAACAACAATATTCGCCGTTTTCGACAATTAGGGAGGCGCCCGAGAAAAAACAAAACTATTGAACGTTTACACCCAAAATACGAAGTCTTTACTAATCCGTGAACAGCATTGTTGCTGAAACAAAATGTCACTATGACTAACTGACTTTGCGAATATATTTGGCTCTAATTCATTATAACTGTTCAATTTGCAACATGAAAACATCTTCAAATTAGTCGTCCTTTTCACTCAATGATAAATATCGTGCTAATACTAATATATAGGGGAGAATGAAGACAAAATGTTCTTTGTCTGCTGCTAAAACTTTTTTTCTTAAAACAACTTGGTAATTTCCCGTTTTCTTCACTTGGGCTGGGAATAGGTAATGGGTTTGAGGGACAGAAATTCCAAGGCCAAATATAGATTATATTGCATTAACATTCCGGTAAAAACATATTTGTAGCAATTTGCAAGTTGTGCTTGTTAATTTTAGTTGTCTAAAAACAATTTGAAATTTCATCAAAATCATCAATGAACTTTTTTTAGATACATGGGACAATTTCCGATTTTTATTTTGCCATTGAACATTCACACATAGACACACACAGAAATATGGCTAATTTGTTTGGTGTATCGCTGCAAAAAGCAAAAGAAGGATTATGATTGATTTCAATATTGTGTTGGTTCATTGTTACGTACACATTTGTCGTAGAGAGGTTTATTCTTGAAATATTCATTGTTGTACAGGAAAATGAATATATAGTAAGTATTAGCAATACCATGACCCTAATATTTGATTTGTAGCACCATTGTACTATGTCTATATTCCTACTCAACTGAGATAATGAAATCATATGACGTCACATTGGTACTACGCTGCTATATGTTCTTTGATATATATATTTTTTTTCGACCAATTGTGATATTCTTTTCATTAGAACAGTGAGATGATATTCGCCTTCTGATTAGTGTGTGATAGCGTGCAAAGTACACAAAAACAAAGACGAGACGTTCTTTAGTTTCGAACACTGCTTATATTTTTGTGCACAAAAACTTGGTAATTTCCCCTTTTTTCACCCTGGATCTAAGGGGTATGAATTTCAACGCTTGACGTAGTCCTATTGTGCTAACATTTCAGTAAACACATCAATGCAACCTTGATAAAGCCCGATGAGTCTAATCCAACTTGTAGTCGCTTACGATTTCTTATATAATAGTTGATGAATCTTTTCAAAAATATTTATTACTAATGTGTTTACATTGTTGTCTAATAACCGCTATTTCAAGTTGTTTCACTCAAAATTCTGCAAGGAATTTTTTTAAGAATCATTTCTAATTTCATCATTGAACAACAAAGCAAGAAAGAGAAATAAAGTGGAAATGTTTGGACAAATGAAAATGGTCTAAAAAACTAAACTAAGATGTTACACAATTTAGTCACTACACACAAAACAACATAATCTGTTAGAACACGTTTGTCGTGAATATCAAATGACCTGCAAACGTTAGCAACTTCGGTAAATCTCCAACAAAACTAATAACCAATATATAGATAGTAACTGGTTCAAATTGTACCGACTCATCTCTATTCAGTTGAGGTTATGGAGTCCTACTATCTCCAGGGTGGATAATATTGGCAATAATAAACATGTGGTATAAATACTTAACACTCCAATAAATCAAGAAAATAAGGTTGCAAATAGTAAACAAGCAAATTGGGTGAGGATAATTTTGAAACCAGAACTATGAAGCCAAAACCCGGAGCCATGCCATTAAGTTTTGTTGGAGTTCGCGGAAATTTTAGTGGTTCGAGCTCTTAAGTGAAAATTATTTTATGCTTGAAATCGGTCAATTACAATATTGCACAAGTAAAATTACTTCGATTGAATAGGTAGCTTTTCCAACTATTTCATTGATGATTTAATTCCCCTGATCAAAGTCCAGCTCGTATTGCGTATAAAATTTTACTCGATGAGTATATAAACAGATTATACAGTTATCGTCACCCTTCTCTGCGTATATGCGACATTGGTTTATGAATAGTTTTATTTTTCCTTACTTCGTTCGTATATCTTCAACAGCACTCAGAATTACGTCATATATCGTCAGCTTTATGTAAACTCATTTTTATTGTGGTTACTATTTTCATTAACGTCTTGGTTTGATTTTAGCGTCTTATTTATGAAATTTTGGTACGCAAATGACAAATATATTATTGGTATTTTTCAACATGATTCATTACCGCTCCACGCTTTAACGCGTGCATTTTTGCTCACACAAAACACGAGGCAATTATATATATATATATCATAAGCACTTCGCATTGAATGCATTCCGTCCAGAACAAATTTTAATCAAACTTTATAGAAATATAAGATAGTACGTTTAGTATCCAATATACAGCACAAATATTAATCGCTAAATAATGAACCGTACGAAAGTTCCGCGTGCTCTATTGCAAGTGGTTACTATCGAGGCGACTAACGTCACAAAACATAACTTCGATCGGAAGGAAAGTATGGCGGAGTCAAAGTAATCTGCTACATATTCTGAATTACCGGTAACACACAGATTGATATTTTGTAACACAGTTTTAAGTTGGTCCACCAAAGAGCTGTATATATATCTACGCGATTTGAGAATATGGAAAAAATACCAAAAAAACTTTTCTTGAATGCCTGTCGATTTAATGTTGCTTCCAGATACCAGTACTTACTCGTAAGCAACTATGGGGAAATTACTCAGTGAGAGAGAATTTAAAATAAATGGGTTCTTGAAAGAAAACTTTTAGTATGTAAATCATAACAAGGTTTACAACAGTCACAGGATTAACAGTCAAAATGTAACGGAAGTAATGCGTAATACTGTGGAATATCTGTCATCTACACAGTGAAATAATTTTAATTTATAACGGATGAATGTATTTTATAGTTTTTTACACCACACGAAGAACACTGTCCCAGAATCGTGGAATATTTGGATAACAGTTTCAGAACTTCGTTCCTACCAGAAAGGGACCATGCGGTAATTCAGATGAAGTTGTGTAAACTAAAGCATGAAATTCGCACCCCGATAATATGAGCCCCTATTACAACTGCTGTTCACCATCTTTCTACATAAGATTTCTCATTGATATTTCATGCAAATATCCAAAGAAAGTAACAGCATGAAACTTCGTTTTTCGTCATATAAATTGGTCACGTGAAGAGTTAAATAACAAAACAATGATACATTTAGAGATCCATAGGAATTCAATATCAACATATTTCAAATTTAATGTTAACAGCAATTAAATTTCATATTCATTGCATTCAGTGAAACTTACTTCCATTGTTTCATATAATAACTACTATTTACGTATGCAAATGCGTAATGCGGTCTTGTTTCGGTCGCATAGAACATGAAAATTACGCAAGCACTTGTATATATTGTTGTATCGCTTGTATACGTATTGTTGAAACATATGTAGATAATATTTGACTAAGAAAGGTATCTTATATATTTCAATTTCTGACCTAATTATACTCCCTTATTTTAACATCAGACTAGTATGAAAATGAATATATTTTTGTAGCATTTCCTTTTCGGACTCAATACCAGCTCAAGCCTATCATCAGCTAAGAATAAAATTATTATCGTTGGAGCTGTTGACGTTGTCAATATCTGTATTGATAACTGTATTATCCGTTTAAAATTTCCAATTCTTTTTCAACATTATCGTTGAATGTCTTGGTGATTACCTTTTGACTCTTATTCTAGTTGAATAAATGTTTGAATGAATTTGAATATACAAATAATATGCAAACTATATCTTTGTTTTATTAAGATATATATACAGAAGATAAGATCAGAAGATCTTTACAGCGTAATATCGGGCTTCAGTTACGAAGGGATTGACAAGTTTTGTGTCCATTCTAATTTATTTATTCATTAATTTATTCCACATTGAATGCCATTTTTTATTCTCAACCTATCATCGACATCATTATATCAGTGTAACTTTTGGGCTTGAATTGAGCTGTTTTTGGTCCATGATTGACAGAATATTCTGCTTATTTCTAATCTTATTTATGGATATGAATAACCCAGATATTCAGAACTATTATAATTATTTTCGTCCACGAACTGCATTTTAAAATAATTGTTTGTTAGTTTATAATCGCAGATTTTTTCAATTTGTAGCTAACGATGCCCGGTGCGGGTTTCAACCACAGAATTTGGCAAATGTTTTTGGATTGTATGTTGTCATTTATAATCCTCATCTGTGATGTGGAACAAACGTTGAGAATAATTGTATATTGAGCGTGAATAGAGAATAGGGTGTATAAAGCATGGAATTGTGCTAAGGTATCTTTTGAATTTCATTCATAATTCAATTTGATATACATGCGATTAAGATGGTCATATCAAAAGCTAATTTCTGGGAATAGCCTCACGATCCAACGCCTACAATATACGTTGCAAGCATAGCAAACAGATTTAGGTATTTTCCTAGTGGTATTGAAGTTGAGAGAAAAAGAACAAAGATACAGAAAATGCACTAATAATGATGAAATATTAAGTCTGCTGTGAAATGGAATATTTTCACTTGATTGTCAAAATAGAGTTAAATTTATCAAGGTGATGTCTCATCTTTTATCAACAGTTCGATTTGTTAGTTTTTGTATTACTAATGCGTTTAGTACAGTTGATGAGTAGCAATTTGTGATATATATGTTATCAGAGATGGGGAATCAAACACTAATTGTTTGCGTATAGTAAAAACAAAACAGGTGCTAAATGTGAACCGTGTCAAACTCTATAAGTAGATACAGTGCATGTCTTCCGCGTTACTTATTTACCTATCAATGCTAGTTCTTTTAAAACTAGGTTACATTTGAGTATATCCTAGTTTGAACTGTTTTTGCACCTTATACTGCATTTGCATATTCAAATTTTTAGTAGTATCGAAATCTTCCGAGAAGTCAAGAAAAATTTTGATCCATTGGTAATCAAAATATATGTTTTTCACACTATGCAAATTGAACATACGAAAATCTTTGTGGCATGACTCAACTTTTACCTTAAGACTGATTTCGATTTGACTAAAAACTCCACAATATATGCAAATTATATACCAAAAGCCTTCTATTTATTTATAGATTTATTCCCTGTTGAATATGAGTATCGGTCATCTTGATTTCATTAAGTATCTTCCTTGATGTCCCATTTCTTTGATTTTCATTCCTACTATTTATTATGAGAATTTGTAAAACATTCCTAAATTGGAATCAAGCACTCGTCCAAAGCAAGCATCTCCTTAATATTCCAAAGGAAGTATATTCGCCGCAAAATCTTGGGGAGTTCTCCGGTAATGGCTTGTATGAGCAAATTGATACAAGCAACTCGAATTACCATAGACTCTTGCCATATCTTCGATATCAAGCATATAGATATAAATATCACAGCAAATTAATATTCCGGAAGGCTTCAAATGTCAATATTACGCAACATATTATGAATACATTGAAGTAAACGTAATACTGACATTCCAGATAATTGACAAAAAGGAGGACGGGCAACGAAAAAGCAATTTTTATTCCTCAATTAATGTAATCACTTATGCCAAATTATCCCCCAGGAAACATATTTTCACATGTCATTACGTTTTCTGTTATAAATCGTGTATTTTTAAAATAGTGACACTGGGGTATTTCATTGTTACACCATAACATATTTTGTTCACAAATATATTTACGACTCGATTATTTACCCACACTAAAAAATATAATACGTCTTTCGGAAACTGACGCATGAAAGCTATAAACAGTCACTAAATGACGAACGTTAATAAATGCACAAACGCATAAAGCACGGAATTACAATTATGTTATAACGCTGGTTCTCAATATATCTTAACTATTTTTGTTTTATTTAAATCCGTGTTCTTTTTATTAATTTTTTAATCATTGTGAAATATGCTCGCGAATTGATTTGAGTGATTAGAAAAGCGGACTCTAACGCGACTATACCCGACTAAGGTTGAGAAACTGAAAGCCTGATGCCCGGCGGGAGGTCAGTGACATGGACACGTGTGCAGCTTCTGAAGGCTATGAATAGGCCACAACTTTTTATTACATATAGATTCAAATTGTGGCCGCTTCAAGTATCCAGCTGCATGTTGCATGGCCGATCATATATATAGCATGTACAGACAACATACCGTGTTTCCCCGAAAAGAGGCAGTGTCTTATTTCAATTATCTTTCGAAAAAAAACACTAGGCTAAATATGAAAACCGATATCCATTTACTTAAATTACTCGTTTTCCTCTCTTACACGTTTTAGATTAATCATTTAAAACGTATGGGAGAGATTTCTTGCTATCGACCAGGAAAAAAAAATTTGCGTTATTGACTAGGTCTTATTTCAAAAGGAGGGCTTATATTAAAATCACTCTTAAAATAAAGGCTAGGTCTTATTTTCGGGAAAACACGGTAGTTCACAACTTAGCTTTAAAACCAACGGGGGAAAACTTTTGCACCTGACAAAATCACGCAGAAGGCCGACTGTCACTGATTCGTATCCTGATGCGGCAGATGTAACGACTTTTACTGTCACCGTAAAACGTTAGTTGCCTCAGACAAAATTCCTGACCCACAGCAATGGAAGTTACCCCGTTACCCCGACCTTTGACCTCAAAAGATTTTTTGTTGCTTTCAAAGAGTATTTTCGAGAGTTGCGGCTTTCCAATTAAGTAACATGTTCGAAACCATTTTTTTTTCATTAGAAAAATAAAAAACCACGTGCCGCTTACAGGTACAGATAGCTTTAGCCTACCAGTAGTCTGTCGCAGCTAATTTTTCTTTGTTGCAACTAAACTAAAGATCCTCGGAGTATATAATAAAAATTAAAGTATTTCATTCACAACAAATTTTTGAAAACTGACGAACAACACTCAAAACCGCGAAAACAAGCCAATGCTTACAACCATACTTGAATATCAGTCTGAACGAAAGATGTGTCGCAGCATTGATACCTTAACAAGTTAAGTCATCAATGGTCGCAGCGACTGCACAAGTTGCCATTGTTACGCCATCATTGACTTATTGCTGATTGAATAAATAGAAGTCCATTATTTCAATCCAAACCAGTAATGGACATCCTTGCACTATTATAATATGAAAGTACACTAAATATAACAGCAGAAGTGCTCCGAGTCCTACGTAATCAGAAAATGTCAATCATAAATATTTAAATAGGTAAGTTTTATTGTGTGTTTGATCAGTTGCGTGCACTGTTAAACAAAAAAGACAATCTGATTCCCGAAAACCGACTTTCCAGATTTGGAAGCAATATCTCGAATAATATTTCAGAGTTTTGGTAAAATTCAATTATTTAATCGCATATGTTGTTGCAATATTATTTGTATCAACATACAATGCGTTTCCTAATTAATAACAAATTATTGAAGACAGTTACAAACAAGTACAGCAAGATTACGTTGATTTTTTTTGTGCAAAAGTTTATGAAATTAAATTTTAAAATCTTCTAGACAAATCTAACATAAACTGAGTCTATTATTACAGACTCATATGTCTTGATCGATTGGTAAACATGCACAGAAAAAACGCCTTTTGGGAACACGGTTAGATAAATTTGCGCTGCAGTATTTAAATGTTGAATCATTTTGATTCTCATTTTCATAAATTGGAAATGAAATTGTGTAAGAACATTCTCTCAAAGATGTATCAATGTTGTTGCAGTTATTTATATTTATTGCAGTGTATTTCGCAGTCGTTCCTTTCCTGTTCGGCGACGGAGACCGATCGCGTGATTTTCCGCTATGGAGAATATCGTGCAAAAATTGCCGTGGCGATCTTCGTCCTGGACTGCTACATAGATCATAATATTTCGAACGAACGAAACGGGCGTAAGAATCGTTTTCCATGATGTTGAAAACATATCTTTGGGCTCCAGTAAAAGTATCGATACTTGATGTAGTGTCGGTAGCCATATGTTGAATGATTTGTTGACGAGTAAAATGATCGAGGTTTATCTGCGGAACAAATTGCAAAATATAATGAATGATAGAATATTAATAATTTAAATAATAAAAAGCAAAAGACGAGCTAAATTACCTGATTAAGAGCTCCTGGAGATATATATTCTTCGTAAATTTCGCGCATCCTTTCCCGTCTTGCTTCGTTATTTTTAATTTTTCTGTATTCTTCAGCCGCTATCCAGAAATCAAGATTTTCAACGCTAAATTCTGATTCCAGGAATATTCGAAATCCTACTTTTACTTCTGAACAGACAAAATTAAAATGCATAATTGGGAAAAGGGAAGTAATCGGTATTATAAAAGCCTTGTGAGTATGATTTAATATTTACGCGCACAGATTTAAATAAAAAATTATTAATGTGGGGTAGGCTTGCACGTAATTTACGGATTTACGGAATTACGGAATTATTTCGAGTTACGGAAGCGAAGTTACGAATTACGTAAATTCGTAATTATTGGTCGAGCGCTTTCGCGATTGAAACGAGCTCTCTTCAGAGCAGTCAATTCCGTCGATTGTAAAAAATTAAAGTTTAATAAGTAGAAGAAGTTAGAGTTCCGGTATTCGCAGCCGTTTTTCTCTCTCTTGTTACGCAGATGGAGAAGGCATAACGCGTTGCCATTTACTAACCTATTATCAACTTATCTAGCATGGCAAATGTACATATTAAGCGTAGATATGGGATAGAATTGTGTTGAGACCGATGGACGCCAACACACCTGGTTTCAACTTTTTCGGGTGAAATGACTAAAGAATGTAAGAGATCAACTTACCAAACATGGTCTATTTGTGAATGCCGTGATAATTAATGTCGCGCTTATCAAACAGCAATATGACGACGGAAGAGAAATTGCGTAATGAACCAACGCAACTTAGTCTTTTCGGCATCGGTAAAGCGACTCAAACGGCAGAGAAACAACAAAAAGACGGGATTTCCCATATTTATTCTGCTCGAGATCCATTTTCTATTACAAAATCTTGATGTTCTGTTACCGGTTTTATCGTTATATATCTGTCCGGACTTGGACTTGGACTTGTTTTCACAATGCCTCGCACTATTTCGGCCAAATATGTCTTTACAAAATCTTTAAGTCTTTACCAAATGCGGCAACTTATTTTGATTTATCGTCGACTCAAATACCACCGGCACTCGACCAAACTTGTGTTAATCTTAGCCGATAGGATTGTCGACTTCAGTTAGAAAAGTAAATTAATATTTTCGTGAGTGCAAAATAAATGTCACAAAATGCATTGTTTTGCGATATAACTTTGTATTTTCGGAGAAGGCATGTCATATAAGTACGGTATTTAAATTATGCGCAAATAATTAATATTTGATCTAAATTTATCGCAAATAATGTTATAACATTTAGGCCGCGAAATGATTTAATGTTAAATGAAGCATGGTAATCGGAATATCGTCAATAAGTCGGCATCAATAATTATTATAAAATGCTAACTAGGTAGTAAAGTCGGATAATGTAAAAAAACGGTACATAAACAAGTCTTCGTCGCGAGGCAAGCGCAAGTATAATCAAACGAGAGAATACGCTCGTCGTTGATTTATAAATTAGAAACCCGGAATTTTTATTATACGTTAATACGATTTTAAAAAAGTCAACTATCGTTTCATAAATATATTACCACTTACCAGTGTTGGTAATGATAAAATTGATCGCATAAAATTGGGTGATAAAGTTGATAAAGGAAAATCAAAGCTAACACGAAAGATAAGAATCAGAATAAAATTAATTTGAATTCACTCCTTGATATTTGTCTTTAGCATCTGTCGCCGGCGTGTAGTACTGGCGGAAATATGAAAACCAAACTGTCCCAACTGTCGATGTCCCATGCGGAATAGAAGTGGATTAAATTGGTTGTTATGATAGGTTTAAAAGTGTGAAAAAAAATATCGCAATTACGGGGTCATTACGTAATCGATTTGGCCGTAATTACGGAATTGATTTTTGTCAATTACGTGCAAGCCTAATGTGGGGGTTGATTTAAAAGTCGATATAAAAATGATAGCTATAGTTTGATATTAGTGTGAAAACTTACTTTTATCGTTCAAAGCTTCAGTCAAGGGCAGTCCATTCTCGGGAACCGAGCTATTCTTTCTCATGCTCATGCTGTTCATTACAACTAGAGATTTTGGTCGCGTTTCGCTCGGTTTTTTAAGTGTTTTCTTTTTTCGAAATCTAACAATTGATGGATTAGGGCTCGTCGATGATGATCTAACATGCCCCTTCTGATAATGCTGTGATGGTTGCAACTTTGTCAAATCCTCACAACTCGCCACTTCGGTTTTCATAATACGCGGGGTAAACGATACCACGGGAGATCCTCTTCTTATTTCTTCTCGTTCGAGGCTATATAAAACAAATCGCAACAGCTGTACAATTAATTTAAAACCTGGATTGGTTGGATCGCCCTATTTATATAGGCGCCAATCTCGAGAGTGATATTCATAATCCAATAAGTATCTCTTTGTATTGTATAAATGAAAATGCCATATTTTGAATTAATATGCATATATATCGTTGGTTTGCGCGTAAGCGGATGTGGTGTGAAATTCTCGACGTCATTTCATATCATTCCTGTTGTTATTCTTTCAATGAGAAAATATTGTATAATCGATAATAAACATCATTCAAACAAAGCGAAGCGTACGTTCGCACCAATCACCATACTGCATAATTTGTGAAGATTATAACATCAGCATATTCATGGCAATTGGTAATCATGACAAAATACGAACTGTTTTAATCTGTGTTCTATGTTTCATAGAACACTACGTAGAAAACCTTGCTAACCAGCGGTGGGATTCAAATTTTTTGTCAGCCGGTTCCTTCACAAAAAGCATATTTTTCAGCCGGTTCTGTTACAAACAGAACATTGATAGTCCCCAGTAAACTAACCGGTTTGCTGATCTCATAAAATTCCGTGAGACGGTTCTACAGAACCGGTGCAAACCGGCTGAATCCCGCCACTGTTGCTTACCCATTGAGAAATGAACGTAAGTTTGGCAAATAGAAACACAAATTTCGGATCACGAAACGTACTTTATTTACACGCTATGCACGGTGTATGGTTTAGAATCACAACCAAGCCTGGCCTGGTTTGTTTCAATTTTTTGGCCACACTTTAAAATTTCAAGAAATGTTTCAAGACTCAAGTCTGGTGCAGGCAACAGCAATTACATTTTTAAGATTGCTTGTAACTGCTCCAAAATTACCACCGACGAATTTTAAAGCAACTGTATATTAGCTCGATAAAATCGAGACAATGTTGAATATATGGAATGAACTCAATACTGATCATGCACGTTCATTAAAACAGTTATTAAAAATAAACAAATTTACAGTTTGAACAAACGGACCGCAACAATGACTCCTGAAGGTAGAATTACCAACGAATGAACTTTTTTGTTCTGTTTTTGGACACATGGATCGGTTTGCTTAATTCCCGTTGGTATTGATGGGGCGATTGTCGGTGTTAGAATAAAAATCGCTTTTCCAGCAACTAATTGATTTCAAATTCAAAGATAAAAAAAAAAGTGGCTGGGTAACTATTACATTCAATATTTTATTTTTTCAAATTTCTGTTGAGCCAGAAGAGACACGATATTTCACAAAAAATATTGCTGTTTTTCTTTAATTGAAGGGTGGTATTTTTTATTATGCATCGCTGGGCCGCGACCGTATTGCTTGTCCGCCAATCTTTTCGGCAAATTCGCTATTCTTGGGCCTTACCGCACCGGTACCGATACAAAACGTTCATATCTATATATTTGAGCATCGCTCTTTTGCTTGAATATAATTAATATCGGTGTCATTTTGATTTTCTATAGGATTCTGCGTAAAAATTTGCGATTGACTTTAGCATGCCTTTCGACCGGTAAATTACTGCCCTGAACGCTCCCGCTGTATTTGTTCAAGTCCATTTACCTTGGCTATTATAGATGAAGAACTCCGCCATGAAATAATAACCAAACACGGGAGTAAAAACTTCGAATGTGTAATACCTGGACAATCTTAACTTATGGCAAAAAACATAAATGAAAACCGTGGAAGTACAAATGAAATAACATAGTGATAAATGCAGACACATGTCAGTCCGACCATTCTATGTCTTACATTGTCCTCAAAATAGGATAAAAATAAGACAGTGTAGGTGTATTGCAAGTCACGCTAAACCCAGTCAAACAGCAAAATGGACCAAACCAAAATATCACGCAATTGGTGCATACAATTAAAACAAACTGGCACAGCTGCACAGATGATTATTCATTCTGCCTGGCGAGTTGATAATTAGCTTTGGATATAATTTATTTTTGACATGAAGTGTGCCTGCCTGTGGATAGTCTTATAAAATAATTGTTTCTCCTGGGATTGCGCTCTTTGTTTATTTGGAAAAGTCTGGACTAATCAATATCATTACACATGAAGTTGGAAGAATTGGCTAAAAATATAATGTTTTTATAATTTCAAATTAAATCTCTAAAAAATATATTGGTATGCGGCCAACTCGGTGATCGGTTAGGGGTTACAGGTACCTATAGGGGAGTGCCAAACTTTTTTGCTGTCCAAGTTGGGTTTCTGATAATGATGTCCCTTGTACCTAACTTAACGCGAACTCTACAGCTTGGATCTGCTCCCCCCTGCAACGTGCTGTTAGGGGGAGGGGGAGGGCTTTGCCCGCAAGGCTCGTTTGTCAAAGTTTCTATCATTTGAACACATTAATGAAATGGAATGTATAATGGGAAACACGTATATGGGGTCGAAAATGAAAGACAAGGACACGTAAAAAATTTCGTACCATATTAACGCCAAAGCGAATAACTTCATATGCTTCCTAATCTCGAATGATAATTTCAAAGCGGTATTTTTGACTAAGATATGGCGTATGATTCCATTTTCTATAGCAATCACAAAAATATTGAGTATTAATTAAGTGATTGTCCAATTGAACAAATTTGACGTCGCCGGGGCTATAAATGGCCAAGATATCGTTGGAAATGGGTAATTTCATTAGAAGTTAAATAACCTAGAAATCCAGGGTCACCAGAACATTTTGAATCATGGGAAGATGTTTTTCCCTAAATAAAATCAATGGCTGAGGTGTGAATGACGAATCTAGAAAACATGATTAAATATATAATGGATTACCACTGCCGATATGATGATCTCTGAAAAAAGGAAAATTATGCGAAGCACAATTTATATTGAGGTCCAAATATATTCTGTTTAAGGTTTCTTTTATATGTTAAGTTTCTCGTATCCACTGCAAGACCTTATTGCTCGATTTTTGCGCTTATTTTAGTCATTCGCAAACAACCTGTCATATATTTTTTACTGTAAATGTTAAAATGTTTGGAAAAATTTCACGCCACATTTTTTCAATTAAGATTAATACGGAACAAAAATATACATACTTTCTATACCTACTTTTTGTATGACGTCGAAGCCATCGGTATGAATAACTCAAAAGCAGAAGCCAAATATTTCCTGTGATGTAGACACAGTCACAAAATATGACGTGGAGCTAAACGTAGAATCAATGTAACTCTAATATTGAAGACAGAGATGCACAAAACAAAAATAGATGTTATGTTGTCATTGCTTCGTCAATAATTAGGTCCTTAGGATATGACGTACATTTGCCAGACTAGATCTCTCGTAAACCTACGTCCTTCACGCATGTATTCGACAGTGTAAAATTCAATGAACATTAATCTGAGTTTTTTACTGTTAATTTTTGACTGAAATGACTGCCCTTCTTTTCTACAGATAACAATGACAAAGTGTATATATACCACTAGTGCTGACATTATATATCTATCTTGAAAGCTTAACATGAATATACATTTCGAGTTACGGAATTGTATAGGCGTACAGAGGAAAGATAAACGACATAAAACATGTCCTTTATGAACATTCCAGTCTGATATAAACTAAAGACTAGGCTCTGCTTACTCAAGAACAACTTCATTTCAATAGCTATCCGAGGCCCTTCATGGCAATCTTTGCAACAATAGCCAATCTCGGGTCTCACTATATACGTCCTGCTATCATACTTAGTTAATATGACAGCAAATATGGCCTGTTCGTGTGCGTCATTGCACGCAAAATATAACAAGCATGCGTAAGAACTTTTATACATACATTAATGTGTAGGAGGGAGATATCAGTTAGAATAACCTTAATGAAACCTAAACGTACATCAGCATTGCATTCACTGTTTTTTGGCAACTGCATCCCAGCAAATGGCACTTACTATGTATAACTAATTTATCTACGATCGCTCCAATGAACTACATAACGATACAGACGATGCTCTGGCATGCATGAATCATGAAATGCGGAAGTGACGCTAATATTCTCTTTTCCGTGTATTATGGAGCACCGCTTAGTTATTAGTTGAGCGTCAATCGAGTGTAGGAAATGAGCCCACTAGACAACATATGCGAACAAATATTGTATCGAAAATAACGCGAAAAAAGAATAGGGCTTCATTCATCGTGATGCATCAAATGATTGACGTAATCTTCACCAAGTTGTCTAGATCTTAATCGTAGCTTGTAAAATATTTATGTTTGAGTGTGTAATTGTGACAATACACAATAGACAACATGAGTAAATATTGTGAAGTTTCTTTCAGCATGAATACATGTCTGAATAAAAAGTTTCCCCTCAATTATGACGTTATTCGGGTTTCGCTACTGAAAATATAAAGTTGAGAAATTAACACATGAAAATGTTGCTCATGAGCGACATATGCTGGCAAATGACGAAATATTGAAATGATATCGTGCCAAAATAAAAAATGTGGATTCATCAAATATTTTTTCCCTGGTTTTAAAACCATTCAAGTCAGCGCTATTAGGAAAATAGCTCAGTGAATAGCAATTTAATTTAATTGAAGTTCCTGAGAAAAATTTTCACACTACAGATTCAGTTGTAAGCGATCACTTCTACATTGCGTCAGACAACACTATCTGTTAATCTAGTACGTATTCACAAATAACTCACATTAGGATCATAATTCACAGATATATAGTTTCTCATATTTTTTGTACAGGATGCTAATTTAATGATTCTAGTAAAGTATTTTTTTCTGTACCTTCTACATATTTTTGCTGCGAACAGTAAAGAAATTCACATATTTTTCGAGTATATATGTTATATATATATATATATATTAAAGTATACACACAGTTAGCTCTAGAAAAATTAAAACATGTGCTTTCAATTTGAACCGTACTATATTCATAAAGAAATGGCAATCGATTCAATAATTTTTTCCGAAAGAAAAACGTTTTTGACTGAATGATTTTAAACATTTTAGGTCCATCATTTCAAATTATGGCACTATGAAACCTTTGTATGAAGAAGTTTTTTAAATATACAAAATGTCTTCACGAAAAAGTATCTTTAAGGACATAGGTACACACGAATCTCAAATAGGACGACCCAGACAACAGGTATCTTTTCGTATAAAGGCCAACCTTTGTCAGTAAACTTCATTAATTCAAATCTAATTTCGTTTGACTTGTTCTAGTATATAAGCAAATAAAGCTATATATCAAGCAATCTTCCACATGGAAATGTATTCTAGGCGAAGAGATAACGAAAATATATATTAATTTTTCACAAAAATAACTAAAGGGCAGTTTGCTCGCGAGAATTATTTTATAATAAACCAAGCAAAAACGCTAATGTACTGAACTCAAAATATCGCAAACAATTTAAATTCACCTAATATATTTACCATTTTTCTAAAGTACAGTCTCATATATAAATATGCGTGTTAACGGTATATGTCAGGTGATTATGGCTTGAGCCAACGAACTAAATATTTAAGGACGTCCGGGGCGTGAAGAAGAATTGATAACAATAAAACCATTTTCACTATACTTATCAACTAATTTTGCGCTCTAACAATCGAAATTTACACATAACTTTTACAAATTTTATAATCAAATCGGACCATATAAATCGATTGGTCAAAAGTAAAGTTTCAAAAGCACATACGCAACGATGTGAAAAGAGCCGGATCGATCTATAATGATTGATTTCAATCAAAAAAAATCTTTTTGGTTGAGCGTTGCAGACAAATATCCATTGCTATCAGAAAAGACAATTAAAATTGCATTGCCTCTTGTAAAGACCTACATGTGTGAGTCAGCATTTTTTGCTCATACCAATATGATGACAGAATACAGGTCGAGACTTGCCGTTAAGTCGAACCTACGAGTTTGCTCGTCACAAATTGCTCCAAGAATTTTTAAAGTGTGCTACCTCATCCATCACATAAATGTCGTTTGTGTTGTGTTGTTAATGAAACACTATCCCTCCTCGTTGGTTAGGCACAGAAATTACAGATACGGCTTAGGATGGGGGTTCGTCAAAAATAAAATTCTTAAACAGGGGTTCTTGGCCCAAAAAAGTTTGGGAAATTCTGACCTAAAAGAACTAAATGTTGTCACAAGTCTCGATATAATATTAAGTCATTATATCATACACAAAAATCAGGTATTTTTTAAAGTATGGTTTAAACCAAAATTATTTAAAAAAATTAAACAGAATATTTTATTTTATATCATCAAAAGATTTTATGTAAATCAGGAAACATCGAAGTTTTAGGCAATATTTATGATACAAAATATATCAAAACTGAAAATTTGATGATGGAAGACAATAAAAATTAAGATTCTATACATGGTAAAGCGTAAATGTGTGCAAAATATTAAACATATATTTGCAATTGGTATGTTTTTAAAATTTTCTCGAAAGTTTGTATTAAACGTATTACAAAGAGCAGAATGTTTCATATGTATTTATTCATAGATGATATTAATTCATCAGCCAGAAAGATCAAAGTTTGACAAGCTCTTACAGTCCCGATAGCAATTCCAGCAATGATTCTCTGAAATAGATCGATATGAGTTAACTGTGTCATGTGAGTATGTTACAAATGAGATAAAAAATAAATAATATAGAGACTCACGCTTTATACTATCTTTGAACGATTTGCAACCTTTAACAGCAACAAATTTTCTAATCCAAAAAACAGAACAAAAACAAGCACAGGTTCTCCATTGATTGCATGCCTCACTCTTTTCCACTCTTTGAAATGAATTTGTAGATTTATATCCATTAACAAACATACAACCTGTATAAACAAACATATATATGGAAAAAAAAAACTTTTTCGATCATAAAATATAATAATTCATATTGCAACTTACCTGTGCAAAATAGAAGTAAAGTTAGAAATATATTATTCATGGTCTAATTCCAAAATAGCGATTTTGACAATTTGTCGTTTTATCAGTTAACTGGCTGCTTTAAATATTTAGACAGAGTATGATAATTAGACGTTTATCCAAAATCTACTATAACTGAAATTGAATCTTGTATAAAAATAAATATTAGAGATCTTTCAAACGACATTTCATGCGAATCATGCAATTTATAGTAAAGAATAATCTAGCTATTTAACATTTGAAAACGCCAGATTTTTGCATCAAATAAAGTAATTTACTTCGCCATAAATTTTCAACTCTTCTATTCATTAGTATTAGCTGAGCTAGAAACGTGGAAAATTATTCCAAAAATGGAAATTAAAAATGGCGGACCGCGTCAGATACTATACTCATGTGTACGCCATTATCCATGCACATTTCAAACTGAATATTGTGCTTGTTTTTTGCAATTTTATTTTTCGGGTTGAAGTGGCAATCTTGTCGTCCTAAATAGATCCACTTGTATGCAAGAAATTTTGCTTGAACGTTTTTATCTTATGACAAAGCGTTATTACTTTCTTCAAAAATAGGTTGGATTGACATTAATGAAATATCACGAAGAATAGCCTTGAAATTTAACACTTATGCACGAACACCTTTTATCGTTCATCAGTAAATATTTCAGGAGCAGAATCCTATAATTGGTTAAATCAAGCTCAATGAGATAGTAACCGAATATGCTGACGGTAACTCGATCATTATTCGAAAAGCGCGAGAAGAGGGAAAAAAAGATTGAGAAGTGCCCACGATATAATAAAATTACGACACAATCAAAAACAACCACCCAATTCTATTTACTTCTAATTCTGTTAATTTCTAATCATGGGTGATGATACTTTTACGAACTTGATGAATTTCGTAAAATAATTATTTATTTATTTAAATGAACGCTATGTTGCAGTCTACACTCTACAGCACATTACGCGTATAACTGGAGAGAGGAAAAAATATTTTGTTCAGAATAATAAAATAGGTGCATTGAACAAAAAATAAAAAATTTATAACATATTACATCCATATTCAAACCCGTATTATCCATTTAAGAGAGTTATTAATCAGCACATTGAAAATGGTTTACACATGCCCAACTCATGGAAAATTTAGTGAATAAATTCGAAGTAGTAACAGAATAGTTAGAACAATTATTTTGCGGATTTGTTCGTCACAAAGGGTTCGGTCGAACAAACAATTTTCCTGCACTAATTTCCAATTTATTTTTGGCTATTTTCGTTCATCATAATATATATATTTTAGATTAGATACTCATCTTTGCTTATAGGTCGCAGGTCATAACGTACGTCTCCGAATGTATATTTAATTTAGACTAAGATGAGCAAGGGTAAAATTCGCCGCCCTTGGTGCAATTATCTTGCAAAGAGAGACACGACAGGGGTGATTCATATGTAGATAACAATGATGAAAAATCTATGGAATTACAATATATAGAGTTAACTTGTTGAAGCTAACTTATATATTTCATTCTATTCTTATACCCAGGTGAACTGCACTAAGAAGGTATTTTGTATCTGCATTGCCTGATGTAAACCTTTAGCATTCACTACCTTAAAAATGCACTCACTGTCTTAGTAAAATATTTAAATTATTAAAATTGTCAACGATATGTGATTTCTTTCAGTAACGATCATAACCTTCATATAACCTTGAAAACAGGCGAGTCGCATTGTTCTATAATAGCAACTACAGTTGACACACTTAAACATGCTGAATTTCATAATAATAAAATAATTTTAATAATTACAGATGCAACATCATATTATTAAGATTTTTCATAACATGCTGAAGTCTACATTAGTTTCTCAGCACTTACATCCATATATATATATATATTTTTTTATTTTATCCATTTTCTTAAAAATCCATTTTCCTAGTTCAGAATATTCAGCAAATACTGTCCAGTTTCACTTAGGCGTATTTAATGTCTAAGATTTTACAATCGACTGCACCGCACACAGCTCCCTGATTTGTATAATTTACCCAACAGTCATCACACACGAACTTAAGCGAAACGAAGAACGCTGTTCACTAATATTTTGTAGAGCTTCAAATCGTCATTATATTCGTATAATTTGTACTAAATTGTGAGGTAAGGTGCAATTTACTTTTATTGAAACTAATATATTACTAAGATTTAATGAACACCAATTTAATAAGAGAATATTCCTAAATTGGAAAACCACAAGTACATATGTATTCCAATGAATTTACAGTTTACTTTACTGCTCATGCAATTATGAATATTTTAAAGCAGTGTTGATTACATGATGCAACGTTGTTAAGTGTTTTTAGCTGAAAACAAATCTTCCATCTCGTTTTTCATTGCTGCTTCAGATAATCGTATTACAATATGAGATATAATGTCATAAATTTGTCGAATATTTCACAAGAGTTTTCAACAAGAGTGTTTACTCCAATTCAAAAGATGAGAGATACCGACATACGAAAAAATTAAAACAATATGAACATAGCAAATTCATTTGATAATTTATCAAGCAAAGAGATATAATGTATTATGAATATTTGAAACGAATATATGTTTTATTGAATATAATGGCTCGTTTTCAAAAAGACCGTGTTGTTGTGGAAATAAAAATTGCTTCCTTCCTAAAATTCAATTTATTTCTCCCCAATGTTTTTTACCTCGTATGCACTGTGAATTTATTTAATTTGTGCAAAACTAAAATTAAATAACACAAATTCTGATAAACTGTTAAAGCTTTCATGGAAACAGACTTATTCGCGATCCCTGTTTTCAGATCTACGCTAACAACATGTCTTTAGGTTAGAAATAAATTATTGCCTTCCAAAAAGGCTTAATTGTGTTAGTAAGGTATATTATTTCCGAGTTTCAATACTGTACTATATATACTTCATCTGTGGTGCGATTCCCACTTTGACTAATGTCCTCAACTGTCCCAAACAATTATTAAACCAGAGACGGCTTTTTCCAAATTGCAGCGTTTGTTGACAAAAAATGGGCATATCCGGAAATTATGGCTCCATCCAATCACAGAGCTTGTTACTTTTATTTTTCTTATTAATGAGTGGTGGACTTGAACTTTATATGTTTACGTTCAGTTCAATCAGAGCGTAATGTTCGGTGTTTTGTAAAAGTAATTTGAAGCTGAGTCGCGAGTCGTACTTTGTCGGATTTTTTTTTCTCCTTTTTTTCCTTTTTTAAACACTCTTTGAGAGTCGTTTAGAAATCTGACTCTAGTCTCCTCAACATTATTGTTGCCTCGAAATTTGTTTAAAAAAGTGTTTATTAGCTCTACAAATACGGGAGTTGAATACAAAGTGTAGACCATAAATTTTTCTCTCTAACTGTTAACCGATTGTACTCAGTTAAACAGTTTGTAAATGCCAAACTCATAAACGTGAACGAGAAAACTTTGTAAAGTATGGTGAGACTTTCTGAGTTCAAAGGTCGCGGAGTAGAGGAGGAATATTACTTGTGTCAAAAGTTGGTTATTCAATTCAATCAACTATACGCCAAATGTAAGGTGATTTATTTTCTTAGCTCCGCCATGGTACATAAAATTAAAAAACAAAGAACGACAACTCAGATTACGTACCATTTCCTTTAGCAACTCATTGAATTTATATTCTGCGACAGCGATTTTTTTTAGGCGGCGCTAGTTAGTAACAACAATAGAGGTGTACAATACTTGTTGCAATTTTGTAAGCTGTAAGCAGTTTATTCGCTGAACCGCTGAGTTAGCATGAGCGATTTCTTAGTATTTCAAAAGAAAATCAGGCATAGATGAGGAAGAAGAGTTGACCTTTGCCTCTTTATGCCTACTTGTTTACAAACTTTAAACGACATAAAGTACTCATTAACGATCACAAAATTGAGTTTTATTTAAAGGCAGCATTTTTTCCGTGCGAGTGCGCTGTGAGTTTTTTCCCTGATAATTTGGCGCCGCACGAAATAAAGTTTGCGAACCGCTGCTACACGCTTTAAATTCCTGATTAAGGTTTTGTTTGGGCTCCTGATTTTATATTCAGTTTTTACTAATTATTTTAACGTCTGTTACACTGATGCTGATTATGATTGAGTCATTAAGGTATATATTAGGGTGACCATATTTCCAGACCCTAAAAGGAGGACACATTGTTTGGTAGAACCACATTTCATCTGTGCATGAGATATACATTATAATATATCTACTAAATTGTTTAGGATTAAATATAGAAGTAACAAATAGACAAAGTGACGCTATGCAATGATGCATTTTCGTTTTTATTAAAAATAACAACTACGATTTGTTTGTCTTTAGACCATGAGTAGTTGGCAGTTTCTTTGATCATCGTCAACATCGCTAGGTTATTTTATTTTAATATCGTAAAACTGGGTCTACTGGCGTAATTTTTTGCCAAAAACATACTTTTCATAGATTGCAAAATACGAAGTGAAATGACCTAAACCTCATTACAGAACAAAACGATTTTACATCATGTACGAGGAAGCATAACAAGTAAGCATTTGATTAAAGTAAACCCGTGTGCATGCTATCACATCTCAATGCATTGCTTGTTATATGTAAAATGATAATTACAAGTCTCTACTGACTTTGAAAATTTTCTTAACAAAGCAACTGTTAATAATATAAGAGAATTTTTAGTATTTAATCCGGTGAAAAAGGAGGACATTTTGACAATTAAGAGCGTCCTCGGAGGACGCAAATTTTTTAACCAAAAATAAGGACAAATGCTCCAAAAGGAGGACGTATGGTCACCCTAGTATATATATAATATACACACACTATAGTGGTTAAAAACTCGTCATAAATTATAGTTGTGGCAGGAGTTCGCAAAGTTGTCAATTTGGATATGAAGCCCGTTATTGACTTGGATAGTACCGGTACGGGTACTCAATTAACCCAGTCATTGCAACAGTTGATTCCCGAATACCGATTTCGTTGTTTATTCCTGTAACAATGACCAATAAGCCAAAAAGTCGATGAAGACGTACCGGTAGTAGCTATGGTAATTTTTGTCGCGCTCAAAATTTTTCTTGGGTCAAGGGTCGTGGAAACATCCATTGAATTGCGACTTTCGAGTCAGTGCAGTATCCAGAATTTCGAAAATACGGTACACTTTTGTTGATTTACAGTGACGTTTTTAACAACTTACATTGATCTGGGTTTGCACCTAATGTAATGACTTTTCTAAGTTTCCGATCTTAAACGTTTGTCATGGACTATTTTTGACCCTGGTTTAGTAGGCTAGTGTTAATTGGAATTGGTTGGATAGAATTTAAAACTCTCACGAAAGAATCCGGTTGAAATTTGTAATCCGGTACCTTTGCTTCAATATTGTTTGAGCTGTGATCTTCGGAATTTGATTTATCCTAATGTTAATTCAGTAATTTCAGAATTTGCTAGCTCCTACCTTTTTTGCAGTCTCGCAGTGTTTTCACCAAGTTGAATGACCGAGGGATGCACAGTTGTAGCCTATGGCACATTTACTTCTACCCCCTACCTTACATATTTCAACCATTGTATCATGGCACAGATACCAGAGTGTGACTGTACTACTAGTACAGACGTACTCTAGTTTCTACTGGTATCAGTGCTATGATATAATAGGTAATAGTGCTAGGTCATTATTTGTAACCGATTTTATTATTAATTTGTAGCATATACATTACCATGCCTTCTAAATCATCATTAAGCGACAGCAGTGAACAATATACTTCAGTTACTCGACGATCCATTAAACTGAACTCAGATGAGTTGGATCTATGGGAAATGTTCCACTATGCTGGTCTCACACTGGATCCACAAGTTTTTCGAGTAATTTTGGACTTGATACGTTTAGATATCCAACCAAAAGCTATATTGGATGTATTAGAATCAGTATGTCCAAACAGCAAGCATTTTGTGCCTTGTGTGCAAAAAGAAACAGGACCGAAGTTGAACCAAACATCCATATCAGGCTCATCAAGCAGCCGAAAAAGCATTCCTAAAACTGGAACTAATATTGCAAAGGGTGAAACTTCAACACAGCTTCGTAAACAGTCAATACCAAAGCCAGATAAAGCGGGTGGCGATTCAAAAATATCCAAACGATGACAACTGTAACCGCCAAGGACACCACATCAAATCCCTCTGGTAATACGAGTAATCTTAGAATGTCGGTTATAGTCTCTGATTTGCTTGGATATTCAAGACTGGCGTTTACTTAACTTACATACACATCCTTATAAATAGCTGAATGAAGGATCAAATAACTTTCATAGGAATGGAAGACTAATATGGATGCGTGGTCCAGACGATACAGTCAATACGGCATGATACAATATTCTTTTTTTTTTTCTCTAAAATATGTATTTTAATAAATAAAGATTTGTGACACATTTATAATATCAACCAAATAGCAGAAATGATAGGGTGGAATAAGTCATACTTGCGCACTTTTTCAACGGAAGAGTCCTGTATTACCCCACCCACATGCAAGCAATTTCTCATGTCAGAACTCGCTCAAAGTGATCGCTTGTATAAAGCATTGTTAGGACTGAACATTTAAAACGATAGTCTGGCGTCTACATTCAGTGATCGCTTGTCAAGAGACTGAACGTATAAAATTATACAAAAACTTAATCAAAGTCGTGTAAATATGGAGTGCTAAAGAACCGAGATATTCTATCCATCGTATTTCCCTCCCCTCACCAGTGACTCCCTTCCCTCCAATCGTCAATGCTGGCCCATCCACTTTTCGCAAAGACCTTTGCCAGTCATCCACAGTATCAGGTGCATGACGCTTCCTTACTGTAACCAGTATTGATACTATTCCTATACAAAAATAGCAAAGCATGTGTTTTGCACTGCCACCTTTGTCTTTTACCATCCTCCAGACTATTTTCACCATGTCATTAAGAGAACTAACAGAAAAAACAGTCGTGGCAAGAGTGCCGACTTTATTCCATAATGTGAGTACATCGGGGTCTTTCTTAGTAATTTCTAAGAGGTAGTCTTTAACTTCTGTAAAGGCTGCTGTAGCATCACGAGTGTCAGGCAATGAAGTAAGGCGGATTACATTATCCAGAAATCTTGTTGTTGCACAATATATTTCGTCTCCCTGCATTTTATGGGATTTTTAGAAAATATCAGTCAAACCCACAAAGTGTGAATAGTATAGCTATGCAGAGAGTTTTTTGCATTTGCTTCATAGCTTATTCTAATTGTTAAATATATGGAAGAAAATAGTGTTAATGTTGAATTTACACTCCTGCAATTGCACAATGCTTGCACTCTTTCTTGAGCAATGCCAACCCACAGGCAAAAATGGAACTTTTATTTGGGTGCTGACGTAAATATTCTTAAACCATGCATTTTAGAAACTTCCTCCTTTAGGGCATTTGTCACAAGCTTGTGTGCAGCAACAGTTCGAATTTTTGAAAAATCTTCCGATTCAATGTGAATTTCGTACATACTTCCACAACCACCTGAAATATCTTCTACATCAATTTTCACAGCATTAGGGAATCGAGTTTGCAAAATGTTAGTTATTTTTATCTCCCCTGTGTTCCCTTCTGCCGTGGATGTAGAAAATGGTTGGCATATCCGTGCAGAGTGAAGTGCTGGTGCTGTTATAGAATTCTTACAAATTACTGACGTATTGGATGATTTACCATAGTTAACAAAAGTTTGGAGGAATTTAACGGTACAAATTCTATTCGGCAACGACATAATTTAGTCAAAATTCTGAAACAAAAGCAAATACACAAGGTCATTATCATGTAGCTAATAAGTATGAACCCACAAAAAGCATTTTTCAGTTAGGTAATTCTTCCATAAACCATACAATCCAATGGAAAATTTCATGAATATGGTCAACCACACACGAAAATTCTAAATATAAAATACTTTGAGATAGTTTTAACCTTGGAAACATATCTACTGATATAACTGACTTTTCAAATAAACATTATGCAATACTTGTATATAAAAATTCATGACATCAGCAGAAAGAAAAATTTTGTTTATGATGCAAATATTAATATGGACAAAAAAAATATCTCAAATATAGTATTAGAGAAAACTTCTAAAATCAGTTTATTCATGTTTTGGAGGAGAACTAAGGTTGTCTGTATTCCTATGTTTCGGAAAGGCTTCCCATGGACTGTTAAGATCAAATTTTCTAAATTCTTGTGCAAGCTCAACAGGATCTCGAACAACTCTGACAGCTTCATCATCCCATCGAACCTCGTGGTAACCAGACAAAGGAAAATCTTTACGAAGTGGGTGGCCGTCAAATCCATAATCAGTAAGAATCCTACGAAGATCTGGATGGTTACGGAATAATATACCATACATATCCCAAGCTTCTCTTTCATACCAATTGGCAGCACGATACACACTACAAACAGAATCAACTGGTGTTAACTCATCTGTGTAAGTTTTCACTCGAATACGTTGGTTGTATCGGAGGGAGAGTAGATTGTACACAATCTCAAATCGATAGACTCTTGTTGGTATATCATTTCCACACAAATCAGCCAAGGACTCAAATTGACACAAAGTGTTGTTTTTCAGGAAGCTCATTGTAGTAAGTATTCCATCAGGATGTACCATGACCTCTAGCTCATTTGTATGAGTAAGCTGGACTTGTTGAATATACTTCGGTAAACAATTGGCAACATAATCACCGAATTCCATCAGCTTATTCCATGCAACTTCCCTTGACATTTTAATTTCAGGTAAATTGTCGGTGGGAGGTGTGACACCATCTTCAATTGTCTGTAGATGACTGGAGCTTGCGATACACCTTGACAGACCCTTCGGAGACACAATTGGTGCTAAATTCGAATGAACATTAGTTGTAACTAAGCGTGAAATGCCTCGAAATAAAAAGGCCATTCTGGAAATAATAATAAAATTCATTAAGATGGCTGATTTTGCACTACGATCTTTAATAATACAGTAGAATAAGTCTTGGTACCTGTACTGGCAGACTGGTAGCGACATTCAAATGGAAGGACATAATACCGGTATGTTATATGTATGTATGTTGATGCATCTAGAAATGTGCAATGAACTCAAGTTGTCAAGGACCAAGCTGCTGGCAGCACTGGCACCATTGGTTTCAATAAAACAAGTCATGCCTCAATTCCCGTTTGGGGAGAGTCAGAGTTAACCAATACCGGTAGCTCTGTACCTGCATAGTATCGTACTCAGCATATCCACACATCACCGTCCTGCATTATGATGTTAAATTTATCCAAAACATAATATAGAATTGAGGGACTACAAAACCGTTCTCGCGCTGTTCAAGAAACTCCGACTTATGGCTGTATAAATTCTGTTTTGCACCAGCCCATATGAGTCTCATATGGGGTGGTATGAGTGGGATATAGAGGACTTGCACGGGTCACGTGACCTTGTTACTGGACGGCAATAAAACAAAAACGTCCATTTGGCTCCTGTCAGTTGCAAGTCGGATTATACGTTTCCGTTTGTTTGGCTGTTGAAAATGGTTATTTCGTATTGTTCCGCTGGCTGTACGTATAGTATAGACAACGAAATGGATCTTCAGCTATATTCCACTGTTTTCAAAAGATCCGGAACGTCGCGCAATGTGGATATCATCTATTGGCAGGACTGCTTGGTGTCAAGTCCAGAAGCCATCTCACTTGTGTTTCACTGTTTGCGGACAGCACTTCGTTGATGGTGAGTCATGATGTGCCGTTATCAATTTTTTTAAATATTCATAAGCTCCCTCATTTCAATGGAAAGCAGATGACAAACTACTGTTATTGGTAGGCTTAGCCTACCTACTTGCAGACTTGACTCGTGTAAGGTATTAATCAATAATTGCCATAAGGTATTGTTTCCCTAGTTAGCAGGTAATCTATTAGTAAGTGTGAAAATTTGAATAGATAACTAAAGTTTAACGCCAGTGCTAATGCAAAAAATAACCAGAATTCAATTGAATTCTCCATCTAAGAATACGCTCGCCACCGCATCTCTGATCCCCCTGGGAGTTTCACAGGTTCCAATCCCATGCGGGGATAGTTATGTGCGAGGGGATTGCAGCCCTCCACAAGTCCATGCTTTTAAAACAAAATAACTGGCTAACTAATCCCGACATAGAATGGTAATCGTACGATGTTGCACCTTGCAATCTGTCCCCAACCACAGATAAATTCTATCCTAAAAACTACCCACATTGGTAGGCATAGTTGCGTTTTAAATTGAAAGAAATCTTCATTAATGGTCAGAAGGTGTTGTCTGATTGTTTTGTTAGTTAGCAGGTAATTTATTACTGATCTGATACACAAACTTGGCACTGTCAAATGATGATTAGTGTTTAATTTATTTTCAGGAAAAAGGGAAGATAACCCATTATCAGCTGCTTATATGTCCCATCGATATTTGAATTTTCGCCATCCCCAGAGAGGGGATTTTGAAGAAAGGCAAAAGGCAGGATCATTTCAACAAATTCTGTTAACTTGTATGCGTTGCAATATTAATTTGCAGTTGTTAGCATAAACATTTAATGTGTCTTTCGACTAGACCTACCACACTTTAAAAAAGCCGCCTACACCCCTTTTCACTAGAACCATAATACTGTAAAATATTTGATAGAAATTACCCCCGAGGCATCATATCTTCCATTTGAAAGGGCTGTGGAGGCAGATACATTTTTTACTCTAAATTATGGAATGTTACTTCCAGGTTATCTTATCCTTGCTTATAGATATCTTGAGGTTAGTGACTCCAACTGACCCATGCATGCCACACTGAAAATTCTCTTGTGTACCATAAAATAGGCTGTTGGAGCCTTCAGACCTTGAAAACAGTCGAATCTGAGCACGATGGATTCATGTGAAACACGTAATATGCATTTAAGGCAAAAATATCCCATCCTGAGCACACCGATCCACAACCTACACAAATTGGTGTACTGTGCGCATTCACAAATTTTGCGAATCAAGTGTGCCTTTTGACTAAAGAAAATTTAGCATTGAAATGGTCAATCTCAATATCAACCTAGTATCTGCAGATAAAACCAATTGTTTTTTAAAAATACATTTTTGATGTGCTTTATTTTTCAAATATAATTTATAATTACTGTGTGTTGATACATTTGGTACCATGAATACATTTGCAAATTAGCTTGGGTTACACCCCTCTCAAATAAAAGTTTAGACTCTTAAGTCATATCTCAATATTCTTTAAACAAAAGGTTGCGGCTAGCCGGCTACCCATCAGAATTTTCTTTCAGATCACAAAGTCGCAATATTACGCCTCGCTAAGTTTCATTGGCAACTGTATCTGGTTGTAGTATCGGTGTCCAACGTTAGACTGAAACCTTCACTACCAGACCCACCGAAACAATTTTTTTCTTGATAGGGTCGTCTTGAAGTTGCTTTCGTTAAAGCACAATGGACACTTTATCTCCACCAATCCACAGTAATCACAAGTTACTTTGTCATTACGATAAGCATCAATAAATGGATACTGAGGATGTATTATCAAGTCACGCAAGCTGAGGTCTTGTGCCACTGTGGTCTTGTTGCAACTTATACTTTGCCATCCATCTATTCCATGGTCGCACCCATATCTGTAAGATAATGGATACAGATAGAGTTTTCATAAAATCTATCGATCAAGGAGTGTGAAATTTATGTCCATATCCCACCACAGCCACTAGTCGTAAATGAATTTGATTCCGGGTAGCATATCTTTTTTACCAATGACAATAAAAAGACATTTTGGATCCGTTCACATTGAACCTGTTAAACTACCAGGGTGATCAGAGATGCGGTGGCGAGCCTATTTCTAAATGGCGAATTCAATTGAATTCTGGTTATTTTTTCCAGCCCCATGGTGTTAAACTTTAGTTATCTATTCAATCTTTCACACTTAGTAATAGATTACCTGCTAATTAGGAAACAATACCTGATAGCAATTGATTATTAATTCCTTACTGTCTTACACAAGTCAAGTCTGCAACTGCAAGTAGGCCCACGCCTAGGCCTACTAATAACAGTAGTTTGTCATCTGCTTTCCATTAAAATGAGGGAGCTTGTGAATATTTAAAGAAATTGATAACGGCACACTATCACCACATTATCATTCACCATCAACGAAGTGCTGTCCGCAAACAGTGAAACACAAGCGCGATGGCGTCTGGACTTGACACCAAGCAGTTCTGCCAATAGGCAATAGATGATATCCACATTGCGCGACGTTCCGGATCTTTTGAACTCAGTGGAATATAACTTAAGATCCATTTCGTTGTCTATACTATACGTACAGCCAACGGAACAATACGAAATAACCATTTTCAACAGCCAAACAAAACAGAAACGTATAATCCGACTTGCAACTGACAGAAGCCAAATGGACGTTTTTGTTTTATTGCCGTCCAGTAACAAAGTCACGTGACCCGTGCAAGTCCTCTATAACCAGATAATTACAATATTGAATTAAATGAAGAAAAATTCAACTAAAAAATGAGGTACGGTACCGTACATTACCACTAGTCGGCCAATATCTATTTAGAATAATTTCACACTGCAACATAACTTGAGCAGATACTGGCATTAGTGGTGCTTCGGGGTTTCGGTTTAAGGTCAAACCACTGAACCGTACCGGTACCGAAATACAATTTCGCATGTATGTCCTACCGATACCGTATGTGCCGCTTTCTTGCTGGTGCAGTGTCTGGAAGAATACATGTCGCTATACAAAAACTAAGAAGCTAATGATACTCTTTTATGACTTCCTCAATTTTATGCATAGAACCGTAATCGAAGAGGCCATGCTACGCTTACGGGGTAGGGTACCGTAACAAAAAATTAACACTTTTGAAGTGCACACAGGATATGCACTGAATCCTTTTGCAGCCACAGAATTTTGCACCGGAGGACATTTTCTACCATGGTCACATACACTTTCAGTTTCACGTATGGGCATAACATAAGATAGGATTTACATATTCATCCCGGGGATAGGGAAGTCGGTAGGACGGCTTAATCATATGGAGAACCACGGCCTCTCGCCCGGTTCCATATCGGGTGGGTATGGGGTTAGTTAGCCAGTTAATTTTCAATGGGGGGGGGGATTCTGAAATTTAGGTGTGTACTAATTGTCGCACAACTTGAAAATAATATGTGTACCAGGTTAGGGTTCAGATTAGGGTTAGTTCGGATACCTATAATTTATACTATCCGGATAACGGATATATCCGGGTATTTCGTATTTTAACTATCCGGTTAACCGGATAGTTACTGCTAATTTCAGAGAACCAATTTCACAAGATTTTTGCGGCGAATTGACTAAAAACCACCACACATTTCTATTGTGAATACGTACATATGTATTATTTTTCTCGAATAAAAATGATTAACCATTTTGACGTTGCATGTGTCAATATGTAAAAATTTAAGCCATGTAATCGTACAGAAGTACAGCTGAATAATGTAATGAAACATTTTTTTAAATACTGTGTCCTAATTGTCTTTCCCTCGACTGCTAAGTTATTTTCTCATATTTCAAATCCTATGTAAAAATTTATATTATTACTTTTTTTATTGTTAATTTTTTTAGAAGTTTTTTTTTGTGTCTGGAGCATATTTTCTTTAAATTTTGACTCGTACTAAATTTTGGTGTCGCAGACTAACGATGACCATTTCTTTAAGCTTCTAAGTTCAATTAGTTTAACATACACCTGACTTAGATAGAATAGATTTATTTCGGCTAGTATATCTATTGATTCGGTTGATACATGGAAATTTGAAAATATATATATACCAAAGTTAAAAGCAAGAACATGACATTTGGTCGTGTACCCAACATTTTGAAATGCTACACAGATTACATGGAATCGGAAGTATTGTGGATAAGTCCTCAAAATTCAAACTGGTTTACTTCATGATGAAATGCGTTCCTTCAATACACGCAACAACTAAAAGCCACACCCGACCAAAAAGCAACTAACTCACACCCACCCAACCAATGCTTTTCAACTGAATTCGTTTAAGTTAGTCTTGCTTAAACTGTACCTTCCAGTTCCTATCTAACTTTATAATGCGAATGAGCTCTTCTAATAAGCGCAATAATCACATTTGTTATGCGTGTTTTGTGATGTAATAGTGAAGTTCACTCCAGCATTTTACAGATGGCTAAAATATAGACAGAATAGAGTGGAAAAAGTTGTTATTATATGCTCTGGGAGATGTCAGTCGCCACTCAACAAAAAATATAAAAATCGCTAAAGCGCATATGCATTATTTATACTGCTCTATTATCCGGTTAACCGTAACATAATAATCCGGATAACAGATAGCAAAATAAGTCTTGGTTAACCGGGTTATCCGTTAACCGCGTATCCGGATAATCCAACCCTAGTTCAGATTGTGCGTCATCTTGATTCACGAATACTTTCGGAGCGCCGAAATTTGTAATTGTCAAGTTTGACAGCAACAGGTGGTCTAGGGCCGGGAAGCCGCAAAACGCGAGTTTGGACTAGGCTAAAATTCTTCACCGGTACTTATTTAAAAAAACAGAATTCGTTGAATGTTACTGAATCAGAGTAAAGTTTTGAAGCAAAAATACCCATTTTACAAGCGCCAACTCGCCAAACCACTCTTTTAAATAAGCACCGAAAATTTTGCAATGGTAAAGTATGAGAAGAAATTTACGGGGGTCAAAGGTCAGAAAAGGTCCTCAAATCGCCGTATTCAGTCCACAATCACGTCTCTTCTCCTTGACCGACAATCCGGAGCCCTAAAGTTTTATGCGCTTATTCGGCGCGTGGCGAGTCGCGCCTATTATTCGTCGTTTTTACACATTCCAAAAGGGGAGGGGGGAGGGGTCGACCGCAGACCCCCTGGCTACGCCCCTGACGTGAACTACTATCCGGGCGGCCGAGGAAGTCCAGCAATCCTCTCGCGCACATGATCATCCCCTCATGGCATTCAAACCTGCGATCTCAAGAAGGCTAATCAGAGATGCGGGTGGCGAGCGTATTTCTAACGCTCACATTATTTCTTTTTTTGTAAGCACTTACATATAGGCGACGTTAGATATAGATTAGAATAATCAACGATTCCAGCTGAGTTTGAGCCTGAAATGTTAATGCAAGTTTTCCGGTTTTATTCTGACTGAGATACTAATGCCAGAGTTAAGAAGAGGAATTTTTTCTTTTTTAATATATATGACGATATGATAGCTCCAAGATAACAGTAATCCGTCAGTTATGAGATATATACTTTTTCACCAGATTTACATGGCTATGAGTTTAAAAGTTTACCATTGGCCATGGCAGTTGATTGAGCACAAAAGGAATTACATTTCGAAAGTGAATGTAGCTTAATTTGTGAATTGTGATCCATGACAATAACAGAAAATACAGGTTGTGCGACTTATAATCGTGCTTGGTCATTAACGATACCTCGTTTCCATGGTAACAGGTATTCTGTTATCAAGGGAAATTGTCAAAATGCACTTCTGATCATATTCTTTACTTCTTATATAAACATCGGTTTACTTATCTTGAAAATATTCATTTCCTAAAGTAATGTTTATTTCCCTTTTAATAGCATATACGGATGATGCCTCGTTTCCATGGCAACGAGGTATTTCTTGGATGACACCATATCCAAAATTGATCAGGGGATGCTACTGTACATGTGTGCCAAGTTTCATGCTTGCATCCAAAAGTGCGTGATTTTACCTCTAATCCGCTGGCCCCAATGACATATAAGATATTGTTATATGTCATTGGTCCAAACAACGCTTCCTGAATTTGTATCTTTATCCCTCCTCGATTTCTGACACGTTGTATTCTTTACTTCGAGCTGTCTTATTGTGTTCCCATCCGGTTCTTCATCTTGCACAACTCACCCGTCTTTTATCAGATTCGAGCTCTCAGTCCCACCCTGGTGTTGCGCGCCTCCGCCGTTGACTAACTAATCCCATAACCGACGGGGATAGTACCATACGAATCCCTAATCTGCCACCTTTCGACCGTATTTCGCCGTCCCGCATATGACTTTTGTGCTACCACTACTCCTTCATGGTCTGCAAATCCATCATGTATCACAACTCGAACCCACACAGCCTGAAGAAGATGCCACTTTGGTAAGCGATTTCCGCGGTTGTGTGATCTCAGTAATTATAGTTAGGGTTCAGAACTGAAATTTAGGAGAATAAACTCATACCCCAGTATATAGTATACTATAAATTTGCAATGGGTTTGGTATTTTTAGACGAATAACTTTTATAATAGCTCAACGGCATAGTCACCAATCGTCAGTCGAAGGTGCTGGTTTGAGCTTGTTTGTTTTATAGACATGCCTTCTTTCTGGAACTAGCCCAGCCTGGTTCAATATCTAGGGAAAACAAGCTGGCCCGTCACTGCCCACATAAAAAGACCTGGGATTATCTGAAGCCTTTATGCCAAACTCTGGTCAAAAAATTTGTTTCTTTATAATAACACCATTGGACACATTAATGTATCTCATATTTCACCACTCTAGGTCCACATTAACTGCAAACAAAACACAGTTTCTCTAATAAACTTTAGGGCACTTAGCAGCAAGATAACAAATTATGATTCAGAACGATAGCGTATTATATAAAAGGTTCGAGAGTGAAGACTATAATGCTTTGCAGATTTTTTTACTTTAATACCAGTGCATTGTGCTGGGCATTTGTTTTAGGTTTATATTAATAAAAAGGGATAAAACTTGGCAAAAAAAATTATTTTACGTTTGGTGAATGGTAAGAGTGATATTATTCACATTAATGAGTCTTCCCTAACTTAACACAGCAAATGAATGCCAATTTTCGTTATATTGCATGGGAGATGCTAAGGTCAATAAAATTGCCAAAACGTAAGTCTAAAATGTGAGACGGTTCCTGTATCATTTCTTAGTGATCACTTTTTACTTGTTCCTGGTTGCATCGGTTTTCCTTTATCTTTACCTCGAAGCTTTAAACCTAAAATAAAAGTTAGGTATTTGTGATGATACTTTTTGCACAGACTTAACCAGTCAAAGTGTAATTTTATACACAGATGGATCTGGATGCATACAATGCATAAAAATATCGATGAGTATGACTACTAATTTATATGAAGGTGTCATCGTCGGGCCATGCCACCCCCTTCTGAAATATTATCAACATAATAGGAAGGTGATTACCTTCTTAGTAGTACCTAGTAACATTGCTATAGAATTTGGGCCTATTGTTCTGCAGCTTGCGTGCAATGTTTTTCTAGGAACAAGGCATCAAGTAACAAAATATTAAGAATTACTCACAACATTACCACCAAGGTCACATACTCTCAATCGAACAGAACATAAGAAAAATCAATTAGAAAATGAATACAGATATTGCTCACAAAATTTATTCTAAACCAGTTTCTGATATTACATACCAATTTGTCTTTCTATCTTTCCCATTACTTGATTATTGGGAATAGCTTGTCCTCTTTCATACTCATTAATAACTTGTGGTTTTTCATTGATTTTCTGCAAACAAATACATAATAACTAAAATTAACAAAGTTGTTGTTACATAACAAAATATAAATATAATATGTTAGATCAAATACTGTTGCCAGTTCTTTTTGTGTCCAACCCTTTTGCTGTCTTCCTTGTTGGATTAGACGACCAACATCAAGAGAAACTGTGTCATCTGTTGAATAAGCGTCATTTTAATAGTGGTATTTGAATAATGAAACCAGCAAACTCTACTTCATATTGGACTAGTCATAAATGGTAGTGTGATGAATTATCGGCTATTATTGTTAAACAACTATAATTAAATAAAAATATGATATTTTTAATTACACCACATTAACAATATTTCAAGCATATCAATGCTATTTGTGCAAAGCTATAGCCATAAACGAAAGGATAGATTTACTAACAAAATCAATTATATATGAAGTATGATGATATCATGATTTGCAGGTGTTCTCATCTTGCTATGTAGACCTTTCATAACAACATTTCTTCATATTAATATAATCATTTAAGAGAATTTTTTCAATTTGTATGTATCTTCCTAGTATAACTTCCCAATTATTTTTTCTACCTAAGATAATATTCTGGGTTATCTTAACCTAAAATACTGAATTGTAATTAACAGGTTCATTTAGTAGATGACAATTTATGTTTTATTTTTTAATTCTTTTATTCTATTAATTCACTTACGGTGTAGTTCTTCCGTTTCTCTGTCTAATTTGGCTGTGTTTTTTGTTGTGACTGCTTTTTTGTTTTGCGATGCTCCGACTGAAATACAAGATGGAAGATTTGTTCAAAGATCGATTACCAGGTTACAAAATTAAAAAACAAATATATCTGATTAGTAATCAAATAATAAATTAAAACCACAAGATAATATTGCAGATTTAAAAATGCATGTACCATAACTGTGTAGAAACTAAGACCATTCATTGATTTTCCACAATGGAAACACTGTTTTGGTCAGATATTTAAAACATCCTTGAGCGAAAACTTAATCAGTTAAAATTGTACTCTGAAAGTATACCATTGTCAGTATAGAGGTAGTAGTAATTTACAAAGGTAAATTATCATTCTAGTACGTCTTGGATGTACTTTTAATGCAAGACAGCTGCACACCCAACATTGTTTTAAACTTTCCCCAACTATTCGATACAAAAAATATAAAATTTTTATTTAGTCTGGTCGACAAATTGTTGCATTACACTGTCTTACATTACAACCTACATTTTTGACGTGTCTCAACCTCTTCACCTCGTCTCATAGCAGCATTAACCGCCTGTGAATAAAAGACATTTATCAATTCAATAATTCAAGCCCAATTCAATACTGCTGGAAACTTTCTGTTATGATTAAGACTTAACATTTTAGCAGACCTATCACAGTTGTGAAGTAATGCATTTTGCACCAAACGACTGAAAAATAATTGTGACATCATAGCAATATACGGTATGTCTCATCGACTCACTAGCATTTCAGCAAGATGTCAATAAAAACTGAAGTTTAGAGGCCATGCAGACACACTTTTTCACAGATTCTTAGACGCGGTGTCAACATTAGCTGGTTTTTGTGGCTTTGCTTGCTATTTATCAACTTTAAGCTGTATTTTCCAAATTTAAATATAGATTAAATAACACTATTTATTTTGCAGAATCCCTAACAGTTGTACAGTATACTCTCTCTACCTATAGAACCACGATTAAAATACTTGGCAAAAACAAAGAAATATAATTTCCCCCACTAACAACATACAAATAACTTTGTTATGGGACGCAAAGTTGACTTATGAATCGTTTTGCTCAAAGTATTGTGGACATTGTGGTTTATCTTACTGTTGCTCAGAAAAATTGCCTTCCTCCGCAGCTAATGTACTCGAAATTTTCAGTCCTAAAGACGATCTGAGTTGCTGGAAAATATTTTTTTTGTTGTGTCCTAGGAGGCTGTAATCAGCTAGACCAGTGTTTTCAACCTTTTTCGCGGAAAACCAAACGAAAATCTCCAATTTGTTGGAAACTATTCGAATAACCAATAATCTTGATTGAAAATAACAAGACCAATGGCTTAACACTCAAGTTGTAAAAAGACGTAACAAACTCAAATCCATTACTACAGATAACAAAAGTACTCTGAAGTACCAATGAGAAATATTTTAAACTGGCTGTTAGTAGCCGTCATTAATATGATATATGTGCTTGTTTATTAAAGGAGCACAGAATCCTCTATTTTAGCCGGGATTTACGGTAGGGAAAACAAACACATAGTTCTTTTTCAAAGGTTGTCGGCTGATTTATTATCAGTATGATATAACATGCGGTATGCATTATGAATCAGCAATATGTTAGAAATGAAATTTGGGCGGCTGCTCAGACCTATTTGCTCTGTTTCAAGTGCCATTTGTCATTTTTTATGAGTGTCTCTAAAATTTAGACATTTTCAAATGAACAACCATTTCATGTGAAGGTAGTTCAATTTAACCAAAGTTCCCACGAGTGACCCAGCTTTAAGCATTTCTTTAAAGTAAGACAAAATGACTGTTTGATTAAAATCTAAATTCTGAAAACATACAACAGTCTGACTACATTTCAATTGTTACGTTTCTGTTAACATTTTGCTGTTCAGCCATTGTTTCGAAAATAAACTTGGAAGTCCGTTCCGGTCTGGTATAGTTTAGTACCACATGCAATTCTAGTTGGCCTGGCTCAACAATTTTTGCATATGTCATTCCTAACCCCCACCTGACCATGCCACTGAAAACTTCGGTCATTGCGACGACACAGTGGCTACGTTTCTATTTCTCTCGTTTTCTCATCGCAACGATTCCGATATGAGAGAGATTGTTGCCGTTGTGAGTTCTTTATCGCCGGCGCAGATGTCATAGGTATACTTCGACAAGCTCTATGATATGATTGTGACGCCATAGTGATGTAATTTTTGGGTGGCATAGTCAGGTGAGGGTCCGGAATAACATATGCAAAATTCGCTATGCTACGCCCACTGGAAGTCCTTGTGGTACTAAACCAATGGTTTTCAAACTTTTTTTGCTCGCGGCACACTTGTGAAAAATTTAAGCTAGACTTGGGCAAATTATTCTACAAATGTTAATGCAATGTTTGTGCCTGTTTTAAGAACGAGGGTCCGTTGCTCCCTTTATTGCTCTTGATTACAGCCAGAGCAGAAAATACGGGTTAACGCCTCAACAGAGCCATGTAGATGCAAATGGATAGATTATTTTGATGGCTTTTGCACCGATGATTGAATAGAATTTGTAAGCAGAAAGCCAAACCTCGACCAAACTTGCTTTCCTGTTAGCCAAAATCAGGGGTCGGAAAACTTCGCCAGATCGTCATTTGAACGACGTACTGCAGGCAACCAAGTTGCCATAACCACATCATTTTTCATATTGAGAATAAGAACATAAAAACAATATATTGTTGGATAATATATTAATTGTGGCAATTGTTCATAAGCGAAAGAAATGTGTATAGTAAGTGTATAGTGTATATGTGTATAGTGCAAGTACATAGATTTTGCCGACCCCTGGCCTAACTGAACACGCAAATGAATATGGTGGAAAGTGGATGACTTTTTTACAAAATATTATGAACATCACAATGCAATTAAACTGGAACAATACCCCTTACTACAACGACAAGGTAAATGCAATAATATTATCAGTCTAATTATTAATTATGGATATTCAATCTCCCAAGTTGCAGGCATGTCTATACAATATGTGTAATATGTTTAATACAAACAGCTTATTTTCTAGAATTCTAAAAAGCTGCGCGGCACACTTGAGAATCTCTCACGGCACACAGTTTTGAGAAACACTGTACTAAACTATACTAGACCCCAAAACGTGTCGAGCCAGGCCAACTAGTAGTACTTGCGACGCGTACTTCATGAAACCCCAAATTTCATTATGCTACCGGTTCCCTTCCGTTTCAGACGAAAACCTTAATTCAGTAATTACACGCCTATTTTCGACCATCAACTTCATCGATTAAATTAATACCAAAAAAATTAACGAACCGCGACAATATTTCTCACGCGACATCGTCCACTTATCCCTCATAGCTCTGCGAAATTGCACTAAAATGCGGCCACAAACAAAAAAGTTACGATCGAAAACCCGACCGTAGAAAAAAAGAACCATTTTTCCATGTCGCCAACTACCCATTGTTCCTTTAAAAAAACTTAAAAATCCATACAAATATAAGAGATAAAGAGATGAAACTTGGCAGGTGGGTAGGGTTGTGTTTCTTTCAACCATCATTAAAGTTTCGCGTTTCTACATTTAAAGGAGGGGGAACAGGGGGGTGCGCATTTCCAATACGTTGATAATATCTTTGTCGACCAATTTGTGACCACCGTGCTTTTGTCTGTTTGATTGCTGTGATGCGGTGCTTTGTTTATAATTAGACAAATTTTGTTCGAAATAACCGTGTTCTTAAAATATTTGACGGTCAAAATGCAATAAGAAGCCCATTTTTTTCACACATGGCCCAGTCTGGATTTCATGGCCTTTTCGAACGAGAAATCGGGCGTGCAATCAGAAATTCCCGCGTGCAAATAAGAATTTCTGGCGTGCAATTATAGCTCACGGCGTGCAAAACAACTGCGCCCGCTAAACTGATTTCGAACTAAGATACCTCTCAATACATCCGCTCAATACCTCCGCGTAAAAATAAGTTGGATCATAAGCAAAAATGGACGTTTGACCTTTGACCCCCAAAACATCATTTCTATATTTGTCACTAATTTTGAGAGTGTTTTGTGCGACTTTAGATACCGGTAACTGTTCAGTACATCCGTGTAAAATTATTGTATTAAAAATACGCTGAATCAGAGCCATAACTGGCCAGCGTCGGTGAGGAGGCGATTTTTCTCACGGGATTCCTATCATTCAACACGATATGGTGATTTTTGCTTCGCATTTTTCGATCAGGCCAAATCTTGCAAGCAAGTATTAGTCGACAATTGTAAAGTTATAATTTTTTGGCATCTTTATATTACTAGATTATTGATTTAAAAACTATTTAAACCGATTTACATTGGTGAGCAATTGCAAATTTTCGGCGTGCAAAATTGAATTCGCTCGCGTGCATTTTTGTGGAGCGCTAGCGCCCTCGGGCGTGCATCTGCCATGGAATCCAGTCTGGCACATGGCTGCGTATGCCCTAGTCACGACGCAGCAGAAACGATGTTCAAGGCTTTAACCCCTGGTCGTAGAAAGTTAATTCGAGGTTTAGCGTGTAGAATAAATGCCAATGCACCTACGGTGAAAAAATTAACGGGTTAAAACGACTGGCTACACCACCCTAGTTAAACTTGAAGTACACCTAAACAAACAAGAGTTGCACAATACTGCAATATGCATAATTTACTGTACGCTAAATAACACTATTAAAAGTAACAAAAAATTAAAATATAATGTAGCGAGAAAATTCCATGCCTTGGCGTTCCAACTTTAATGTCAATAATACCTACGCCCCATGGTAGACTATTACGCAAATCCATGTGCTTGTGAAACTTACCTGGTTTGACTTTGCAGCGCCAGGTTTAGGTTTTGATTTTCTGAGGTAAGTAACCGAATCCCAATCCGTATTGCTTTGCATCCTGGCTGACTATAATCAATGATCTACTTATGTACAAAATGGAGAGTTATTCAAGCTGACTATTGAAACCACAAAAATGACACCACTATGATAGCTTTCCAACCATATCCCATCCCATACGGAAGATAATATGCCCCCATATTTTGGGTACAGAATTAGAATATATCACATTTACTTAAAAGCAAATGAAAAAAAGTTATCAAGATCATTTTGGAATTTATTAAATAAATAACAAATATACATATAATAAAAGTATTGGTAAAATTCACAAAACAAAAATGTGGTTTAAAACGTGTGTGAATTGCATCGTGTCCACTGACCTATGACAATGACAACAATATATTCAGCTGTGCGTAAAATACTATAGTATGATGCAATAACGAGTTGTAAGGAAATTTGTATAAATCATAAAGTATTTCTATTATCCTGGCTATGTGAAAATAACTTTATTTTACAGCAGATATTCAAACTTCAACTCATAAATATCTTAGCTATGTGTCGTTTCATACAGATATAAGTTTCTGTAGACAATGATGACTGACAATGATTGATCTTAGTACACTACGTCGAATATGTCGCACGTTTGGGCGTTTTCTGCATGATTACCTTTTTACATTTCCTTTTCGCTTATGGATTCGAAATATATGAGTTGTTGTGAATTCATGCTAAATATTTCAAGTTTGAGAAAGAAATAACGAGAGCCGTTAAAGTTCTCGGGGTATTGTTCCAGTTTTCGGATCACCAAAGTTGCATTTTTTGTCTTTTCTATCCACACAAGTTATAAAACATCCTTCTGCCAACAAATCCCCGCGGTGGCGCAATTGTGACACACCAATTGTTATTTCGATGGAGTGTATTTTATTTGAAGTTACGTCACGGTAGACTCCGAGCAATTGCATTTCGAGGAGATTTTTGAGAATTATTTTAACCAAAAAAAGCACTTAGTTTGGTGACTATGTGGGTTTAATATTTCTGTTGTTGCAATTTATGTTCTTCATCATAAAGATTTGGTTGCGCCAAATTACATCTCACTCTCAACTTCACTCGCAACTCAGGACTGGAGAGTTGTATAAGCATAAGACAATGAATTTTACCAGAACAAACAACTTCATTCACTCTATTTCGCGACGTTGAAGTTCAAATTTAGTGAGGTAAACGTTCATTAAATGACCGTGTATCATACTGTTTAATATAAACAATGCAAACACTGCAGCCATTGGACATTTTTCTGAAAATTTTTGTTCAAGTTCAGTGATGTCTTATCTTACTTTGTTCGAGAAAATGATGGTTTGGTGAATTATATTTATGACTATCGATGTGACGTCAGCGATCTTCACGATTCTTACATAAGAGGCATAGGTCATTTATATTGGGAAATGTTTGCGTTAGTAAATGTTGGTAACTTCGCTTGATTGATTTCAGAAATAGTAAGATGACTTTTAACAGTAATGAGGTTAAAAAGCACTAGTCGTTGAACGTTTAAATAACATCTCATCGTAACTTCAATACCGTCAGTATTTATATCTAAGCTTGTTTTACTTGGAAGTTCGTAAGCGGTGTCAGAGTCGAAAGTTCCAGTGAGCTAGAATCGGGAGTCAATTGTAAATTTTTCCTGACTTCCTAGACCTGCCTATGGCGCGCTCATATGTGCTCATGGTACCAAGAAAAAGAGGGCACCATAGAAATTTTTATGGTCGAATTTCCAATTGCGCTTCAAATTTTAATGAAACAAGAGAGCTATGCTCAAATATATGGACACGTTACAAGGTGTTGCTATTTTTTATTCTGACACATATAAAACGAATCTCTTGAAGTCCACAGAAATTTTTGAAATAAGTAAAAGTAATAGCTTTCTTGCGAAAATCTTTAACCACTGAAAATTTCTAAGCAATTTGTCCAATATTTGAATCGAGCGATTTTAACATGACGGAGGAGAAGAAAGCAAGAACAACAACATAATATTGAAACGATCGCTATGTACACTGACGTGTCCAATAATTAGAGTTGGTCTGACGACTCAAACCTCAATATTGTCCCCGTTTAAATAAATTTTGCCTTTTTTCTCAAATGTCAAATATTGTTGGCATGATAACCATTTTTATAAAATACCATAAAACTTAATCATAATCTGACCTTCAATCAGTAATAAATCCTGAAACTGCATAACATGGAACACAGTTTCATTAATGTATATTGTTATTATTACTTCTAATACATAGGGCACCATAGGTCTCTTCAGCATCCAAATCGAGTTTTTTGTTCCAACCAGTAAAAAAGTTAGTTTTACACAAAATAGGCTCATTAGACGAGTAATTGTGAATTATATACGTGTTATGTTATAATATAATTGTGTCTACACCTGTCTCACAAGAAATTCTGTTACATATAGAATATAATCGTCAAAACAGCTGTTTTGTTACTATACTTCAGTGAAGGTTGCCGGCCCCTAGCTTAAGGAATGGTTTGCCTCTTCAGATGATAAGAACAAGGCTTTTTGTAAGTTCTGCAGGTGGGAATTGAATTCTATGTTATGATGTTAGCTTCTTCGACATCTAATAATATTGTGGTTACTTTTCATTAAATTCAATGACTTCATATCTAGATGTATTTTCTAGATGTTTTATTTTTCAATCTGGATGTTTTTCGAGGTCAATCTAGATGTTTTCAGTCAGGCAAAAGTGGCAGCCCTGGATAACACATTCCAACTGGGGACGGCAAGTCGCGAGGAACCAAAGTGGTTGTCGAGCAGTGACACGACAGCGGATCTAATATCTAATTAAAAAGATCGGGAGGTTTAGTTTCGTAACTACTTTTTTATCGAGAGTATCCGTAGCTTTTATTGGTAACTTCACAAAGCGGCTGCTCGGGAGGGTGAGTTGTCTGCTTCTCATTGCTCGGTAGTCGTGTTGTCGGGAGGCGGACAACTCGACTACACGGACAACTCACCAGAGACAACTCGACTACAGAGAGACCTGGTGAGTTTTCCATCTTTTCGCATTTTCTACGGCGGTGTTTTAGGTCTATAGAAATGTGATTTTAATAATTTAAGGGCTCAAATGTCGAGAAAAATACATAAATATCTTCTGAAAAGCATTATTATTTGTATAGTGGCTTATTTTGCTCATGTTCGTCGATGTCGAGTTTTCCGTCAGCCGTGTTGTCTGCCTCTCGGCATCGTATCTTCACAGAGAGATTATTCGGTAGGCGTGCTGATACCGGTACTCATGTAGTCATGCAGCCGTAGGTGTCTTACCTAGCTCACATTCGTGAATATATATGCGTTAATATCATGTCTAAAAGTTTTAATATGTATAAAAAAAGAGATCGATAGTGTACCGTACCGGTAGTCGAGTTGTCCAGTTGTACGTCAACCTTTACTGGTTTAAGTACGTTAGGTACGAAACTACACGAGACCCGTTTGAAGGGCTCTATTACGTCACTGTGACGTCGTGTTGACGTAATTTTTGGATGGTGTAGTCAGGTGGGAGTTAGGATTGATACGTGAAATAATACCTCTGTCAAGCTAGCAAAATGCTAGCAAAATCTTGCTGCTCGGAAACAAGAAGTCATAAACAGTGTTTCATTATAAAATTTATGATTACAAATTAGTTTAATCGTACTCAACAAATGCAGTCTAACATTTTTGTGTATAAAAACAGTACCAGTATCCAGTCTCATGTGAATAAAATAAGATTGTATACTTTGATATGATAATATTATGTAAGTATTGCAATAACATAATGTATACATGTCAAAAACATGTAAACGTGAATAACAATAAAGTTCCCAAAAAAATTAATAGTTGTCGCGAAATTTAAACAAGAGCAGCTTTGGGGCTTAAAAAATATTTGAATTATGAATTTATACCTTAGACATCTTTCAAATCAGTTAAAGAAATTGAACACAAACTGGATCAGTTTTCTAACAAAATCCATTTAATACAACGCAATAACAGAAATTTCTTAAAAATCTGAAAAATCGTTGAATTGACCCAAAATTTGAACAAGATCCGCCTTTGCGGCTCAGAAAATATTTGGACTATAGATTTATACCCTAGACATCTTCCCAATCAAATAAAAAAATTGGACAAAAACTCTATCAGTTTTCTAACAAAATACATTTAATACAACGCAATAACTTAAATTTCTTAAAAATTCCGAAAAATCGGTAAATTGACCCAAAATTTGTACAAGAACTATCTTTGGGGCTCAAAAAATATTTTGGGTATGGATTGATACCTTCACCCTGTTTTTAAACAAATAAAGAAATTGAGAAAAAATTCGATGAATTTTCTAACAAATAAATTGACCCAAAATTTGAGCAAGATCCGCCTTTGGGGCTCAGAAAATATTTTGGGTATGAATTGATACCTTTGACATGTTTTCAAACAAATAAAGAAATTGGGGAAAAACTCGATCAAGTTTCTAACAAAATACATTTATTACAACGCATTAACGTAAATTTCACAGAAATACCAAAAATCGTTAAATTGATCCAAAATTTGAACAAGATCTTCGGGACTCAAAAAATATTATGAGTATGGATATATGAAGTAATCATCTTTCCAATCAAATAAACAAATTGGAGAAGAACACGATCAGTTTTCTAAAAAAATACATTTAATACAACGTACATACAACGCAATAACGTAAATTTCTTAAAAATCAGAAAAATCGTTAAATTGACCAAAATTTGAACAAGACCCGCCTTTGGGCTCAAAAAATATTTGAAGCATGGATTTATATCTTAGACATCTTTTCAATTAAATAAAGAAATTGGACAAAAAACTAGATCGGTTTTCTAACAAAATACATTTAATACAACGCAATAACGTTTATTTCTTAAAAATTCGAAAAATCGTTGAATTGACCAAAATTGAACGAGATCCGCCTTTGGGGCTCAAAAAATATTTGGAGTATGAATTTATATCTCAGACAGCTTTCCAATCAATTAAAGACATTTAAAAAAAACTCAATCAGTTTTCTAACAAAATACATTTAATACAACGCAATAACGTAAATTTCTTAAGAATCCGAAATATCGTTAAATTGACCCAAAATTTGAACAAGATCTGCCTTTGGGGCTTAAAACATATTT